CCATAGGAGGATGGAACCATTCATGATTGCCAGCCGTTTTTACCACCCCCCAGGCGCCATAAAATTTGCTCTGGCCCGCCCGATGCTAGACAAATCAGAGTGCGGCCCGGCGGGTAAAGGAAAGCATAAGTAGGCATCCGCATTTGGCCAGACCCAACCCCCTGAGGGACGCGCGTGCACCCACTGGAGTCGGACTGAAGGTGAGCCTTGGGACTTGGGGCAGAAAAAGGCAAATAATGGGGGGGAATGATGATGACTTCAAGTTGGTACCGACAGACTGGCTGCAAAGTAGCAAGTTAATTTACAGTCAATCATTCCAGGTGTGGCAGCTGCAGCGGGACATAGTAGTTAGCCATACATACTTAGTATCTGAGGTCGGCAGCTGAGCAGGATGAGTGACCTGCTCTGTTCATACTGACTTTTTGACTGACCTCCCTCCTGTGAACCGTGTGATCATTCAGTGAGAAGAAAATCTAGGAGAGTTTGATTCATGCGTATAAGTGATTGGTCCAAACTGAGATCAACTTACTGACCATTATCATCTGTCATCCATTCTCATTGTCTTGGCTACTATTATTGTTCCTGCGTGCTTGAAGTACTACTACTATTACCACTGCTACTAGTAGTAGTAGTCCTCATCTCCATCCATCAAATACCGACCTGATACGGTATTGTACATACTCCGCCCGGTGGTGGTTCGACTCCACTTTCCCGTGACAGAGTAGCCATTGAGCCCTGTTATTGGTGAGATCGAGGGCGGCCCCCGAGCTGAGTCAGCGCAGAGGAGGGTCCCGGGCGGTTTCAAACAAACCAACAAGCAGAAACCCAGCATTCCATTCCCGGCCGTCTCTCCTGCGACCCCGAAATCCCCTGAAGAAAATAATACACACACGTCCAAACGCTGTGACTGTGTTGTGTCTTGCGTCTTGAAGGGAGGACGTCGCTTTCTCTTCTTTCTTCCCTTTCTCTACCCTCTTGTCTGGATCTTCTTGTTTCTTCTTCTTTTTTTCCCTTCCTCTCGTTGCATCCCTCTCTTTTCGCCAATTCGACCTGCGTTCCCCGTCCCCAGAGGGTGCGAAACACCTCTCCCCTCTTTTCCTCCCCTTCCCGCTTTTTTAGGGAGACTCAGGCAACCATCTATCCCATCCATCCTCCGTCCCTTTCCCCGTGTGTCGTCCTTCAACTTAACAACCCCCCCGGCCATACTGTGTGTCGCCATCCCACGCTCGCTTTGTTGTTATTTCGACTTCCAACTACGACACTCTCTTGAACTCTTTATACTACTACCACAGTCGACACTCATTTTATATATCGCATTCTTTTTTTTTTTTTTTTGCAAATCGTTCTTTCAACCCGACGTAACCCGTTTCATCCGCTCTTTTTGTTCCAGTATCCGGAAAGCAAGCGCCCTGGGCTACCAATGACGTGGTGAACCGTAACCGCAACAGGATCCCACCCCCATCGAGCGATAATCCTTACATACTACCCTATCCGACTCTTCCTACGATCCTACCCTCCGCAATTTCCACTGCGGTACCACTCTCTTTTCCCAAGGCAAGACTACAACTTCCGCCGACTTCCTACACGACCGCATCCGGCCGCGCCAAGCTGGTGCTCTGGAGTACCACCCTATTGTTCGATCGCCTTGATTTTTTATCCCCGCGGCTCCCGCACTGGTCGACGGGCGCCTTCGTTACTTCTTACGAAACGACAAGTTGTCGGCTACATAGCTTGCCAGAATGCGATTAATATCCATGTTCATCGGCCTTCTGGTCGTCCTGCTCAACTCCCCGCAGGCGGCCGCCGTCAAGCTTATCGAGTCCAATGCTCTTAGTATTTGCCAGGACAGTTCGAATTTCACGGCCACTTACTTCAGTGTTACATTCACACCCGGCAACCGCTCGCTCACCTTCAGCTTCGATGGAGTGTCTGCAATTTCTGGAAAGGTCACTGCAGAGCTCGTGCTCGAGGCCTATGGTATCCAGGTGTTGACCAAGACTCTCGACCCCTGTGAGATGGATCTTACTGGACTCTGTCCCATGAATGCAGGCACAATCGATGTTCCGAAAGCCGTCATCACCGTGCCTGAGTCGGTGGTCAAGTCCATTCCAAGTAAGTGATCTCCGCCATTGGCGGCCCCTTCGAGTGAGCCCTAGTCCATTGACAATTTGCGCGTAGACATTGCATACACCGTCCCGGATCTTGATGCCAACGTGCGGATCTATATCAACTCTACCACCACCGGTGAAGCCATTACCTGTGTGGAAGCATCCCTCTCCAACGGCAAGACAGTTTATCAAAAGGGTGTCGGCTGGACTACAGCCATTATCTCCGGTCTCGGTCTTGCTGCCTCTGCTATCACCTCTGGATTAGGACATTCGAACACGGCTGCTCACGTCGCGGCTAATGCGCTCTCGCTCTTCGGCTTCATGCAGTCTCAAGCGATGATTGGTATGACATCCGTCGCCATGCCTCCGATCGTGGAGTCTTGGACCCAGAATTTCCAGTGGAGTATGGGTATCATCCATGTGGGCTTCCTGGAAACTATTTGTACATGGTATCAGCGCTCGACTGGAGGGACGGCTTCGACCCTTCTTTCGGACTTGTCCACTACGTCCGTTCAACTCTACAGACGCAAGCGCTCCCTCGATGATGAGCCCATTGTCCGGAAGGCCACTGGGTATTTCAAGCATTGGCAGAAACGTTCGGATGCCAGTACCCAGACTGCCACGGATTCTAGCGTCATTGTTCGTGGTATTGAGCGTGTTGGTTTCAAGGCTGGAATTGAAACCACCAACATCTTCCTTACCGGTCTTATCTTCTTTGTTGTATTCGTTGCGCTGGTGATGGCCCTTGTCGCTGTTTTCAAGCTTGGCTGTGAGGTCCTTGCTAAGAACGGCAAGATGAAGGGGGATAAATTCCAAGAGTTCCGTAACGGATGGAAGGTTGTCGCACGTGGAATCCTGTTCCGACTTACGCTGATCGGCTTCCCCCAAATGTGTGTACTCTGCCTGTGGGAATTCACTCGGGTAGACTCAGCTGCGGAGGTGGTTCTTGCTGTGATCATGTTCCTTTCGGTGGTTGCAGCGCTGGGCTGGGCAGCATTGAAGGTGTTGCGTCTGGCCAAGCGATCTGTCATCATGCACAAGAACCCGGCTTATATCCTCTACTCTGACCCTACCTGCCTGAATAAGTGGGGCTTCTTGTATGTCCAGTACCGCGCAACTGCGTACTACTTCATTGTCCCGTTCTTGGGCTACATCCTGATCAAGGGCCTTTTCATTGGCTTGAGTCAGCCCGCCCCGGTCGTGCAAACCATCGCCCTCGTCATCATTGAAGCTGCTATGCTCATTGCTGTCAGCGTCCTCCGGCCCTGGATGGACAAGAAGACCAATATCTACAACATTTCGATTGCCGCCATTAACTTCCTCAACACGATTTTCCTGCTATTCTTCTCGGATGTGTTCAACCAACCCGGAATTGTCACTGGTGTTATGGGTGTTGTTTTCTTCGTCTACAACGCTGTCTTTGCTCTGGTGTTGTTGATTCTGGTCTTGATCGCATCTGTTTACGCCATCGTTTCCAAGAACCCCGACACGCGGTACCAGCCCATGAGAGATGACCGGGGTTCGTTCATTAAGAACGGGGGTCAGTTGACCACCGAACTGGATGCTCTGGGTGCTACCGCCCGTGGAGACATGAAGGGGTCGCCGTACCAATCCAGTCCGTTTGAGGATGACAACACGTCCTTCTCGAGCGGAAACGGTGCCAGTGTTAGCCGCCAGAATCTCGAAGCCCCTGATGCTCAGACACACCAGACCGCTCGTCATTCCCCGGTTTCCCCTGTCGACCCGTCTTTGCCGCTGTTCCCCAGCGACACCTCGGCCCGCAATGGCCCTCCTGCCTACGATGCTAATTTCGGGCGTTCGCCGTCTCCTGTACCACGGAACTACAACAGCTCCCCCTTCCAAAACCCACATGCATACCGGCAACAAAACAACCCGAGCCCATGGCAACGGGGAGCAGGTTATGACCACTGAAAGACTTATATGATTGCTTTCTAGCCTTGCTTGAGATGAAGTTATGGCTTAGTGCGGGCATGGGTTGATTCTTCGGGCCCTATTCTAGCTTTCCACTGACTGCATCCTCCCCCCCCGCGCTATGTGCGTTTTTTTTGCTTTTTATATTGCGATTCCACCCATTTGCTTGCCTATATGCTCTTGGCTACCATTCCTTGTCGTATACTATGATATACAGGGAAATTACTTGTTTCCTTCTTTTCTTTCTCCCAAATCCTCTGGCTCTCATCCAAATCCTTACCAAGGCAATCCACCTTTCATTTCCTTCCCACCTTTTTTTCTCTCTCGATTTATTTTCACCGCTGGCGTTCTGAAATACTGGATCTGGAGATCGGTACTTGGGTTTTGTGTGGACTACGTGAAGTGTTCCTTTTATTTTATTAGCTGGCAGGGGGTCTGTCTACTTGTCTGATCCGATATCCCTGTATTATTCTTTGTGGTTTCATCGTGTATGGATAGAAATCATAATGCTATGCCTGAGTTGCATTGACCTTTATCCCGAAACTATTCAAAAGGATCTATTGTAGCTTGTAGATGTCGTTTTATCAAGATTGTCGTAGTACGACTAAAGGAACGTTTTCAGACCTCGATTCCGAAATATTACCAAATGCAACTGACTACGACTTAACTATGCATCATGACTAAGTGAATAGAGAACCCATCCATCCAATAAATCCTTTTATTCATATTCTGTTGATTTACCAACTTTTTCTTCCTTTCAATCAGACAAAAGAAAGAAATATTGCATGACCGAATTCCCCATAGATAGAACGCTGGTATGGAATCACTTCAAAATCAGAAGAAAGCGGGGTCTAGACAAAACAAATAGAGAAATTGAAAATAGGAAAGAAAAACAACCCCCTCCGTAAAAAATCAACCAAGCGGCACATGATACAGATACACATAAGATAAATCCTGCCATCACCGCTTGTCACCCAATCCCGGAGGCGGACCAGGCAAACCGGCGCCCATACCGGGCGGTGGTGCGTAACCACCATCCTGTCCCGGCGGTCCAGCTATACCGGGCGTAGGACTGGGGCTGTATCCTGCTGGAGCTTGACCTGGGGGAGGGATGGGGGGGAACCCGGCAGCAGCAGCACCAGGGGGAGGGGTCGGGAAGTTCGGAGGGAATCCGCCAGGCAGAGGAGGGAAGCCCTGGGCACCGGGGGGCATGTTGGGGAGAGGGGGGAGACCGGCAGGAGGGGCGGCGCCTGCTGGACCGGGGAAGGGGGGTGGAAAGGGGAGACCTCTTGCTCCGGGGGCTGTTTTCATGAAGGTTAGGTACTCATGGTGTTGGTTTGCTTTGTGGGGGATAGGTGCAACGTACGAGGCATGCCCGGTGCGCCGGGTGCGCCCAGAGGAGGCATTCCAAAGGGAGGTGGAGGGAGTTGACCTGGTCGGCCTGAATGTCAGTAGTTAGCTTGTGGATTGCTTTGATTGTTGCTGAAGGTGTAGTAGGTGGCGATGTGACATACCAGGGAAGCCAAATGGAGGAGGGTAAGCCCCCGGGGGAGCCATTGCGGGATTCGGGACAGCCTGGCCTTCGGCGGCGTAGGACGAGGTGATGGAATCGATGACCGATTGGGCCTTTTCTTGTCCGATTTCTAGTGTCGCGTTAGCAGCACGCATTGAGATGGTCTGAGGCGAATGGGGCCGCCGTACGTTGGTAGTATTCCAGCACGTTTCTGAGGTGGTTACGTCCGGCGTTGTGCGCCTTGCGCACGCTCATCGAGTCGTGCGTGAGGTAGACATCGCAGTAGTCGCCTATATTCGATTGGATACATCGGTCAGTGGGGATGTGACTCCGGAGATAATGGCTGGATAGGAGGGTGGAAGGAATTGCATGCGCGATGGACAAGTCTGCGGGTGGGTGTTGAAGGGCTTGGGGTGGTCCTACAAAAGAGTAAAGTGACTGTCAGTATCAAGGTTTCATCAAAAGGGGAGGATATGACTTATATTTGGGCATTTTGGTATTCAAAGAGCAACTGCTCTTTGCAAGCGAAATAAGCTCAAGTCGGATGCGCGCAGGTGGCGCGATGCGCGTGAGAGATGGCTCGGTGGGAGGAGTACGGCGGTGTATTCGCTGAAATTATAGCAGTCTAATGAAAGAGCGATAATACTGATATTGAATGAGCACAAAGGACCGTTGATGCTAGCTAGAGAGAAATCAATGGCGACGCACTGCTTGAGGCGGAGATCGCTGCGATATCAGGGCGGTCAATTACGGCAATATATTAGGGAAGTGATGCTGTGGCCTCAGGCAAAAACACCTATCTAACTATATCACCATCTTCATGTGTGCAGCGAAGGCCATTGCAAAACAGTCTGATGAACTACTTGATCGTGCAATTGGGGAGTAAATATAACACTTTATATGAAGAGCCCGTTTAAATTCCCGTAAACCTCATGTAAGATAGTACCATCTAGATAGATACAAAGTGGTCATTCTTCGACGTTTCCGTATCAGTCAAATCATCCCATACTTGATGGTTTGATTCTAAGTGCTTGTCTTTTTTCAATCCTTTCAGTCCTGGTCCTGTGCCCAAGGAACCCATTAGAACTAAGGACGACGTCACGACCCAGGTGAGGGCTTAACATATGAGGAGCTTTGTACCGTGCCAGTCTGAGCGGGGGAAATCCGTCATACTCAAAGATGTCTTCAGCGATTTCCAAGAGCAACTCCGGCCACAGAATGACGTCTTTCTCAGACAACAGTGGTTTTCTACCCACTAAGCGTTGGAACTCCAACCTGACTGGAGGGCCTCGAATAGTTGGAGGGTCATCTCCATAGCACACTTCAGTAGTTGAAATCAGGTCTGGAATATAGGCTGTCCCAGGTTGCGCTCCGGGGTTGGAAGGAACACTAAACTTTGGGAAATACTTTTCGAATACTATACTCCTACTATCTTTGCGCACACTAATCAAGATCACGATCTGTACTTGACCCTTAGAGTTATTTATCCACCAGGAGGCTTCTTGGCGGAGCCTGGGCATCGATTCTGCTACCGCACTCTGAATGACGATTTTTGGCCAATCATTATTCCTAGGTTCCATCAAAGGATGGGACCAACTATCGTCTGCTTCTTTCATGGAACCTGCAGGGCTGATGTGAAGGGACGGCCATAGGGCAGGACGCTCCTCGATGCCGAGACTCATGATCCTTAACTGGGAGGTGATCTCTCGCCTAAATGCCATGCGAGCCGCATTCTGCCTAGGCATGGCAATTTTAACAATAAGTGTTTCGATATCTGGGAAGTATGTGAACCTGACTGAGTAACATAGCTGCTGGCGATTCTCGACCAGGTGTTGAAAATCTTGTCCAGACACACATCCTAGAGACAGGTATTGGTCGATATCATGCTCTTCGAGTGTATCAAATGTGGATTTGATTGTTTCCTCGAGCTTATGAATGCCTTTATATATCTCTGGGGGATACTTCCCAACCAAGGCGAGGTCAGCTGAGGGCAGAATAGCATACTTGGGTTCTGTTAATGGTAGACCTTCATCTTGGCCTAAATTCGATGGTCTCTCCATTTTCAGATTTACTTAGCTGGTCTACTGTGAGGTAAGATGAAGTCCCACTTCAATAGCATAGAGCGTATACTCGAGCTTCAAGAGACGAAGACCTGGGAGGCTAGTTGGGAAGTGAAAGAGGAAAGCAAGGTGGAAGGAAACATATTCAGTATATATATATCAGGAGAGCTAAATCCAACGGAGTCAGCCGCAAGACACTGGCAATTTGTACTTGACGTAGAGCAACTCAGGCAAAAGCCGACGTCTTATAGTTGTAGCCGGACTACCTTGGTCCTCCAGCCAAAGATAACCTCGTACCGCTCTACACACCGCTCAAGACGGCAGAAACTAGTGAACCTCGCTGAAAAAACCTCGGATTTAGCGGATTTTGGAAACATACAACTCCCAGAAATTCATCCGAGATTTCTGTATGTTTTGACGGTGGGAGGTAGCAGAATTATTTGGGCTGACTGAGCTTGTGGGTGTAGAGCAGAACTGCTCGCTGTGTTTACTGGTGGTAATAGAAGAACTTGTATAGCATTTCTTTTCTATAAGATATACTATTGAGGTGTATCAATTGGGCATCTTATGGAGCTGGTATTCATGTTCTGGATATATGAATTGTAGTTGGAATCAATGGCAGCGCGGTAGGCTCTACGAAACGGCCACGGAAGCTGCTTGATCCTGTCTAGTTTACATAAAAAGGAGCTCGAATGTCCAATATGGTAAGAAACAGACCCCTTACTTTTATTATCACTTCTATCCTGTTTATTCCTGGGAGCAATGTGAGGGGTTGATTGAAGAACAGGTAGTAGGATAACTGGTCATATGGAATATATGGAGTAATTAGTGGACTCGAAGCATACACACTTAGTCCAGGTTCAGCGCTGCATTCTGTGATTGTAATATTCATGGGATCCGTATGTTCAGAAGGATGTCATATCCTAAGAACCAGATTTTGACATGACAGCCAAATAGTGAGACTAGCAAGCATTGCCGCATCGACCCATGAGCCGCCTAACGGCCGACAAACGCAAGGGGGACTGTCCCAAAACTATGGGATAGGACATAACGAAATGCAGTTAATTTGGTGCCATCACTATTCCCTGATGTGGTAACGACCTACTAGCAAGGGATTCGCGATGTCGTGACCGACAACTGCCTGAGCGACTCGCAAGGGACCGAGGGGTTGATGCGGAATGCCACTTTTAGTTAAACTCTTCAAATGACTACAATGTATGATGAGGTCTATCATTGTGTTCCCATGTGTTTTGACCATGGCGAAGTGGCAAGATAGGAATGTTGGGAAATACGAGCGAGGGGTCACAACACCAGACATGGTTGGAAAAGGAGCACACGAGCACCTAGTCAGGCGGTGGCCGTGTCCAGAAGCATGGAAACTTCGACGACCTCCTGGCAACGGAAGCTGAAAGAAGGGGTAGTCTATATCCTGCACGGAAAAATTACTCGTACGTCATGTCCCGGTGGTGGCAGTCAGCCGGGTGTGATGAGTGATGAGACCTGCATGACTAGGATGCTCCGGGGTTGAAAATCCGGGGAAGCAACGACGTGTCCTCGCAAAAGTTCTTTGCCTTTTCCTTTTTGCCTCGGGAACCAGACGTTTGCAGGAACAACGGGAATGGCGGCCATTTGCCGGTCCAACCGGCTCGGTTGAGGTGGCCATTCAGGGGCTGAGATGATGAGTTGCTTTGTTTAGATGACTGTACCCCTGACCCCCTTGGAAAGGAGATGCAGTCCGTGAGCGCTTCACTAGTCTGTCAAGTTGGTCCTTAGCATACATTTCATTTGACTAATGGTAATAGTCGTGACAGGTGGGGGATGATGAGCACTCTAGAAGAAATCACGATGGTCGGAGGGTGATTCGTGTCATTCTCATCGTGACTGAGGCATTTCTGGTCAGTTTCCCCTCTCGATCGTTCCAGATTTATGGAGTCATTTTCTCTTTGGGAGTGGCGCCCCCTCGGCAGTCCGTCTGGGGAAGCTGTCCTATTCGGGTTTAGCGCGGTGGATGGCAGTGGGGTTCCTGAGGCATTCTTCAATTTTCCGTTTATGTTGTTCAGATCTCATGACAGCCAGGGGAGATCCCTCAAAATCCAGTCCCCCCAATTTCCTGCCATCGCCCCATGTCCAACGCACACCGGTCACAACATCATACGAGTAAAGGACTCCAAATAGCCAACGCAGAAGAAATTGGGGCGCAATGAGGGTCAGTCAGATGGGGACCCGGATGATGCGGTGAGGGGCTGTTGTTTGATGATCTCCGCTAACCGTCTCCATACTGAAAGAGATTTCTGCACTAAAATTGGTCTCGACCGGCAGCCCCGGCAAAGTCTTAGTCACTCCCAGGAGGAAATCCCACGCTCCACACCAGTCTTGACTTCAGATGTGACTGTCATGTAGAATGCCATCATCATCCTGCACACGGAGTTGGTTGGCCTGCCTCTTTGAGCCTTTAGCATTGGGCATCTTTCCCGGTACCTGCCTTTCCAGCAGACGCCGTCCAGTCAGTAGTTGTAAGTCTGGTTAGCTGAGACGTGTGAACCAGGATTTGACTGGACGATGCCTTTCACCGTGGTCGTGAAGAACAAAACCCCCTCCCCCTCGGTACTACCGGGGATCAGAGTTTAGCCATTAACCTGACGCTTCCAATTTCAGGTGCAGCACAAATGATGATGCAACTGTGCTGCTGCCGGTTTCAGGTAGCACCGGGATCTAATAGTTGCGGGGATTAATAGTCCTGGACTGGTAGAATGTTCTAACCGGTTGACCGGCTGACGGTGAAGCCACGAGGGTTTGTCTTGGATATTGGGCATTATACGGTATAGTGGAAGGAGATAGTGCAAGTGGACAACGAACTGTTTGTAGGGTAAGAGTTCGTTAGTATTTTCTTGCTGGTGCCGAATAGAGTAAGTCCATAGTAGGCGGTATTGCCAAGCTAATAACAAGTCAGTTTCCTACGTGTTAGTATTCCAGTAGAAACTATGGACAGTAATAGAAGACTGTAGACGGGCTGTGTATTACTTTGTACATCCAAGACCAAGGAAGCAGCATCAACTCAGCCCCGGGCCCAAGCATACCATAGCCCCTTGGATACACCGAATTATTGCTATTATTGATGGCGAAATTGCGAGTGTCTTCCCCCTCATTCATCAGGATCGACCCAAATAGAATCAGAACAGGCCGCACGCAATGTGTTGGCCGATGACGCGTGACCGACTCAGCAATTTCCATTACCCCCAGGAAACCACCAGAGCCGGCCCTCGGGACCATCCATGAGTTGTGATTGGCTCTGGCGCCAATTTCTGTTACGTTTCGCCACGCCTTGGATTGGCGCCGTGCATGTCAGATGATCGCACAGAAATTCCTAAAAGCAGCCAGGATAGGCAGGGGCGGTGGGTCCACAACCAACCAATGGGACTGTAAGACTGAGGGCAGACGGACAATGATTGGCTGTGAATGTTGCACGTCTTGGGTGCCGCCCTAACGGGGTGAAAATTTGCAGGGCTGAAAGCAGCGGTGATGATGGAGTAGCGCGCGCATAACCGCAGAATGCAGAAAGAGGGAAGGTTCAACCAAGTCACTACTAGTAACGATTTATTGGGGATGAAAATTGCTGGGCAGCTCCACCCCAGCCAAGCGTGACCCTGGCGCGGTGCCTGGAAATGGAAACCACGCAGTGGCCATGGTGCAATCATGAGCCTGCCTGCCGTCACGAAGGGGGGGCGTCCTGACTCTTCCCCCGGTAACTCACTGGGACCGGCTCGCCTGCGTCCAACTATATAACTCCTTCCCCGCTACGAGGCCTGGTTCCAGGCTATAGAAGTGGATTCTCATCAGCTCCAGTTTGAAGAGTCATTCATACCACTAAAAAAAAACACAGGAGGAAAAATTTTAGTTTCTCCTCTCCTTTCTTAATAGTCTCTTTCCCAGACTGCTTCTGCTTCATTCCTCTTTGTCTGACTCTCTGCCTACCGCACTTGAACAAACAAACAAGAACCACCACCTCTTCGCGAACCACTCGACCATAGGTCCTCATTGCCTACACACCTCGTATCCAATTGACTCATATTGCGTCTACATGTTTATTACGCCATTATCGCAAATCGGATTGACTTTCCGCGTTTCGAATAATTCGAGTAATTCGACATAGACTGCGCATTTTATACTTCCCGCATCGCAAGCACTTTTTGCACGCATCCTCAACAACAACAAATCAACAAACACCACTCTCCTACCTACGACTACCTATCACACCTCAATTTACCATGCCTGCATCAGTGAATTACCGTGTCGTTGAACCGCATCCGTCGGTCCCTCATACCAGCCGCCCTGCTCTGCACACGGCTCGCGGAGGCGCTGGCAATGTCATCAACCTGAAGGGTACCAAGACCACCGACTCCCGCACGGCTACCGGTCCTGCTTCCTTGACCCGCCTGGACTCGAATGTCCCCAGCACCTTCAAGTCTGGCCGTGGCGGTGCCGGCAACGTCCACAGCAGCAGCGAGCGCGCCATCTTTAGCTTCGACGAAGAGCTTGAGCGTGATCTCCGCCGTGCTGCCCCCGTCTACCATGTCGGCCGTGGTGGAGCCGGCAACATGGTCTTCAGCGACGACTCATCCAGCACCCTCAGCCGCAAGTTCTCCGGCAGCAGCTCGAGTAGCTCCGGTTCTACTCGTGAACGGGCTCTCCGCGGTCTTGAGAAGGGCTGGGGCAAGCTTAGGGGCATGGCATAGGTATGAAGAGCAAGGGGGGAGTGAAACTGGGTTTCTTTCCGACCATCTTCAGCGCTATTTCTATTGTGCCCATTGCCGCCTACCAGCGTTGCATCAACAGATCATGACTCACGACTTACGACCACCAAAAAAGTTTTTGTTTTCACCATTCGACTTGAAGTTCGAAGATTGCTACCTTCACCTCTATCATCTCACTCAAATACGCCTTTAATCCCCATATCTCCCTTCAACAACATCTGACTGCTTCGATTCGAATCTTGGGGTGCTATTGTTCCCCCTCCAACTTCAGCTCTCTTCTCATCTTCCTTTTCTTTTCAATCTTCAACCTCCACATCAACACTCTTCAACATGATACCCCTTTAGCCATGGTCTCGTCTACATGCGCGGACATCAGCATGGCGTTGACATTGCCCTGTTCATTTGTTCCTTTGTAATTTTTTTAGGACAATGACTGGATCTGTCTTGTTTACAGCATAGGATCGATCACTGCGTCTCCTTGCTTCACTACCACAGCATATTGTGTCACTGGCCAATAGAGCCAAGATTTCCCATGTACCTTACTAGTTAACTGTGAAATCAAACCAAGCAAAAACAACCCCAACCGAATCGTGTTCAGTTCCACTGCGTACAAAGTAGTATTAGGTTGTGGCACAACTAATGTTGGTCACAAATTGTGCAATCTCACGTAATGATGCCGAAACCGTCCGTTACACAAAACGTAACCACAATTACCTCACCAGACCGCCTGGGGCCGCGGACCCCATCGTCAACGACTTGACGAGATCCCATCTAGATGCACCATACCTTCTGCGAATGACGGGATGTCCGATCTTTGATGTCGTGACTTGACATCATCTAACAAGTTAATGACACGACCTGCCTCTTTCGACAATAAACATTATGTCTGGACAATCTCATTCTAGGCCAGGGTTACAGTGACGCTGACCATCTGCCTTACTCTACCTACGTCGATACAGGGAAATTGGTTACCTCAGACGAGAATTGTCGGGAGTGTTCTAGACCTTCTAGGCAGACTAGATGCGTTTTGCGTATGTGTACACGAAGGAGGAAGAGGTAAACAAACGCCCGTGGTGGTTTGGTTCGGGACTACCCATGTGGCTGGCTGGCAATTTGTTGTACACTTACTAGATCACTAGTAGCTATTAGGTACTGTGGGGATCTTTCTGGTAGATGACTGTTTCTTCAGATTAGTCCTGCTGATTCTAGGGGTTGACTGGGATGAAATGTTGGCCCCTTCAAGGCTTTGCCTCTGGTTAAGGGGGTAGAGTATGCTGCCATCCAGTAGTAGATACGGCAGAGAGACAGCAAACTGCAATAGATTGTACATGGGAGTATAAGAATTCTGGTACAGTGACCAAGACGTTCAAGTCTAGGGTGTCACATGAAGATTGGTTAGATAGCAGCGTTAGCTAAACGCTCCTTCCTCAACTAGTAACTACTTCTCCCGTCTTCATCCATCCCACTGCTCCTGTTTATTACTAAAACTACAGTCTTGCCATTACTGAAGATTTACCCATCTACTGATCGATTCAACTCAAAGCACTCAGCTGGCTCATATTCACGCCTTGGTCTAGACGCGAAAATGTTAATGGATAATTCATCCGCCGCATGCATGCGACACCAGCACTCCAACCCCATCTGAACGATCTGCATCACCAGTCAGTGTGTCCTCCCCCGCAGGATCATGTCATTTTGATGGGTTTAAGCTGAAGATTCGTCTTCTTTTGGAAGCTTGGGTGATGCAACGGCGTCAAATGCGCGAACTGTATGCTTCGAGAAAGGCGGACAGCTATACCAAGCTTCGCAGTGCTTTCAGCATACGCCGCATCCTAGCTCGTTCCATTGTTCATTCGCACGGACTGGAAGCAATATCGCAAGGTTCCGCGAATTTGATGTGAGGCACTCAACTATGCATGCTGAGGAGCCAACAAGGTGATACTGCAACATTCCTTGAGACCACATCCGTCGTATGCGACATTTAGTGCGAATTCCCTATATCCTCAGCTTCTCATCTCGAGTCTGAATACAAATCTCTCATTGGCAAGTAAAAGGCGTTCATTAGAGCAGCTATACCGCTGTCAGCATCCAATGTTATGGCGCTGGTGGTATATGAAGTCAACCCCCATGCACAGTCTGACTACCTCCCTTCATACCATCTGAAGACCCATCTTCATCATCATGATCTATTGGAACACCCTTGCAGTAGCCCTCATTGCCATATCCGGAGCACAAGCAGACTGCGATAGCAGTATGTAGGAGATTGATTCAGGAAAAAGTGTTTGGTTGGGCTCCGCACCACTCTGTCCAGAGGACAAGGCAGACTATTGCGACACGAGGGATACCCCTCTACAGGGGCAGTTCATCTGTGGGCTACCACCCGAGACCATGATGTAAAGGATCTCTTAGATTTCGGATACATCACACAAGACTGTTAGCTACGGGGGTAGCTGTTGGAATGATGGTTGGAAGACTCTATGGTGTGAGGGAGCATGGCCACAAGCAGCGAGTAGAGGTCCATAACAAGCAAGTATCAATGCTTTGTTTGGTGGTGGGTCGGTTGAGGCCTTTTTACTCCTTTTCCCTTCTTCTCTCTATAGCTGAAACTGGTGCTAACGACCAGATAAGGGTTTTTTTTAGCCAAAGCTTTTCAGAGTCTCTTATGTCCATTACTTCAGTTCTTCCAGTTTGAGTAGGGTGTACCAAAGGGAGAAAATCAATATAATTCTTGGTTCTTTGGAAAGGTTTCTACCGTACTTCCTATGTGAATGCAGAAGCTGGGTATGTATACGTCGGACCCTGATCTATCATATTATTATTCATCTCCTATAGCCATCATCATCGTACATGATAAAGTGCCCAGCATGTTGTCACTAGATTTCGGTTTATTAGCTCCAAATGAACGCCGGCAGGCCACACAATGACGAAATTGTTTGTAGGACTCGTATATTCTCATCTATCCATCCAATATGTACACAAAACTTCAGAGCGTGGCACGCAATATCAGCGAGAAATAAGGAGATATGATTGGAAAAAAGGAGAAAAGTAGAAGTAGTAAAGCAAAGTAGAATGTAGATTCATGTCTTTCCTCGTAGTCGGAGTACATGTCGCTAGGTATGTATGGTTAGAGGCTAAGGGAAGCAGCATAAGATAGGTAGATGTGCTAGTGAGCTCATCCGATGCGGGATAGACACTAAAAACCACCCAGAGAAGATGTATCTTGCCTCAGATAGTTAAATAGTGGAAGGTTAGAAGCGTAGTATGAGTGGCAGATGGGTATGGCAGCTTGAATAATCGAGGCGAACAGAAAAGAGGGGTATCTATTAAAAGCTGCTGCTGACCATTGTGAGCATCACCATTGATGTCTTTTCTAGCTAGTAGCTTGCATGTTCAGTCCTTGCAGTGAACGGATCCTGTCGCGAAGTCTGCGAGCTGCAGGTGCGGAAGTGGATACGTTGATCGTGCAGGTCCCTGAGATTGATGTCATCCGATAAGGCAAGCACTTTTTAGGCGAACTTCCGGTGGATGATCTCGGGGTCTTCGTGCCATTCGTCTGCGCTCACCCACATCTGTTTTAAGGAGTTAGTCAAAGGTTCCTTGATGTAGGGCGACAGAATAGAAACCTACCTTCCGGAAGGTGCTCAAGCCAGCAAGAATACCACCTCCGATCCATGTCGTGTACTTCCGTTCCGCGGGAGCAGAGATTCGGATCTTCATATCCTCCACGGCCAGACGCTTGATCTCGCGCATCAACCGGTCCGGGAAATTCTTGCACAGCGTTGATCCACCAGACAGAACGATATTGAGGTAGAGAGACTTCCGCAAGTCGAGATCCGTGCGGGTAATGGCGTCCTGCACGATTTGATGTACACCGGGGTACTCCAAGCCAATAAGTTCCGGATCGAAGAGGATCTCGGGGGCGCGGTAGCGTTCTTGTCCGATCTGTCATGGTTTGCCATTAGCCCCATTCAATCCGATCAGCAAAACCTAAGAGAAGAAGTAGGTACCTTGATCTTATGCCCATCAGGCAGCGCATAGTCGACAGACTTCGTCTCCGACTTGTGATAACTATTCATCCAGTCTTTCTCCTCTCGCTTCGGATCCAGCGAAACGTAGCACACCTTCTCCTTGATCATGCGGACGACCTCCTTCTCCGCACTGGTATGCAGCACATGTCCGTTCTTTCGTAACAGTAGTTGCAACTGCTCCGTCACATCCCGACCCGCCACATCAATCCGCCGTATACTGTTCGGGATCGCGAAACCTTCGAACACTGGCACCGCATGGGACACACCATCCCCTGAATCGAGGACCACACCTGTTGTCCGACCGGACGCGTACAATGATAGCACAGCTTGAATCGAGGTGTACAGCGCAGGAACGTTGAATGTCTCGAACATAATTTGGGCGGCAGCGTCGCGGTTCTTGCGTGGGTTGAGCGGTGGCTCAGTCAGGAGCACGGGGTGTTCCTCCGGCAGCGTTTTCAGCTCGTTCTCGTACACGTAGTGCCAGATTTTCTCCATATCATCCCAGTCTGTTACAATTCCATGTTCCAGAGGGTAACGAATCTTGAGCAAGCCGCGCAATTCCTGAGCTCGTTGTCCGATAAAGACGTCGCCTTCGAGACCGCCGGCCATCACCCGCGGATGTTTGGGCCGGCCCACGAACGAGGGGAAGTAGCAGGAGGGGATCTCTTCACCGGCAAAGCCAGCGCGGATGGTCCCGCTGCCATTGTCAATGACGATCGGAGCGTTGTGGAGGGTGGCCTCTGCCATTGCGTGGGGAGAATGTTGGGGATTGGGGATCGGGGAAGAGGGAGGAGAGATCGAAGGGCGCGGGTGTTTTGTTGTCGTCAAAGGCACGGAGAGGCCCCGCGGCCTGGTCGGTTGCTGGGCGAGGACGCGGAACTCGAACGATGTCGCAGGACTTTTCTCTGTGAAGTGCTGGAGCTCGATTGCTCTTCTGCAAGGTCACAAAGTAGAGCAAGCCAGGCCGGAGGGAAGGATAGCTGCGGGTTGTTCTGCGCGTATGTTTTTGGGGTCGAGGAATGGGAAGCACAGACCAGCGCCGCTTCAAAGTCCCCGAATCCCAACTATAGCTCTATCTACAATTCATCATAACAGGGTAGAATGCTCATCTTACTTGCCTCACTAGCCAGTCAATCATTAAAGATATGAATATGTTTGATTCCTTCAATCATACCAAATGGATCGGCTACTCCTACAGATACATTGCCAATAACCTATATCTAAGCGTTTGTTAAGCCACAATACGGCGGATTGCCCAAGACACTGGCGACTCCAGTCCCAAGATCGTTTGTTTTACCTTCCCTAGCTTTTCAGTCTTCAGACCCCTACTGATTGAAGACTCACAGCCAGATACCAGATGACTTCCATAGTCGCGATAATTATAGTCGTACCACATGGTGGCAGTTTCATCCCATACAACTTACAGTTGAATCGCTATCAATGCGCCCGGTAGACTGGATGCGGCCGGTGCTAGTGACAAAAACCCAAAGGCGACTTCAATCTAAGAAGCCCAGTTCGTCAGACATCACGCTCTCCAGCGTTGGCTGGCGCCGCTGGCTTACTCCACACACAGGCGGCCAAGCCAGCATCTGGGCTCGCAGCTTTTCTGCATGAGCGAGTGCGCTCGATATTTCCCTGGAGGAGTGAGCTCGTCAACATCACCCGACCCTAAAGACTGGAAAAGCAGCGTACCAGTAGTTGCTGGCGACAACATATCCCTGCTCTTGCAGTTCCCGTGCCAGTTCTTCCTGGTGATTATCCTTCAGGGTTGGGTTTGGTACAACAACAAGCGGCACACCAAGCCGTAATGCTCCAAGAATACTTCCCGATCCTAGACCCAAACCATGTCAGCCACCTCAATCAGGCATTGGAGATACAATAGACATGGGCATTACCAGCATGGCTGATGATTAGTCCCCCGACTCGACCCTCAGACGGATCAGCTCGAGTCAAGCCCATCTCCTCGTCTAGTCCGGCCTGGTTGAAGTCAAATCCGGCAATCTCAAGTCCATGTCGGCTTTCACTGTCAGGGGGGCATCTGCTCTGAAATTCATCCCAAAGAGCCTGGCCGTCCTTGCCATATTGCAAAAGTAGGTGGGTAAACCCTAGTTTCTGTAAAGACAGCAGACACTGGTCCGATAGTACCGACTGAAGAAGAAGATGAAAAGAAGCTGTAGCACCCACAGTCACGAAGCACACCTTCGTAGTGGCATTTGGTGGGAAAGGGGACGGCATGATGGTTAGTAGGCGGGTGATATCCCGCACGGAACAAGACTCCAAATGTGGCCGATCTTGCCAACCATATCAGTCCCTAGGGAATATAGTCAGTGCCGTAACATCCACAGACTGACACCCAGCATGGCAGACACTGGATGGAGTTGGCGCGGGAAGATGCAAAGGCAAGTACGAAGTTGATAGTAGCAGTAGTAAGTAGTTCCAGCCAATTGTTCGGCGGTGAAAGGCACTGCCTTCCCAAAACAGTTTAGTGGCACGCGGCGATGGAAGGAAATGAAAAACATCCGCCGAACTTCCTCCACTGCGCCTCTCAATCCCAATATCCCCAGACTTTCCCCTCCCCCAATGGCCTCAGTAGCTCGGTCGCTGGGCCGCTCGGCCTTCTTTATGGCCCGGAGAGGGCCTATCGTCACCCCCTTCCGCCAATTCTCCGTGACGCCCATTTCCCTCGTCTCTGAAGATCCGCTCGTCCCTGAGGAGCCCAAGCGCCCTCGTCCGCAGGACCTGCCCCCGGCACCCGAATACTCGCCCGATTTCCTCTCGAAAGAGGAGCGGGAGCAATATGACTTGATGTCTCCGGAAGAGCGACAGGAGTTCGACGAAGCGAACCGTGCTCTTGTTTCCGAATACAACGACCCCGAGGCCCGTGCCGCCATGTTCGCCGAGCTCGACAAGGAAGTCTTCCAGATCGAAAGACAAACATATCTGCGATTCGAGGAACCGAAAATCAGATCGAACGGATTCTGGGCGGAAGACGAACCAGACGATTTGGCTCTCGTCGAGGACGGTGATGAGGATTTCAACGATGACGAAATGACGAGCATGGCCTACGCACAACTCGAACAGCATCGTGAAATCAGAGAATACGCTCGAATCGCCGCTTGGGATATGCCATTGCTGAGCAGTACGCAGTCACCCACATACCACATAGTCTCCCCTCCATGCCAGACATGATCCCTTTTGCTGATAAACCGCACTAGAGCTCGCCAAACCCTTCACTCTCCCTCCCGAATCTCACATCCTCCGCTTCCGCTACACGACATACATGGGCGAGCAGCACCCCGCCGAACCCAAGGTCGTCGTGGAGCTGTCGTCCAAAGATCTGACCCCCAAATACCTCACCGAAGCGCAACGCCAGACCTTCCTTAAACTCGTCGGTGTCCGCTACAACCCCCAAACCGATATTGTGCGCATGTCCTGCGAGAAATTCCCGCTTCGCGCCCAAAACAAGCGCTACCTTGGTGACACCATCAAGTCGTTGATCAAGGAAGCGAAGGAGGGTGACTCATTCGCCGACATCCCTCTCGATCTGCGTCACCACAAGCCCAAGGTTACGCGCCGCTTCCCTGAGTCCTGGGTTATGACGCCCGAGCGCAAGAAGCAGCTGGAGGCCACTCGTGCTGAGAGACAGCGTCAGCAGCAGGAGCGGGTGGACGGCAACAAGGTCGTTCTGCAGGCGGCGCGGACCCTGCCGGCTTTGAACCCTGCGTTGAACGCAAAGGCCACGGAAGAGCGGGAGAAGGTTGCGGTGAAGGTCAATGCGAAGGCTCAGAAGAAGAGGGTTCGGTGAGCCGAGCTTGAGCTGAGATGAGTTTTGAAGGGATTTCAATGGAAACAAACACCACACCACACCTCACTTCACCATGATCGTTATAACTTACGAGAAACGGGGGGAGTATGTCCATATGGTAACCTGATGTGTCTGTTTGAGAGGGTATACTGTAGTATTTTCTTTGACCTGTATAAGCTCAGACAAAACAGGGCGGCGCATATTTCGCACGGTTGTATTAGACACTTTATCTTATGTCAATGTATTATATCTCATTCATCGTTAACTGGCACTTTACTTACTTTCTTACCTTTATCGATCCCGACATTGTCCGATCGTACCTAACCGCATCGGATGAACATGAACTGGTCCTCAACGGCTCTCTTGATTTTAATTTCCATATATTATTAGGTTTTGATATGTATCTGATACTATAGACATGAGAAATGCTATAATATCCAGCATACCAAACCGTTTGAACAAAGAAAAAACCAGAGGAACAGAGAACGCAAGATGGTAAAAACACACAGAAAAGAAGAGAACACAACAGCAATCGAAACCCATAATTAGCACATGTAAAAAGAATCAGAGGACAGAAGACAAAGCAGACCACCGGAACCTTCAGCACAGAACCTCGATTGTGAAAGTCTGACAGTCCGCCGTGCCTTGCGCCGGTTGTATGTATCTTGATGACCACTCCTTCCCATTCCAACCTAAACCGAGAACGAAAGGAGAGACATCTGGTCTGGGCACAGATGAGAACCAGAGAGAATTAAATGCCGATGGCAATAATATAATTACCTGGCATCCTTGAGCCATCCACACCTGCCGGACTCATCAACGTTGTAGGTATATTTAGTTCGACTAGCAGTCGTTCCCTTCCGTGTCGTGTATCATATCATAAAGGATTGAGACCTTGTATAGTTACGCCTCATATTTACTTGAAAATGGCTTGAGCAGTGCAAAAGTACCCAAGCGGCGGGATTGGTTGGACGGCCGGGCTTTAATCATCGTCCTTGGTGCCCAGGCCTAAGAGGTCACCTTCGGAGGATCCGTCAGACGACTTACGATAACCTCTCTTGGTACCGATAGCGCCGAAGGTCGCTTTGTGTTCATTTTTATCTTTGTGTCGGTCGCGAACATGGTCAGGACTCGAGTCCGAAGATGCAGTGCCGGACTGGGTTAAAGGGGAGGCACCGCGAGTAGCCGGCTCGGACGCGCTATCTAGGGCAGACCGGATGTTCGGGCTGGCCAAGGCCCCCGGGTGGTCAATCTTGGAAATAGGAGATCCAACGCTCGGCGGAGCAGTGCCATAGCCTCTATGAGTTCCACTGAAGGCATCTACTTCGCCTGCTTCAGGTTCGGATTCCTGCTTCGGGACAGCAGGCCGGGGCTGATACAACCGGCGGGATTTTTGTGCCTTCTTGGAACGAGGCTTGTAGAGGGAACTACCGGCCAGCAGGTACTCCGAGCTTCCGGACATTGGAGCCGGCATCAGAGATTGTATACTGCGGACGAAGTCCTCGCGCTCGTTGTCATTGACATTCGCAAAGGCGGCGGTGCCATTTGAGCCGGTCAGTGTGCGTACCTTCCCGGGCGCAGTTTCCACGGACGTATAGCTGGGGTATTCTGGCAGAGGGTCAAAGGATAAAAGGTCCATTTTCGAGGAATTCTTTGCTCCGTGCCTCTGAGGAACCTGAGCCCTGGCCGGTCCTGCGGTTGTATAGACAGGCCGTGACGAACCAGGAAGTGCAACTGGTGAGTGCTGAATAGCATAATGAGTCTTCTGCCGAGACTCCTTCTCAATATCAGAAATGTCTGAAATTACATTTGTCGCGAGGCGGGATGGATTGTGGACCGCTCCGAAACCGCCATTGTCCGCCAGTGGCAGAGCATGGCCGATTTGATGACGAGGATGAACATGCCCATTCGGTAGCAGGCTAGGGATGCCGTACTTCTCACGGTACCAGCGGGGGATGTCACGGAGGCCAAGCTTCTCAAGCATTGCCGGGTCGCCGGGCATCTCATGTTTGTAAAGGCACCCTATGGTCATGTTAGTGGTCATACTACACAATCAGACACCTGAAAACTAGCCTTGCTGCTGATAGTCACACTCGCCATGGCGAATCCAGTACGAACAGTATTCTTTCTTGGTATTGTAGTGAGGTCCCTGATTGAGGGTCAGTTATTCGCCTTTTCTTACCCTAAATCTCTGCAGTGCTACATATTAACACTCACCTGCCTGGAACCCACATTGCCAGCGATACCACCGCCACTATTTGGCACCAACCAGCCGTTACTGGACGAACTGGGTGCAAACATGCCGCGAGAAACGCCATGCTGTATTAACGATGTAATTGCCAAACGCTCGTTTGCCGGAAGACACTCATCAGATAGGACTCTCATCAACGCGGCCTGTAAATCGGAGTCACGGGTGCGGTATCCGGTCGAATTTGTGGATGTTCCTCGAGTGGAAGCGGGGCTAGCTCCTTCAACGACATAGGTCTGGGGTCTCGTTTGTACAATCCCAAGGCTCGTCATTCCTTGCGTCTCACTAGCTGCTAGTACACGGGGAGCTCCACGAATCGAGATGTGCGAGGGGAGCTCATCCACAGCGATAAGGGGGGTGAAGGTGCCATTAGGACGAGTACAGAAGTACTGAGGATGAATCGCGGAAGACATCATGGGTTGGCAGCATAAACTGCAACCAGGGATTTGGATAACGTCTCGTGTAGAGATGGGGTGTAGGTAGTGATGGATCCTAGCTTCAAGTGAAGCGGTAAGCGGCCAAGGGGAGGGGAGAGATGGAAAAGAGATGAAGGTGTTGAAGAGGAAGCCAAAGAATCAAGAGGTAGGAGGGAGAGAAAATAAGGTCGACGGTAGGCGAGTGCGCGTTCCGGAGCGCGTGGTGAATAGCTTCGGTGTATGAGCCAGAAAATTGTCACTACCATTCACTGAAGCCGGCAGCGGGCATTGGATAACAGTAATGACGCGGGAAATTTGGAATCACAAGGACAAATTCAAGCAGAAGAACTTAAATATAGATGATTGCATAATATATAAGATAAGAAAGCTTATACGGACAATGCCATTAAAGGTAAGAAAGGAGGGAGGGCATCAGGTGCAGGATACAAGAGATTATTCGGGAGTCACCGTAAACACCCTCAGCTAGAGAAAGGAAGGTTCCGCTAAATTGCAGAGCAGACATCCAAAAAGGTAGAAAGGCAGTAGGAGAGTAACGTGAAAGAGCCCCCAAGGCGCTTCAACACCAGTCCCCGACTTCAGTCCAGTTGTGGCTCAATTCCGCCAGTGTTTGTCCGATGATGTTGGCCAGTACAACATCCGGCTCGGATGGCTGCAGCCCTCCCACTTTGGCACACATGCTGTTTTGGTCTGTCTTGTCGGTTTCGCTGGGGACACAGTGCCCCATCCTTGGAAGTTGGAACCCTTTGACAGCCATTATATTGTTCCCTTTCTGCCATGATCCCTCCTGTATCCCGTGGACTCCCTTGTTTCCCTGTGATGATTGTCAAAGGCGGGAAGCTGCCAACATCCATGTTGGCAGTATACATGGTTTAACCACTTTGCATTGTATTTTCGAAAGCTGTGATACCGTTGGAAGCTCCCATCCTCTGTATGAACCAAGTCGATCACAGTTCTTCATTCTTTGAAACATTGATTGCCGATAAAACGTGGCGATACAAACGGCCATATCAGCCATTGGTGTTGGTGACATAGCGACACCAACTGCCCAGTAGATCAACAGTAAACGGCCTCCTGTGATTAGTCAAATAGAGATAGAGTTGAGACACAATGCCGATATTCTCTATACTTACAGCCCTATCAGCGATGGTGCGGCTTTTTCACCAAGACCATTGTGCGACTCGAGAAATGTTGGCATCTTCTGGAAGATAAGAAGCTATCCCACAAGATTTGGTGGGGGTTCCGGATATAACCATCTCGTCAGGTTAGAGGGGATTTGGTCTGCTTTAAGTGTAAGTATATCAGCCAGGGGTCCAGTGAGGAATGCGATGACAGCTGCAAGGAGGGAAATCGACGGCGGGAGAAACCGAAAGGCCACAACAACATGTGACCGATTTGATTTGCAGCCCCAAAGGGAAAGTGCCTCAGGTTCAGTTCGGATAATTCCAGTCATGCCAATGATATTATTGGATATGATGTCTATGTATCACTCAGTATGTACATGCATCCATAGCGATGCAAGATTGCAGCCCGTACGCCCAACAATGCCGAGAGGAATCCCCGTATATGCCTTTACGCCATGCACCATCCACTCCTTGCCGCCTAAATCCTATCTATACTCCATGTCCCGAATATCCATAATGATTAGGAAATGGCTGAGAGGCCCCCCACGGTGGCTGTTGATAGGTCGACTGGCGTGTGCCATCATTTGTGGTAAGATCGATTGTGGAGGAGTTGGTCGCGCCAACGGCACTAGGTACTTCATGTGTGGTCTGTGTGTTGTGTTGTCCGGTAAGATCGATCATCGGAGAGTTCGTCGCCACAACGGGATTAGCATTAGAATTGGTGGTGGGTATGCCATGGTTTGTGAGACTCGATGCAGCCTTACTGGCCTGCTTCCTCTTACGCTGTGCAAGGTCTCCACGGATCCCATTTAGGTATTTCTTAGCTAGCTGGACAAGTTCACGGTCCTCAGTGCTCTCTTTCAGGGCAGCAAGCATTCGGGAAACTTGAGTATCCGATCGCAAATGCGGACATGTACGCGAATACCCATAATGGGCGAGTCCGCACAGAGGGCAGTGTTCGACGCCGGCCATCTTCAGGCGGCAATGTCCAACCACGTGGACCCGATTGCATGCTATACAGGGTGGCCCCTGATGAGGAACGGGCTCTACGTTCCCATCTAGCGGGGGCGGTAGGTCCTGCTGTGGGACGCGTTGAAATGCATGCACTGTGGCATTGTTAGTTCACCAGATGACCTTACTCGATGCAAGGGCGCCCTCACCTTTGGACGTTTTAGCGACCTGACCCATGTCGTCGGAATCTAAATCGGGTGCAAAATCAGATTCTGATTCCATTGCGTCGTCCGCTCTAAATTCCCTGTCACTCTCCGCCTGCTCACGAGCAGGGCGGTCTTTGTTAGGCGACAGCTCCATTAATGCGTCGTTCGCGTAATCAACAGCAGTCCGTTTACGTTTCCCACGACCAAGGGTTTCAGCTTTTCGTCTGGCTTCCTCGGCAGCTGCCTGCTCTCGCTCCCGTAGGATCTTTTCCCAAACATCTGCACTTGGCGCAGGCTCTTCCTCCACGTTCTGCAGTTGATCCTCGAGATTCTGGTTATCGTTCGCCCAAACCCGAGCAAAACTAAATTGATTACCCTGATTGCTGTCATCGGGTGTGCTAGCTTGCTCGGCTTGACTGCGGTCAAGAAGCTTGTCAACCGATTCGGAATCATAGCGCACGTCGCCAGAGTCATCGTCATCAAACAAGGCCTGAGCACCGTGCCGCAGAATAGTCTCCAGGTCTCGTCCATCGTCTTCCTCCGAAACCATGCGGTCAATAAGGACATGGTCGAGTACCATTTTCTTCTTGCCAATCTGCATGATCTTCTCTTCGGCACTTGCCCGGGTCATGAGCTGAAAGACGAGGACCTTGTTTTTTTGTCCTATGCGATGAGCACGGGACAATGCCTGCATATCCTGATGTGGGTTGAAATCGGGATCCATGATAATTACAGTATCGGCGGTAGCTAGATTAATCCCAACCCCACCAGATCGAGTTGACAGGAGGAATGCAAAGTACGGCGACTCTTCGGCGTTGTATGCATCAATCGTCTTCTGCTTCTCAAGCGATGACATCCTCCCATCGAGGCGAAGATACGTTAAACCGACACCTTCCAGAAAGTCTTCGATAATGTCCAAATTCTCGAGGAATTGACTGAATATTAGAACTCTGTGGCCGCGGTTCTTGAGTTTTGGCAGCATAAGTTCCAGTAGCTGGAACTTAGCAGCTGCATCCACCAGATGCCGATGCGATACGGCCGCGTTGCTCGTTTTCTCTTCAATCGCCCTACTGTAAACAAACGGGTGACACAGGCATTTCCGTAGCTGCATCAGAATATTGTTTAGATTATGTTTCTCAGTTTGTTTCAGGGCACGAGTGCCTTCTTTCCTCTGGAAGATCGCCTTGATGAGCTGAGGATTTTTGGCCAAAATAAATTTGTACAATTTCTTCTGCACCGTAGTCATCGAAACAGGGACGATAATCTGCGCCACCGGGGGGAGAAAACTGAGAACTTGAGCTTTTGTTCGTCGCAGAAAGAATGGACGGATCATGTTATGTAATTCAAGTATATTCTCCGTTGATAGATCCCCATACTCATTTTCAAGGTCATCTGCCCTCTTGGACGGATCGCAGAATTGCAACAAATTGAAGAGTTCTCTAATGTTATTCTGGAGGGGAGTGCCCGTCAAGAGGATCTTGAATGGAAATCTGATTCGCGACAATGCATCGTAAAGTTGACTTTTGTCGTTCTTTAGCCGTTGCCCCTCGTCCACGATGAGGCCAGCCCAAGGTACTTTCGATAGCAGTCTCCGGGATGCGTCGTCGACCAGGGTTTCGTACGAAGCTACGACGACGTGACACCGAAGGCTAGTATCGTCATCAGCGAACATTTCATAATCTTGCGCTAACTTCCGAGAGAATGCTGATCCATAGTATGTGACTACCCGCAGTGAGGGAACCCATGTTTTGATCTCCTTCCGCCAATTTGGACACGTCGAGTTTGGCACAACGATCAAGAAAGGCCAGCATTTATGATATTGAACGAGGGTTGCGATTAAACCGATAACCTGAATTGTCTTACCGAGACCCATTTCATCGGCCAAGATAGCGTTTTGCTGTTTGTACCACATGTAGTAGAGCCAGTCAAGCCCGTCCTTTTGATAATCCATAATCTGCCCGCCTGTCATTGTCTCTGGCTGCCCACTTTTGACAACATTGGAACTGAAATTTTGCTTTCTGACATGAGCAATACGCCGTCTCAGGTTGTCTTGATTGGGTATGTGAGTATACTCCCTTTTGACCCAGTCTTCGTATGCAGCTCGGAAACTCTCCCACCTCTCGGGGTTGCTGCTGCGCTCGGGGGGCGTGTCCCAGGTGGCCTCCTCATACGGTAAACCTTTGAATTTGACGTACATTTCTACCACATCATCCACACGTGCAACATCTTCTTCGAAGGTATGTTTGCGGCCTGTATCAGGCGAGGCGCTGGAATATCTTACATCAAAGACAATGTCCACCAGCAAGAAGTCCTCAGGAATTGCTTCCTCGGCGGTCATACAGGGTTCTAGGCTTTTATCTGACCTCATAAAGGCACGTCGCATGTGATGATTCACGAAGCCCCAAACCCAGCTGCCCGGCATCCAGGTAGTATGGTTGTAGGATTTGTTCTTCCACTTGATGAGGTACTCCCTATCTGCTGCCTTCGCGGCATCTGACTTGTGGACTACAGGGCGCCATGCGACTATCGCGCCAACCTCTCCAGGTACTGACGCACAGCTCTCACACTGCCATGTCATATGCGTTATTTCGGATAAGTGTTCAAAGTGGAAGCCTCTGCGGCATGTGGTGCAGCGGAAGAGCAGATTCTCGACGTCGTTGACCCGAGACATGTCAAAGGGCGTTATAGGATCTTTACCACCATTCTGCTGCCGGAGTTGTTGTTCCTGCTTTGGTGTCAGACGCTCCCGGATCGGTTTTGACATATTCCCTCTGATATTGCATATCGAACATCGGCCTTGATGTGGGTTGGAGGGGTCCTTGGCATGAGAAATGCCCAGACAGCGTCGACACTGGAGAAGAAATAGGTCTTCCGCTACTTTGGTGACCAGATGTTCTCGCGCAGAACGTGGACCGAGACACCCCTGATGATAGGCGCTCGTACATCCTTGACAGAACACCAGAGGACCTTTCGTGTAATCATCCCCAATAATGTGGCAGACTTCGCATACGTTCCTATGGCGTTGGCGAAATGCATCATGCTCTGGGACTTTGCGGAAGAATTCCTTGGCCCCAAAGAACTTCTGCATCCGGGGAGCATCTTCAGCATCTGAGATGTCATCCTCATTCCTCTCGCGCAAGCTTTTCTTCTTCGACTTCCGCGTCCTTGTAGAATGCCGTGTGCCTTTGGGTGCACTATAATCGCTCTCATCGGAAAGCGAGACGACCGAACGCGTGTTCTTGTCACGGCGTCGCAAGACTCGACGCTTCTTAGAGGTGGCTCCAGAAGAAGCAATTATGTCCTCACTTGAAGGCGATCTCTTTCGTCTCGTGCGGCGGGTTCCTTCGTCACTGCTGATGGCCTCAAAGAATGCAGTGAAACCAGATCGTTGACCACGTGTAGCGCGCCGGGAACGCCTCATATCGGGTATATCCGAGTCAGAAGAGGAAGACTGTTCTTCGGAAGGGATAGCTGAAGCTGATCGAGAGGAGATATAGTGATCTGGTCCGTAGTTGAGGAAATTGGAGAGAGACTCGGGTCCGTTCTGGAGGGATTGGAGTTGCGCGAAGGACATCTAAGGAAGAAGTAAAATATAAGCGATGTGACAGAGAGGTGAGAGCCAAAAGAAACCGATGAAAAACTCACCGTTTCAGTTTCACCACTCTGCAGCTTCACTTGGTAGCTCAGTCCAGCATCTACCTCGGATATCTCGCTAATGACATAGCGGACATCAAAATGTCCGGGAAGGAAATCGTACTGCGACAGGTCACTGGTTGAAGTCGCAGGAATTTCAACCATAACAGAAGGCTCGGATTTCGATTGCGGTGCAAGCTCTTCTTCGCGACCTGCTGTGGGATTGTTAAATTTGGCGAAGAGCTCCTTCACCATATCTCCATCGTTGTCAGCGTTATCCGGCCCCTCGCCGCTACCGAGCGTTTGTAAAAGGAGATCCATGATGTGGAGCTTAGGACAAGTACAACAACAGAATACTAAAAACAAACGCTATTCCAAAGCAAATTCGCATAAAAGCGAGCGTTAAATGAGCAATATGCGCATCAACATAATTGCAGTTGGACCCCCAATTCCCAAGCGGGTGATAATGAGATTCCAGACTCGCGCGTTTCCCCGACAAACGCGAAATTCCGTGGCGGAGCAATATTGATGCGCTTATCTTATCGGGCGGTGAGGAGAAAAAATACCCCCAAAAGGCGGAGATCGTCGTTGCATGAGGCGCTACAGCTGCACTCTCCGCCTAGCATACATCTCCTAAGGCCAGCAGGATTCTCACCGTATTCAAGCTCATTGTCGCAGAGTGGATGGCAAGAGAGGGCTTCTAAATTCGCTAAGCCTATCTTTGCTGTCCGTTACAGCTCTTTGAATTACCATGTCTCTCCAGTCGTCTCTCACCTCTCTTCGAGCTTACCTTCGACCCTCAATAGCACCGTCAGCTCATTTGCACCACATCAGACATGCATCACTGAACTCGGCCATTGGCCGGGGCATCCGCAGGTCACAATATGTCGATGATGTACCTCAACGACGCAATACTGTCCGCGATGCTCGGGACGACCGGCGCAACAGAAACACAGCCAAGCATGACAAACGCCCAGAGGCGAGGGGACAGAGGTCTGGAGCTGCATTTGATAAGGAAGAATTTATCAAGACAGGGAAATTTCGCGCATTACCTCGCGCATATCAAAGAGAGACACCGGGACGGAAGAATAAGGACGGTATGAGGGAGGACCCTGATTATGTCGGCGACGATCAGGACATCAGGAATGGGGGTCTCCGCGCATTATCCCAGGAATATCAGAGCAGGGGCCCGGCTCGCCCGGCTCGCAAAGTCGTTCATCGGCCCACTGATGAATTCCCTGAAGAAGTCAAAAGCCTAGTCCGACCTCCAAGCTCAGTACCTTACACTACGCCTGCATCGCAGTTTGTTTATGGAATTTCCGCATGTATGGCTGCATTACGCTGCAGCCGTCGCCGGATATACAAACTCTACATCTATCAATCAGAGGGTCGAGAACTATCCCCGGAGAAAAAGGCTCTACGAAAACTGGCACTTCTGAAAAACGTGACGGTCAAAATGGCTTTTGCAAGCTGGGGCCGGTTACTCGACCAGATGAGTGATGGTCGACCTCATCAAGGCTGTATTCTTGAGGTATCCCCTTTACCTCGGTTGCCAGTGCAAAACTTCAGGCCCGTTCCATCTCCGGAGGCGGACAACTTCGGCCTAGAGTTGGGAGCGCAATCGCGGGAAGAGGCACAGGTAAATACCACGAACAACACGGTTGACATCAACAACACCTTTGGAAAGAGATACCCTGTTGTTATACTACTCGACGGCATCGTCGATCCTGGGAATCTCGGCGCCATCATTCGCTCCGCCTACTACTTGGGAGCTGACGCTATCGTTTTCGCGGGCCGAAACTCAGCAGAGATATCCCCAGTAGTTCTCAAGGCATCTGCGGGGGCCGCAGAACTTATGACTCTTCTTCACGTGCGAAACGAAGTCGATTTCATTCGACGGTCAAAAGATAACGGGTGGCGGTTTTACGCCGCTGATGCCCCCGGCAAGGGATCTACATCTACTTATATTGACCCTGCCGAGTTTGGGAATGGTGCCCCTGTCGCCCAGGCACCGAGTGTTATTATGATGGGCAGTGAGGGCACGGGGCTAAGCCCCCATATCCTCTCCCAGGCAGATGCTGTCATTGGCATCCCTGGCGCTAAATTCAGCCCAGAGTTGGGCGCGGAGTCAGATCCTGCTAGAGTGGACAGCCTCAATGTTAGCGTTGCGGCTGCTTTGTTGATGAATATGTTCCTTCGGGTGCCGGTTTCATTGGCCAAGAAGGAGGATACTAGGGTCTGGTGAGGAATGAACATCTGTACAATTATGTAAACGAGACATATGTATACATACGCCTTAATCGCATAGCATAAATCCATAGCATACTAATATACTGAGAGGCTTTTCTCAAACGTGGGTGAATCCATTAGGACTTCCGTACGAACTAAGTAAACATGATCAGTTAGGGTATCGAGAGTTCTTGTCCCTGTTCTTGAACCTTCAACTTCAGTCACTTGGCGGAATAATCTACTGGATGACCATGTTAGGACTTCGAGCGCACTGTGTGATGGAAGACAACAGCCAAAAGGTCTTTTTGAACAACAAGGTGTCATTTTACAAAAAGCGAAGGAGATTGAAGATGAATCATAAAACTACAATGGCATCTATCTGGCAACGCCGGACCGACATATATGGAATAAAATAGAACCAACAAACCCTCCTCCATCAAGAAAGGCTTCCCAAACAGTCTACAGAATAGTCGTAACAATCCTCGTCATCGTCCACCTAGGCCCCCGATTACAGGAAGAGATCATTTCTTGCGACTCCTGGACTTGGGTGCCGCATTTGAAGAGACACTGGCTGCCCGCGATGTTGAAGTAGAATTTGCCTTGCTGCCACCCTTGACGGCCTTGACTTGCTTGTTCTGTGGGTTTGTTAGCCGAGCTATCCAATATGGTTATGTTGATAGGAACGACAAGGCAACTTACAACTGCACCGCCCTTCGTCTTCTTCTTGGCGGGTGGGGCCTCATCCTCTTCAGCTTCATCGTCGTCACGGTCACGTCCCCGGCCCTTGCCGCTCTCACCGTTGGCCTTTCCATCAGTTTCAAATTCCTTTGCCACGGTGTTTAGCAGGGTGGTGCACCGACGTCCAATCTCGACTGGGGTCCGACTAAGGAAAAACCAATCAAATCGGAATAGTGGAGACTCGCGGATTTCGTCGCGGATTTTCTCGTAGAGACCTTCACCATCGACTCCATATTTGTCCAGCATTACCAACAAGAACCGGTCCTCCTCTTCTGTATAGACCTTCTTGTTGGTGGTAGACACAGTGTAGTTGATCTTGACCTGTTGGAGTGGTACGCGGTACATTTCCATCTTCTTGCGCAACATTTTGCGTTGGTGGTTCATCTTCCGCAGTTTATCCTCACCCTGCTCGATGACACGGAGGTACTTGGGATAATCTTGGATTTCCGTGTACCGCTCCCAGAATACTTGCGCGTACTCCTCAACTTCTTCCGGCTCTTTGCTGTCTACCTCGGTGGCGATTCCAACGTAGTCAGTGCGGCCAAACTTGGCGGAACCGTTCACGAACTGTTGGAAATCTCTGCGGTTCCAGTTGGAGAAGCCCTCTTCAGACATCTTCGCCTTCTCCGCCTGTTCATCCTCCGTTAGTGGCACTGCATTGTCAATCTCCTGTTGTTCAAGATCACGCTCAGCTTCGCGCTCGCTAAGTTCTTCTTCGGGCCCATCAGGCAGAGGAACCTTGTATCCGATCTCCTTGTGGAAGTAGGCCGTCTCCTTCTCCTGCAGCTCTTGAAGCCCAGGCGGGAAGAACTGCCAATCATGGACGGTGATTTGCTTTGGCGCCCGAGGAACCTTAGGCTTGGGATCAGCCGTTCTACCACCAGTAGCTAAAGCCTGGCGATAGTATTTGTCGATAGAATAGAACTGTTCCTTCCGCTCTCGCTTTGCCGGGTTGATCCAGTTAATACCAATGTCCTTCTTGCGATCAGTGAAGTCTTTGCCGTTCCATTCGTACGCACTTTCGGAACTGAACTTCTGCAAGTCGTCGATACCAAGCTTTTCGTACTTTTTGTTCAATTGCGCAGTCCGCTCCTCGCCTTTCCGCAAAATGTCATCGATATCATCTTCGGATATCTGGTGTTCCGCAGATATGGTGGTGTTGGCTTGAGTGTTGAAGACATTGGCAGCTCCGTGCTGAATCATACCCAGCAATTCTTCCTTAGACGCGGCATTCTTGGTCTGCTGCTGGGCACGTCCCTGTTGGATGACAAGCTGGTCGAGTCGCAGTTTCTGTGCGGCACGTTCTAAGACTTTTTCTTCGATCGCATTCTCTGTAACAAACCTGAATACCACGACCTGTTTCGTCTGTCCGATACGGTGGGCACGGTCCATTGCTTGCAAATCCGCCTGAGGATTCCAGTCACTATCAAAGAGAACGACAATATCCGCCGTCGTCAGATTGATACCCAGACCTCCCGCTCTTGTTGTGAGCAGGAAGATGAACTTCTCCGAGCCCGGCTTGTTGTACTCATCGATAGCAGCAATTCGATCCTCATGGGCCGTTGTACCATCGATGCGGCAGTAGTTGTATTCGCGGAAAACACAGTAGTCTTCGAGGATATCAAGGACACGACTCATCTGGGAGAAGATGAGTACGCGACTTCCCTGTTTCTGCATACGCGCCAGCAACTTGTCAAGGATCGTCATCTTTCCAGCATTGTAAACGAGGTGTTCATCGGTGGTGTAGGGAGGGCCAGGCTCAGCACCTTCAAAAAGGTAGGGATGGTTGCAACATTTGCGAAGTTGCATGACGATATTCAACAAACGGGTCTTTGACTCACGCTTGCCGGCAGCGCCATTGACCGCATCGATATCTTTTTCGAGAATCTTCTGATACCACTTGACCTGCATTTCCGACATGGGGACGTATAGATTAACCTCCTTCTTGGGAAGCAAGCTCTTTTCGACGTCACTCTTGACACGGCGAAGCAAGAAAGGTCGCAGAACGCGATGGAGTTGTTGTACGACCGTATCCTGATCAGAGTCTTGCCCGGAGAACCATTGGTCAAATGCTTCCGAATCACCGAAAACATCCGGCAACAAGAAGTTGAGGAGGGCCCAAAGCTCGTGGAGGTTATTCTGAAGTGGGGTACCGGTGATCAGTAGTCGGTTCCTGGAGTGGAAGACACGGATAATTTGCGCCAGTGAAGACTCCTCGTTCTTGATCCGATGAGCCTCGTCGATGATGATGTACTCCCAAGCGAACTTCTTAAGGTGCGCCTTTTCTCGAAGAATCATCTCGTAACTGGTAATACAAACGTCGAAGTTCTCGTCGAGGAGCTCCTCATTGATCAACTTGTGTCGCTGTTCCTTGTCACCCTGAAGAACAAGCACATTGACCTCGGGTGTCCATTTTCCAAACTCCCGCTTCCAGTTATCGAGGGTAGATTTCGGAACAGCGATGAGGTGCGGGCCGGTGATCTCGCATACATGTCGGAGGTAGCCGAGGAAAGAAATGGTCTGCAGAGTCTTGCCCAAACCCATCTCATCCGCCAAAATACCCGAAATACCGTTCTCATGCAGCGAAACAAGCCAGTTCAATCCCGCAATTTGGTAATCGCGCATCTCTCCCTTGATGAAGGGCGGGGATTCCCGAAAGACCGTGTTGGTTTCGCCGCCGGTTCTTTCATCCTTCAACAGCTCGGCATCTTCCTCTTGCTCGGTTCTGCGACGCCTATCACCGCCTGCACCACCTGAGCGCGACGAGCCCTTCTTCTTGGCCTTTGCCTCCTCCTCGGCATTTTGCCGGTCAATTTCGGCCATGATCTCCTTGATCCGCGGATTAGGGTTGGTTTCGATGAAATGACGGAATAGATCGGTTAAACCGAGGAGGTAGCGAAATCGTCGGATTGAGTCATCTTCCTATGGTAGCACGCACCGTAAGCGACAAAATATTGATGCATGACCATTACTTTGGCGTACCTTTGATTCATCCAAACGACCATGCTTCTTGCCCAAAATACTTTTTCTCATGTGAAAAGCTTCGGACCTCCGTCTCCGGCCATCCAAAGGCGCTGCGTCGCCTGCAACACTGCTCGCCGTGGTATTGGGATTCGTATCCGAGTCCTAATTCGTGTTAGTCGGATCGTACGTTAGGGAGATCGCTGAGGAGTCGAGTCGCGTTTACCGTGTAGTCCGGAGTGTCTTGGTAGCCCTACATGAGGAAGCTTGTCAGCAGGAGCGCTTTGCCAATCAACCAAGGACGCGCATCAAGATCGTGCATGGCGCAAAGAGGGGGTTTGCGCTAACTCACCGTCATCGGCGCGTCTGCGCTATCCACGGGCACCGACGTGACAGGCTCAGCATTCGCGTCTGTCATGGGGGTATCTGCCTGTGATGGCGAGTCGGGAGTCGGTTCAACTGAGGGAGCCATCACCAACCACAGCGCACCGAGCGCAGCTGTTTGGTACTATACAAAGCGGGACACGAGTTGATAATAAGACAACCCAGGTAGGAAGCTATCGATAAGAACCCTGATAATATTTAAGACCCACTAACTCTCGGAAATATAGCTGTAGAGGATCTGGTGGGAGAAATTGAAGTCGGGGGGGGGGGTGCGCACAAAGGAGGTGCGTAAAGAACAAACAGTGACGGATGATGAAAGGACGAAGAAGCACCGCCAGTCGCGCTCATGGGATGGCAAATGGAATTTCGTCGGAGAAGCGCGGCCAGGGGACGCGCTCATTGGACGGGAGACGCGAGGGCGTAACTGACTCATTTCTGAGTCAGCAGGGGGCGGAAGACCAGTTTCCCCGCTGTGGGTCACGTTACCGGGACAGACGCAAAGAAAGATCAGCTGCGCCAGCGTCCTTTCCGAACGGTCATCGCCAGCCAACGTCCATTGTTTGCCTGCGGATCTTCTCGTTTTCCCTCTATAACGCCCCCTCTTTGGGCCCGTCTCTTTCAGTCCAGACTATCAGTCATATCTGCCTCTTCCTGATCTTTCTTGGGGTTGCCTCGGAGTTTGCCTAACCCCCTGTTTCCCAGAAGCACGGTTCAAGTCACCCCTCCTAGTGACGCCAACGCTAGTATTTATTGTCAAAGTCTCCCAGGCAGACTGCTTCTGCCACCACACCACACACCATGGACTCGATGAGATCCCTAAACACGTCACTGCCGAGCTCGACGCCTCGGCCGCAACCTCCTGAGCAGCTCCTACAGTCGTTCAAGGCTGCTGCTCTCTCCGTCACGAACCTCTACAAGAACGCTGTTTACGAACAGTCGCAAGCCAAGCAAGCTGGATACCAAGAAGCAATTGAGGATCTACTACACTTCCTAGACCGGGAGAACCTCGGTCTTGGGGACGGGGAGGGCTGGAAAGTTCGGCAATGGGCCACGGAACGGAGTGATGGAACTGGTGCCCCTAGCGACGACGATGAGGTTGAGAAACAAACCAGAGGCGCAACGCCGGCTGCAGCCCGCAAGGTACAGCCAGAATCCGAACCGATCCGACAGCCTTCAAAGTTATCATCGGAGGAGCAAGCTCCAGCGCCGCCGCAGCAACAGCCTCCAGCACCTTCTCCCCCTCATGCCTCTGAAACAAACGACTTCGATCGTCCGACTATCTTTACGTTTACTGCCGGGCCCACCTTTCCGCAATTCCCAGAACAAGACCTGGACATGCAAACCACAGACAGTTCGACTCCGGCGTCTCAAGATGGTGCCCCGGTCAGCGTCTCCGTCCTGCCTCGAAACTCTCGTCAACAGAACCGTCATAATAACTTCACCCGCTCGAACACTCGATCGTCCCCTCTTGAACCATCCGTCGGCATCGGCTCCAAACGAAAGATGAACGTACCCGATTTCTTCGACTTGTCTGGTCTAGGCAATCGAGACATGTTTGGGGGCGGCAAACGTGGCCGCTTCACCTAGAAAATATGGTATCGACGAATAGACGAGCATATATTCTTACGGTCACGCAGCGTTCGATTGCATTTCTTGTGTTTCTTTCTTTTTGCTGTTCTTTTCTTTTTTTTTTTTTCGGTGCATTAGTAGGAGTATTGCATGTGGCCCTTTGGTGGGCCACGGATCATTTTTCCTAAGTCATCTTCATCCTATCCTTGTGCTCATATTCTCTTTGTTTACATCTTCTCCTTTTCATATCCCCATTTTCTTCGGTCATCATTACTATTAAATATAGAGGTTATCAGACATGGCGATACCCGGTGAGGCGGCTAGTGATATATTAATCGTACGATCCTTTCTATATAATGTTTTGCACATGTTTTGTGAATTGTGAAGCGCTTGACTAAGTTGATGTGCATTCCCGTCAACGAAAGACCCAACGCCTGAGTAGAATATGGTATAAAGTACATAATATACAAAATTTCCCGGCTTCATCAGTTGAAGGCTCTCCATAATCCCATTCCAACCAGTGTCGCAGAGATGGTGAAGATCCCGAGTTGTCGAGATCCCATCTTATACTTTGTTGCGCTTTGCATGATTGCCTTTTCTTGCATCTTGAGGTTCTTCATTCCTGTGTAGTAGCTATACACACCGAGGCCGACGAATGCAGCAGATCCTGTAAGTCATCGGATTAGCTATAGTACCATAGTGAACGCCCGGAAACAAAAAGTAGCCTACCAGTAACTCTGCACGCCAGGCAGTCATCATATGCGTCCTCCGCAAGTGCACGCTTCGCATCCTTGGGCTGGACATCCAAGGCGCTGTGATTCTGGATAGAGGGAGACATTGTTCTAGAATCAACGAAAGCCAAGAAAGGTCTATTAGAGAGCAGTCCAGACGAGTCTCGATCAAGGAGACTAGCTTGTTGCGGCGAGCTGCAGCAATTCAAAGGAAATGCATCAGAAGGCGGGGATCGGCGGCAGAACGAGGGGCTTTTGGACTCCACTAAATGGGGGCCGATAGATCACCGACCATCATTGCTGCACCATGACCACCTCTGCCTACTACGTTACGCCCCCACCGGTCGGGATAGGTTGCCTTCGCCATCATGAGCGGCCAGGTTGATGCGCTCTATATCTATGATGAGCAGAGGCACGCAGTTCCCTCCAATGTTCTGACTACCAGCAGTCACTGACCTGTCCTCTTCCAGCAATCCGATCGTCGAGCAGGTCTATCGCTCCCGTCCGCCCTCCGCATCGGCCATTCTTCCCCTCTATAATGCCTATGCAGCTCCGCGCCCATCACTCATCTACTTTCCAAATACAACTCCGCCGGTGACAGTGTTTTCGGTAGTGCAGTCCAACCTACTGTTTTTGGCGCTGTCCGAGGTTGACACGGAACCGCTGCTTGCCCTGGAATTCATTCATCGGGTTGTTGATGTTCTCGAGGACTTCGTCGGGGCACCTTTGCTTTCCACCAAGATCCAGGCGAATTATGATGTGGTTGCACAGCTTCTGCACGAAATGTGCGATGCGGGGATTGTCTGCAATACAGAGCCCAATGCGCTACAGGAGGTAGTGGAAATGCCGGGGTGGATGGGGAAGCTGTTAGGCGGCGTTGGATTGCCTGGGTGAGTGCCCACCGTTACGGGATGGAGGTCACCATACTATTTACAGTGAACTGACGGCCTTCGTTATGCGCAGGTCATCCACACCGATTCTGGGACAACCCAGTGCCATGAAGCAATCAGCCGCCGCCGCGACCCAAGGACCTGCGATCCCCTGGAGAAAGTCCGGAGTAAGACACACTTCCAACGAGCTATATGTTGATATTATTGAGTCACTTTCCGTGACGATGGCGCCATCAGGACGACTGCTCTCTGCAATGTCTTCCGGTACTATCGCCTTCACCGCCAAAATATCCGGTGTACCCGATCTGCTTCTTTCGTTAACAGCGCCCGGTGGTCAGAAAGCCTTGGGACGCAAGCTGGAGCTGCCGGTATTTCACCCATGTGTGCGCTTGGCGCGCTGGCGGGAGCACCCTGGCGAGCTCAGTTTTGTACCACCAGACGGTCGGTTCATTCTTGCCGGATACGAGGTGGACCTCATGCCAACAGACCCTACACTTGATCAACCCCCGAGTCATATGGAGAAGCTTTTCTTGCCGGCTATTGTGGACATCCGTAAATCGCTTGGGCCGACTGGCTCAGACTTCGAGGTCCGCCTTATTCTCAACACAAACTTCCCGGGATACTCATCCTCTAACCGACCTGGGGTCGGGCGTAGCGGATCAGGCACGTCTACACCCTCTTTCCTCGGGGGTGGAGGCGGCAACTCCTCGGCGCCAGTGCTAGAAGAGGTTGTGGTGAGCGTCCCGATCCCGAAGTCGGTCCGGAACATCACAGACATGCAAGCCAGCCGAGGAGAGGCTTTATTCTCACCGGGCAACGGCGTATTAGAATGGCGCGTGCCGACTAAAGATGCCGGCACAATCTCCGGAACGGCGACACTCCGGTGCACCGTCGTAGGACACTACGCGGATGACGAGCTGGACGACGACGTCGAAGAACTCGACGCAGACACCAACCTCCTGCAGGGCTACTACGACGCCAGCGCGTCTTACCAGAACCCTGAAGCAGACACGACGAAACGCAAGACTAAGAAAAAGAAGAAGAAGAAGGTTGTCAAGAAATCTTCTTCCCGCGCAGCGGCAGCGGCAGCGGCAGCAGAAGCAGAAGCCTCAGCTTCCTCGCCCGCTGAACACCTTTCCTTGAACCCCGAGGATCCCGAACAACTCGAACATACGCCTACTCCTGAACCCGAACAATCCCAGACGCTAACACCCCCCGTTCAATCATCTTCGCCGCAACCTCCACCGTCACTTCCCCGGTCACAGTCACAGTCGCAGAAACAATCACCCAGCCGAGCTTACTCTGATTCCTCCATCTTCCTTTCGGCGCCCCGTAAAACCAAGACCCAACTAAACGCGACACTTATGCCTAATTCGGCGGCTGTGTCGTTCTCTGTCCGTGGCTGGCTTCCCTCGGGGCTCAAGGTAGAGAGCCTGAACATCGATCCGCGGCGGAGTCGCGGACTAGGCGAGGGAGTGAAACCATATAAGGGAGTGAAATATATCTGTATGAGTCGGAAGGGAGTGGAGCGGAGATGCTAGATACTACATTGCTATACATCTAACAATTGATCTATTGGATAGGACAAATACTTTTAGGATTGCCGAACAATTAATGTAAAAATTCAAGAAATTACTACTAGTATGCAGTTTCAGCAGCACACAACTATATTTACATTCTCGTTACAGTAGGACAATCACTCTCAGTCTCCCGAAAGTATATACATCGACATTCCCCCCTGATCTAAACATAAGCATAACAAAACAGCCCCTTCGTCGTACTCATCAACTCCTTCATCCTCCTGGGCACTCCCTTCGCATACCCCAAATCCACAACTGTTTGCAAGGTAGTATTCTTACTAGCCGGCTCATTCAAGAACGTCCCCGTCCCGGAGATCGCATACTCCCTACTCTTCAGATCCAAATTCTGCCAAATCCACCAGACCCGATCAATCATACCATGGTGATGCCAGAACGCCGGATCCCCAGGACTAACATATACATCCCGACCAGGGTCCCCACCCATACTATAGTGCCCGGAACCATGGACACCAATCGACCCACTCCCAGGCACACCCTGCATGGTCATCTCGAAGTCCCAGACATCGTCGTTATCGAGGATAAGCGAGGTGATCTGGGGGTAGGTGTTGTAGCGTTGCAGGAGGGCGGTGGTGAGACTGCGCTTCAGGCAGCGGGGGTTGTAGTTGAGGGGATTGGAGACGGAGGCGGTGCTGCCTCCGGGGAGGGAGAGCGCGGCGGGGCCCATGTTCACGGTGTAGTTCTTGAAGGGCCCGCTGGTTACGCAGCCGCCGCCGGTGCCCGGGGGCAGGACAATGGCGGGGTAGTTGCCTAGGTAGAGGGAGATGTTCCCCTGGTTGGGGATGAAGTAGCCATTGCCGGACATGGAGGTTTCGGAGCCGTCGAATACTTCCGAGGCTTCCATTGTGTGGATGGCGTCATAGCCCCAGTCCCAGTATCTATGGGTTTGAGGTTAGTTGGTGAAGTTGGGGGTGAGGGGAATAGGGAGGGACGTACGGGTAGTCGCCTGTATAGTGGCATTCATCGCGGAGGGCTTGTTCGAACTCGTAGATGAAGTAGCGGTGCCATGCGAGGAAGGTTCCCTAAGGTACTTGTTAATGTTCTGAATGAGGGTGGTAGAGAAAGTAGCAAGGTGTACCGTGTAGTGGATCTCTAAAGTCTGGTTGATGTGCGTGGCGAGAAAGTCATCATAACGAGTCTTAGCACCTGGAGCCAGATGCGACGGGGTGCGCGAGGGCAGCTCCTGCAGACAGAGCACCGAGTTGATGTAGTCTTCCTTCTCGGGCTTCGAGAACGTCCGCCAGTCACGGCGGATCCGCAGGGTTTCTCGTGTGCAAGCCTCGCTGTCCTCGGAGCTGCTGGGGAGGTTGGCCAGAGTCTGGTCAAGGGCATAGCTCGACAATTGCTCGAGCTTGGCAGCTGCGGCAGCCACGGCAGCGCTGGATGCAGCTGGGCTGCTCAGAGCAGTCTGAGAGGTTGTGGGCACGGCCCAGGCCTGCGAAGCAAGCAGGCCCAGACTGAGAGCCTTGAGAGCAACCATTGGGCTAGCTTGAGGGCAGTGAGAGGCAGAGGCAGAGACAGAACGGGAACGCAGCCTGAGCAGAGGAAGAGGGGCCCCCGAACGGGGATGGCCAACACTTTAAGTGTTCATCCCTTGTTTAGATCGCCGAGGTGTTCGTATTTCGCTATGGGCACGAGGCTATCCCATTGATGGAGATCGGATAGCCGGCGAGTAAATAGAACGGAGCCCTAATGGGCTAGGATGCTGGCCGAGCAAACATGGAGTTCGAAACAGCTCCAATAGCGATGGCAGTCTAAGTAGTTAGGGCGATGCGCTGTCTGCTCTAGACTTGTCTGACAGCTCCACTATCGGTTCCAGACTCCGCTAGAGTTGACCAAAGGAGATGGTCCTGCATGAGTGGTGTGCATCATGTTTGCTGAGGTGGGATTGAAAGGCTTTGAGCCATCAAAAGCAGAACGAGGATAGTGGATGTTTATAGTGAGGATGTCGTATCTGCAGGGTTAACACGGTGTTGAGTTTCCTGGGAGAAGAGAAGATGGAGAAGAGACATGTGAGTATCATACGGTATGGGACGGAACCCGCTAAGCGATGGCGGCTCGCGGGTCCGACTGTCTGACACCAAACCGGTTCCACTCTCTTCTTCTTCCTCGAACAACTAAGGATCCCTCCTCACCGGCTGGATCGGATCCTTCGATTCCTCCCAGCAACCCCCAATGCCCTGAATGTGGAATCGCTGCCCTCACTGGCTTGACCCGCTCATCGATCGATCCCTGAACGATCCCGCCTGTGGTCCAAGTGTGATCCTCCATCCCAGACTAAACACAGACAATCAGTAAGCATTGTGAGCCAGTCTACCCAGTGGGCATTGCATACGTCGAATTTCTGTTGTCTCTGAGATGCTCCAAGTCAAAATTACTAGTAAACTTTCCTGCCATGTTTCATTGTGTGAAATCTCCAGTCCAACTTGCTTGGTGCTTGACTAGGCGAGAGAATTTAATCTATATCTAGATGAACCCTATATCTAGCTTATACGCTAAGTAAACAAGTGCTGTGCCGCCGGAGATTTCCGCCCGCAATGACAGGAATAAACAGATTCAAGTACACGTACTCCTACAGGGGATTCGCCAGGGGTTTCGCGTTCGGCCTGTGTTTAGTGTGTGTGGAACTCCAAGCTGATGCGCGGATGGCACGATGTCAGCTCCACTTACAAACGTTGTTGAGCCGTTCCGAGGTTCTACCTGAGCGTTCGAGATTCGCTCCAAGGACTTGAACCATCTCATTGGTTAGGTTCCTGCTCAGCCGTTCATGATGCCGGAAGTACAATCATTTGCCTCGGACATACTGTAGAGATAGTGACCTATTGGAGGCCTTCCCAGCGGGACTAGCTGGGTCCCCTCGCTGAAATTAAGCGCAAATGATCAGATTGTACCTGGCAGAGAAAAAGTGGCACAGCTGAACCGACGGGTCGATTGCGGCATGGACAACGAAGCAAATGGGTACCCAGCTTTAGCATTGGAGATCCTCGTAGTGGGATCCTTTTCCACCAGAACCCAGAGCAGCAAGAAATCCTAGCTTCCTCGGCATTTCTCTAGTTTCCTAGCGCTGAACTTTCATCGCGACGCTCCTGAGAATAGGATTCCTAGCAAACGACGGGTAGAACAGGCCGGTAGCTCGTGTGAAAGGCTTTCGCAAGCTCTGATCCTGCGGATCTGGGTGACCCGATGCTATATCGCCCCAGTTACCCCCTCTATCATCCTTGGGCTCTCCTGGTCGTGCCATGACAAGCATACCCCAGATTGAGTGCGATTATGGCGGCAAATGCTCATTTGGGAGGCGCGGGCTTGCCTGATGTGAGCCAGGCTCCCCAGATCTTGGCAGCTACATCGATCACCACGGCTTTTGCATTACTCACGGTCCTAGCCCGGATGTATGTCCGTGTGTTTTTCATCCGAAATGTCGGCCTCGATGTGAGTATAGGGTAATCTGGAGCCGGAAGCTGGAGACTGACCAACGACTAGGATTATATCATGGTGCTGACAATGGCACTTGTAACCTCCCCCTCCCGACGCGCTAGCAGCCTGGAATCTGACATTGGCGCCCATAGTCCCTCGCTGGATTTGCTGTGATAATACCAGAGGTCATATATGGTGCAGGAAGACATACGGTTTATGTGGAGGATACGGCCTCGATAGCGACGCACCTGAATTTCGCCACTCAGGGTATCTACATGTGGGCAATCGGGCTCGTCAAAATTTCCATTGGGCTGTTTCTCCTGCGGTTTGCCCCGCGACGGGGTTACAAGATATTCATCTGGGTAGTCATTGGTATGTTGCCTTTCAAACATCTGGCTGTATGCTGGATGTTCATAGAAGATGGAAGCTGTTTCAATCAGTCCATCCTGCTCTGTCTTCTCTATTTCATTTTGAGATTAAAAGTATGCTAATGGCTTTGACAGTGATCATGCTGCTCTATACAATGATATGCTTCCTTGTCTGTCCCCTCTCATATTCTTGCGAATGTCTTCTAATGATGACAGACTCTCATGTTTGAGTGCAAGGATATCAGGACAATCTGGGATGAGAATGTTAAATCACAGTGTTTCACATCCACACAGCTCCTAGAATTGAGCTACACCAATACTGGTAGGGAACTTGCATAATCTGTAAGCACATGGACTAATGATCTCTAGGTCTGAACATCCTGACAGATATTATATTTGCCATTCTACCAGCGATAATGCTACGGTACGTTCTCTTAACTGAACTCCATGATCCCTCCGACTGATAGCCACAGACACCTGCAGGNCAACTGNCGTGNCAAAGCATCGNTAGTCTGCATATTAGGACTGGGGATATTGTAAGCAACCAATACATTCACCCCATTAACCACACTCTNTAACAAACCGNCAGTGCCTGCNCTGNAGCAATCGTCAAGCTCTCCGTCCTACCCAACTACGGCCGCACCGGCGACCTCCTATGGGATTACTCCACCCTCACAATCTGGGTCGTGTACGCCAACCTCCCCAATTCAAGCCACCCAGACTAATAACACCCACCACAGCGTCGAATCCAACATGGGAATTATAGCAGGCAGTCTACCCACTTTGAAGCCCCTGTTCAAGTCAAATCCTGGGTACATATGGATCCCAAAGCAAAACACGACGCTACACATACGGTAGCAAGCAGTATCGACTACAATCAATATCCCCATCCTACCCACAGCCGTCCGTCCGCAGTAGACCTCTCAGCGTGCTCGACCCTGACGACTTGGAAGAAGGCGATCCCCGTGCTGCCCAGAGGAACTCCAAGTACGGAACAACAACGACCAAATACCACTACCGCGATGGCAGCCACACCAGCGAGGAATACATACTAACACGTCAGGAATCAGCGGGGATCGTGCTCACGACAGAGGTGGTTGTCACACATACGATGGCGGAGGAGGTAATACGAAATAACCGAGGGAAAAGGACACAGTCACCCAACGAGAAGGCATAATTGTGCAGTTAGTAGTTCTAAGTGACCTTCTACTACTTACTTACCTAACATGGCGTTTAAAGCTTTTACCACTATAAAAGTAATGATAGATAGACCCAGACGGCATATTGTTTCCTCTTTCCACTTGCAACAACAACCCTTCATAAACATCCACAACCTGACCATAACTACTATCCCCCAAACAAACGAACCTCCAATACAAACAAGCCATAATACATATCAAGAATAAACCCCCGCCCCCACATCCTTGGGCACCTCCACGACCACAGGCCCCATCCTCCCACTCAACGCCACCCAAAACGCCTCCTCAATCCTCTGCGGCAACTCCCTCACATGCTTAACGCCCACATTCCACTTCGTACAAAATCTCGTCATCCCCAACACATCCGCCTCCTGGAACCCGTCCTTCCCGATGGCGCTCGTCGCCACCTGTCCACAGAAAGCAATGAGCGGGGTGCCGTCGCTGAGGGCGTTCTGCAGCGGCGTGATGAGATTCGTTGCGCCGGGGCCGGAGGTTACGAGGACGATGCCGGGGGTGGGATATGAGGAGATCGAGGCGCGCGCGTAGCCTTCGGCCATGTGGCCGGCTGATTGCTCGTGTTTGGGGAGGATGAATGTTAGATGCGGGGAGGCGTAGAGCGCGTCCAGGATGGGGAGGATGGTGCCGCCTGGGTAGCCGACTAAAGGGAGGGAGATGGTGGTGGTGGTGGTTAGTTGGGAGGGTGTATAGTTGGAAAGAGGGAAGGGGAGAGACAGGCTTACAGATGTGTTTGACGTTGTGGAGGCGCATCATTTCGTGGAAGATTTGGCCGCCGGTTTTGCCGATGAAGCTGGAGGTGTGTGGGTTAGGGGGTCGTATTGATGGAGGAGGTTTGCTTGGGGGGAATTGTTCGTACAATTCGTGTAGACGGTGGCGGTTGTGGGGTGGTGATTTTGTTGGTGTTGAGTGTTGATGAGGTTGTCTTGATGGTGTGGGATGGTCTGTTGGTCTGTTTGTGGGTGGTGGGAATGAGTCAATGTCACTTTATAAGGGCAGTTCCTAACTGATTAGGGATATCTAATGCATACCTTGAGTTATTCTCTGTAGGAGAAGTATTCTCATCATCAATCGTTTGAATCTTCGAGCTGAGTGCCATCCCCATTGCCTGGGTCCTCCTCCATGGTGAAATGGACAGACGAGCCCGTGTAGCTCGGCATATATGGCGGGTTTGGAACATAGTAGTCAAGGACGGATTGTACGCAGGGATAATTCGCTAGCATCGAGCATAGTAATAATGAATTGAAGGTACTGATTGGAATTTAAACTACTATTACTCCTACAACCTATGGTTAGGGCGGAGTGAGTCATGCTATAGTTCATCGGCGATCCGAAATCTCACCTCAACCCCTGCAGCAGATGAGTGCTCATGGATTTGATTTGGACAATATCGGAGCGATATCGGACATTATTTTGCATATTGAATGATCCTGCAGGAATGGTTTGGGTTGGGTTTGGTTGTCTGGTTCATTGGATTTGGCTGTCACTAGCACACTATCCTGGGTTATTATGGGGGTTGGATGATTGTACTCAGGTGGTTAGTCATGTAAAATGGATCCAATGGGTAGATGTGGTTCTTTTTTTCTCCTTCCATCCATCTTCTGATAATAATAGCTTGTGTGTGTAATTCATTGATCTTATATATTTCTCTACTGTGCATATATATTATATTTATAGTAACTACTTAGTAGTATATATCATGTGATTCCTTGAGGTCTAGAATGCCTCTTAGAGATTAGATCCTTCGTGTGACTGATCTATGGCATTGACTCACTGTACCATAGTCTCTGCAGTACAGGGATAAACCGAATGCTGGCCTATCTTAACAAATATATATAAAAATGCAGGAGTATACTGTTTTCCCCATTCATTGAATTATACTCTACGTCGGTCTGGGGACAAGTGTCTTGATATAGAGTATTTTGCCTATAACAGGATTCAAACCCGTCGCCTTTATAGTTCAAAGGTTCCTAATCTCCTAATTGATACAAAGGCTTGCCTGATAATGTTCTACTACTAGGCCACCTGAAGGCTAAGCATAGCTTGTCTAACGAAGCTATTTTCCCGACTCCATCTGTATGAGATCTACACTCGACTTCCTAAGCGAGCTAGCTCGAAATTACCAAATTGATGAAGATCGACATAAACCACTTACTTTGGTTACATAACTTCACTAATATGTACATGCCTGTCCACCCTACCTCGTCATGTTCGCATACTTTCAGCTAGTTAGATCATCTTATATATGATGAAACCACGTCCCAATCAGGGATCAAAGAAAAGACCATAAGGAAAAAGAAAAGGAAATGATTAACGAACGGCACACGGTCATACAGTCATCCAGAAGAAAGACTAACTCCAAAAAGAAGACCGAATCAGGTAAAGATATGCTGGCGCAAATTAGAGCTTCGCCAATCGGCGCTCGAGCACTTGACGTGCGATATAAGCCACTAATCATAGATATGTAAGTATATGTTCGTATATCGTTTGGAACGTAACGCAGAGCATTATATGAAAACATTAAGCAATATTATCAATAGATATTATGTATAGTGTATATGTAGATTACGTATCCAGGGTATCGGGGTATCCAGTTAACGTGGAAGCGACGTGCGGGATAATTCACTCTCGGTCTGAAGGGGATGCGGAGGTAAGAAGTCTGGCATATCTAACAAACGATACGCAGTAGATGAAAGGGGGAGTTGGTTGTAGCAGAAAACGACGAATGATGCTGATAAAAGAAATCACTCACCAGCAGCAACAACAGTAGCACGAGCAGCACCAGACTTGGCACTGCCGCCACCAAGAGTCAAGATGTATCTGAGCCAGCTCAGCTGGACCTTCTTGCAGTCGCGGTCAAAGTCGGGAATCAAAGTAGTAGCCTTCTTGAAGAGCTCCTCCTTGCCATTGTAGGGCGGGTAGCGGATAGCGAGGAAGCTCTCGATCCAGCTAGGGCTAGTAGTGATTGTGCGACGGTGCACAAAGACATCGAAACTGGCTTTACCCCGGTAAGCACCTTGACCGCTCTCGCCAACACCGCCGAAGGGGAGGGTGGGGATGTGCAGGGCGGCGTCATTAACGGCAACACCGCCGGAGCGGGTCTGTGACAGGACTATAGCACACGTCAGTTCTCAAGTTGTACGGCAAAATGATACACCTCTAGGGACATACTCTTCTCAACTTCGGCCTTGGAGCCGAACGGGTAGAGACCCAGAGGCGTGGACTGGACGCCGTTGGCGATCTGGACAGCCTGCTCGATGCTGTCAACAGGCAGGATAGGGATGAGAGGACCAAAGCTCTCCTGTGTGATCATGGAGTCTTCAGGCGAGTCAACCACCACAACAGTAGGTTCAATGAAGCGCTCCTTTTCATCCATGCTGCCACCCATGACAATCTTGCCCTTGGTGTTGTCGATCATGCCCTTGATCCGGTGGAAAGAGGCATCGTCAATAATATGGGAGAAGTCCGCAGAGCCCTTGGCGCCCTGGGGGTAGAACTCCTTGTAGACCTTCTTGAACTCCTCAACAACAGCATCGACAAGTGGCCTCTCGACCAACAGGTAGTTCTGCGACGTGCAGAGCTGACCGGCGTTCATCAGCTTGGGCCAGAACAATCTGCGCGCGACCAGTCGGGCGTCGGCATTCTTGGAGATGATAGCCGGGTTGATGCCGCCCAGCTCCAGGACAATGGGGGTGAGGTTAGGAGCCGCCGCCTTGGCGACGATGCGACCGACATTAGCACTGCCGGTGAAGAAGATCTTGTCCCAGCGTTCGGCCAGCAGGGCCTGAGTCTCGGGGATAGCACCCTGAACGATGGTGTAGGCGGAGGGGTCGAGAGCAGCCTCGACAATCTGCTGGATGACCACCGCACAGTTGGAGGACTTTTCACTAGGCTTGATGACAACGGTGTTACCCGCCGCGATAGCGCCAATAACTGGACCCAGTGTCAACTGAAAAGGGTAGTTGAAAGCACTGACCCCATAACGGTCGCCGTTAGCCTTGTCTCAAACCCCAACCAAAATAAAATAGGGGGGAGAGGAAGAAAATTTGTTGAGGAATCCCACAGGAAGCAAAAACAAGTAAGGATAACATACCCAATAACCAAGACGCAACCCAAGGGATCCTTGCGGATCTTGGGACTGGTAAACTTAAAGGTGAGGTCGATGTCCTCAGCCTTCTCATCCTTGACCCATTTGGGGAGATTCCGGCAAACGAAGACAATGTCGTTAAGCAGCCAGGTACTCTCGGCCATGACGGCCTCAAAGAGAGGCCGGTTCAGATCCAGTCGCAGAGCCTCATGGATCTCGTCGACACGATCCTTGATGCTATTGCATGAAGTAGATTAATTAGCCACATATTAAAAAGTCATGCGGGGAGCTACCCGAAAGGTGGTCAAATAAGGTACTTTGGGACAGCTACTCACGCCCAGTAAAGCTTGCGGAGCTGGACCAGCCGGTACTCCACATCGCGAGTGGTGTGCTCATGGAAAGTACTTGCGGCAGCGAGAGACGCGGTCAGCGACCTCATCGCACAGGAGTATACTCCAAAGGAGGGATTTCAATGGCACCCATGGTGAGATAATTAAGGTGGTGGAGAGAGATTGGAGGAGGGGGGAGAGGGGAGAAGGAATGAAGATGACAGGGGGGAAGGAATGGAACAGGAGGAGAGGAACGAAGGATCAAAAAGGGCGGAAGTTCAGCCGAGAAGAGATTAAGAAGGAAACCGAATGCGGAGCTTGCTAAGTGGTCTGACAAGCCCCTGATTTATTCTCCCTTATCTACTCCTATGAATAATGGAATACGAAGAAACCACTGGAGAGTGAGTGAGTGAGAGCAAAGCAGTCCGGGGATGTTCGTCCGGCCAGATAATATAACGAGCAGCCATTCCGCCGACCGAGGCCGGGTGGATTGGTGATCAGCAAATTCACCGAGCCGTTCATTTTTTAGGGGCAAAAAAACCATCCATTCCCCATCCATTCCCCTCCATTCCCATGCATTCCTGGCACATGCCTCCTTTTTTCCCCCTCATCTGTTCCGCGGCACAGCCGAGGAAATTCCATTCCCACTCGCAAGTTCTTCTTTTTACGAACTGAGAACCGTTGTTGGCCACTGCTCACATGTCCACTAGTTAACTTAACAAATGACAGCTCCGGGTCGAGTCATGCACGCGACCCACTTGCCTCGCAAGACGTTCTGTTTGCGGATAGCTTAGGAGCTTATTTACCCCTTGCTCAGCAACTTAATGTCAACGGCTATCACATTGTGGTATATACGATGATAAATCATAGCTAGCTCACGGAACAACGGAGAAAATAGAACATAAAAAGCAATATGCAGATCTGCCATCAGTCAGTCACCAACTCGCTTCTTCCTCAGTGCTTGAACTGATCCTCCGTGACGCCCTTGCCCATGGCGGCCGTACTGCTGATGCCGCCCGTCACCATCTTCAACATATTATCCACGTAGTTGGCACCACTCCATTTCTGGTGAGTCACCACATCCACCCCCTGCTCCATCTCGGGTTCTTGCACCAACTCGCCGTACGCCCGCATGCCCTGCTTCGCGTACGCCTTGGCAAACTGATCCGTGATCAGCGCCGTCGTGTGCAGACCCGCCAGGGTGATGAACTGCCAGCAGTATCCCAGGGCTCCCAGGCGCTGGATGTAGGTCTCCTGCTCATCGCGCGGCATCGCCTTCTTCCAGTTGAATGAGGGCGACAGGTTGTACGCCAGCCTAAAGGGTCAGGTTAGTATCGAAGTCTCCGCTGATGCAATGCAAATCAGGACAACACTTACTTCTGCTCGGGCCACACGGCGTGAACACCGTCGGCAAACTCCTTCGCCTGGGCATAGTCGGGCAGCTTGCTCTCCATCCAGATGAGATCTGCGAATGGGCCATACGCAATGGCGCGGTTCACCGCACACTGCGTACCTCCCTGGTACCGGTAGAAGCCCTCCCGGGTGCGAGGGGCGTCCCAGTCCCAGTAGATGTCGACGCCAGTGATGTCCTTGGCAATAGCCCGGGCTTCGCGGTTGCTCTTCCCCTTGGCCTTCTTCAGGTACTCATCGATGAGGGCCTTCTTGTTACCAGAGGAGCTCTTGTTGATGGTATCGATGACAGCCTCGCTGAAAAGCTTCAGGCCAGCCTGAGCAACCCACTGGTCTTCGATGGCTTGCAGCTCGTTTCCGTTCTTGCCAGCCTGCTCTGCGGCCACCATGAGGTCGTTGAGGGGCTGCAGGTTGGGGTTTGTTGAGCCCACGACGAAGGCATGATCGCGGTAATCAATTGTGGAGGTAATGAGAGTGGCGGCTTCGGAGTCGGTTCGAGCGATGGCAAGCAGATCGGTGCCTGAATAGAGTCAGTTGATGCCATGCATATTAAGCGAATGAGGATGCTACATACCCATGATATCCGCTTGCGCACGGATAGCCACCAGACGGTTGATGTGTTCGCTGATAGGCACAAGCACCTTTCCGGCCATGTGGCCGCACTTCTTGGTTCCCGGAGCCTGGTCTTCAATGTGAATACCAGCAGCACCACGCTCAATAAACAGCTTGGTCAGCTTCATCACGGCCGTCAAGCCACCATGTCCGGTATCGGCATCCGCAATGATGGGGCGGAGGTAGTCAACATTTGCCACCTTGCCACGCTGCTCCTTGGGAGTGGTGATGCGTTCTTCGCGCTGTTTCCGGTCATGGAACAGCTGAGCCAGGAACAGCTGGTTGACCTTGTTGGGGACGGTATTCTAACTCATGTTTTAGCAGTGATCCCACAACCAACAACATCCTTTTGAGACCTACCATGGGGTAGTCGGCAAGGTCGGGAGAGGGTTCGTCGGTGGACGAGGCGGTGGAGGAGCTCTGCCAGCCAGAGACGTAGACGGTGTCAAGGTATTTGGCCATCTGGGTGAGCATTGTGGGCTCGAGACAGCCATAGGTGAAGCTAGGTACTTTTTTCTAATAGAAGACAGATAAGTTTAGGAAATATGTCAACCACCACAGAGCAGGGACATGCGAACCTCGAAATTGCTCTCCAAGATCTTCCACAGCTTCTTGCTCATAGCATTGGAAGGGTATTCGATCTTCAGGGTGCCGCGCTTAGCCACAATCTGCTCAGCAGTAAAGGGGCGCTTGGTGTGTCTCCATCTGGAGTCCTGCCACCACTTCTGGACGGCCTGGACATCGTCCAGATACTTCCGGTCTTCTTCTTCAAAGGAAGCCATGATGTGTAGTATAGACGAGGGAGTATATGCGATGATCTAATTCTTGCAAATGGATATAGTATAATACAATGTATCCAACAATGTCTGTATACAACCAAAAGAGAAAGACAGAAGAGAGGAAGTAGAGGGGAGAGGAGAGAAGAGTGAAGAGAGAGGAGAAAAGGGTACAGTCAAATAAAGTCAATCATCAAAAAAACCGGAATCACAAGCCAAAGGAAACACCCAGCTACTTAAAGCATGCGCCATATCCCTCGATGCGTCACAAGTCATGACTAGACTTGGGGCCCAGCGTAGGTTGGTCGGTAAACGTTCGGTTCAGCGGGACAAGAAGGAAAGGGCGCAAGGACCAAAGGGGCCAGCCAGCTTGCCCCGGAGTATCTGAATTTCTTGCAAACAAAACCGGGGGTAAGTTAGCATGGGACGAAACAATTAGGTTGAACCAAGGGTTTCACAAGCCAGTTAGTGATCGGGGGTGGGAAAGGCAGAGGCGTACTAAGGAAGTTGGTTGCTGGTTCGGAAGAGAGGATCGAGACCTGACGAAGATCCTCGGTCTAAAGGGACCAAGCCGAAAACAGGTCGCCACTTGTTAAGCAGAACTCTCAATACATGCCATGCCAATGATTCTTTGCTTCTACAGCAATAATAACTCAATCTTTCTATTAAGCATTAGGTAAATGTTTCTCATCTCAACTTCCAGTACATAGCAACTAAGCGATACTCAAACTCATCTATCACAACCATCAACAATTCAACTACTTACCTACATTATTACCCCACGAAAACAGCCTCACATAGTAAGAAAGTAAATGACGTTAATCCACTCCCAGGCAACACGCATGTGCCTAGCACCAACTCACCTCCGACTCTACCCATTTACAATACCATACCACTCCCGTCCCCAATCCAACCCCCTGTCCCTTCACCCTGATTGGCCAAAACCCCCAGACCCTACCTTCCTCCCCCACACCACCCCGTATCCATTACCCCTCAGGCATCAATACACACGGGACTGTCCAGCCTCGGCATCCCGCCACCCAATCAGCTGGCCGCTTCATAGCCGATCCACGATCACCTCGTAGCTGTTGCTTCCGTATAGTCTTCTTCGTAGGCCACGCAAGGTCGGGAAATCAAGGAGATGTGTTCCGAGTATCTACAATTCTTCCTACGTATCTACATGTCATTTGTTTTAGAATGTATTTATTTGTGGAGGAGGTTTTCGGACGTTGACCGAATAGTTTTCATCGGGAGGTGTAAAACGAGGGGTGGTGCGTGGGTGGGTGTGGTTCGGAGATGAGGTGTTCTTGTCTACAGGGATAGTTTCTTTTTTTTTTATATAGGATGAGTATATGTGTAGATCTATACAAAGTACTTCGTATCATGGTAGTGCTATCTGCTATCTGCAACTGGGGTGAGTGGTTGGGGGCTTCGGAGATTCTGGGGGCTGTTGCATGGGCTTTCAGCTGGGCTGGGTTTGGGGGGTTTCGGGGGTGCGTGGACGTGTTGTTTAGTACTTCTAGTACGGAGTACTAAGCTTGGGGAAATGGATGGATTGGAATGGGATGGATGTCTGGGGAAAAGGGGAAATATTGGGTAGGTAGTAGTCCAAGATGCAGTAAGATGTACTTGTGATTCACATGTGAATTTGTCTGTGGGAGGTCATCCATCCATCCATTCATTCATTCATCTGACACTCATGACTTCTGAGTCAAGACAGACCCTGGATTGATCTCCGATCGTTGCTTACTTGCTTACGGGGTAAGAGGATAAACCGTCATCATTATCATCATCATCCAAATCCGGAAGAATGCATTAACTACTACTATTTCTCGTTACTACCTAATCGTTTTATCGTGGACTTTGTGGCTAGAAAACGCAAACCCGAAGAAAGAAACAACAACATAATCATCAAATCAGTCACCCGATAAAAGACAAACGCCGCAGTCAAGAAGACTCGTCACTTCTACTATGAATCTGTCCACCTCGGAACAATAACAAGCTCCCATCTCTCTCTGTTGTGTCTGCAGAACCAAAACAATCACAGCAGGCAATGCAACCTCTATAACCAAAAGTCAAGATGTTCCCTCATCCAACCGATTCTAAAGCTATAGAAACTGTGCCCGCATAACCCTTTTTCCCATTTTTTGTGCAGAAAGCTGAAGTGCCACGACGGGCGAAAACAAATAGCCGCGCTAAATGCGATCATGCTCTCTCCTTTCTTCGTCTTCCCGGATTCCAATTTTAGAAGTCTTGGACAGCCACCGCCTTGTTGTACGTCTCATACGGCGTGATGGCTCCCAGGGCGCGTCGCTGATGGGCATTGAGTATTTCCAGCCCGTACACGTAGCTGGCATTGACCCATCCGAACCTAGAGAAAATTGACCGGGTTAGTGTTACATTCGCGTAGTTGTTATTATTCATCAGGAAGGGAACAACGCTTACCCTTCGCGGGGAGCCCCCTTGAAATCCACACCTTGGTTGCCGTACTCGGCATCCACCCGGTGTGGGTCAATAGGCCGGGTGACGTCGTACTTCTCGACGACAACGCCGTTGAAATCAACAAAGGCCTTGGTGATCATATACAGCCACTTGTATGCCAGGCGCTCGGCTTCCTCTTGGTAGCCATAGCGCATCAGGCCCGTCCATGCCAGCATCTGCTGGGGTGCCCATCCGTACGGGTAATCCCATTGCCGGTTAGGCCGATCCAGGCCAACGGCACCCCGAGATTCTTCGGTTCCCGAGACCAGGCCTCCGTAGGCCTCGAACCGCTTGAGGGACTGCACCAGCTGCGATGCTTGATGGGGTGTCGCGAGGCCAGCCCACATTGCCCAGTAGGTGGTGGCACTCTCGTACGTGGTGCGCTCCTGCTTGGCAGTATCATAGTCGAAATACATTCCCTTCTCTTCATCCCAGAGGTAAGTGTCCATACGTATCTTTCTTCTGCGCGCGCGACGGTCCCAGACCGAGGATGACTCGAATTGAATATCCTGGGTCGACGCCGTCCGGAATTCCTGTGGGATCTCGAGCTTGTCCTTAAAGTAGGTGCGGATGATGCGGGCAATGTCCACCTCATACTTGTACAACAGCGAGTTAAGATCGACGGTAGCCAGGTTGGCACAGACCCTCTCCAAACGGTAGCTTGTGTCATGTCCCGACTCTCGCACGGCCCTGTCGTGCAGGAAGTACTCGTCGAGCTCTGGCTCCAGGATCTTCCGTTCGTTGTAGGCTTCAACGAATTCTTCAAAGGTCATGCCGTGCTTCTCGGCATAAGGAGTCAGAATATGAAGGAAATGGGTCGGCTCCGTCTCCGGAGGAACTCCTTCACCTTCGGGGCGATATCTGGAAAGACCAGACACCGGATCAAATCGCGGCTCGGCCGTCCAAACGCTGTAGTACTCCTTGATTGCGGCGAGCGTCGCATTTCGAAGGAATTCCATAGCATCAGGCTCGTTCTTGATCCGTTCATAGACACGTAAAGCCATATCGGTCAAGAACGGAGGCTGGGAACGCATGAGGTAATACGAGCGGTTTGCGTTCAAGATCTTCCCGTAGTGCTTGATGCAGAAACAGAAGTTGATCACCATGCCTTTAGCGAGGTCGACTCTATTGCTGACCAGCAGACCCAAGGACATCATATAGCTATCCCAGTTATAGAGCTCGTTGAATCTTCCTCCCGGAACCACGAAAGGAACTCCACTATACTCGGTCTTCCCTGTGGCTTCGTCAACCTTCTTCTCCATGGCCAATGCCAGAAGGCCGGGCTTGTCATTCAGCTTTCTGGTATATTCCGGAGTAATATTAGAGTCCAACAGCTGCACATCCAGGCGCAGCTCGGGATGCGCTTCCGCAATGCCCTTGTAGTACTCAAGCTGCTCCGGTGCACCCGGAGGGACATAGACCCGAGGCCGCGGGTCATCTGTCCAATCCTTGGGATCGCGACCAGCTTCAGCGATGTTATGTCCATCAATACGCCGTGTCAGGGCGTTCCAGAATGAATTCTTGATGAGCCGAGAGAGCCGTGCGACCGGGTTCTCACTGAGACGGGCTTCATCAAGAACAATGTGTTTCCGACCGTAGTCTTGGGCAATTGTGAGCTCCTGAAGGAGGTTGGAAAGCATGTATGTTCCTCGCAAGTCGAATCGGTTGTATCCCGAAGATGCAGCGGTTCCCACGGAGAATACCTGCAAGACAGTGCATTAGTGACTCGAAATGACCTTATTTGCTTGACATCCGACCACACATACCTTGGGGCCCACATCTTCTATCGTAATCTGCATGTTCCGATCTGTGTCTTCCCGCTCCAACAGACTGTGGAGCGTTGTGTCAACGTCAATGAGAAATTTGCGGGGAACAGCCGGCGTCTCATCTGTATACCCCGCGGGTCAGCCCACGATCTCAAGATAATTCGGATATTTTCCTTTTCTTATACGTACCGTGACTCGCTCTTCTTGCGGGAAATCCGCCTCCGAGAAATTCTTGAATATCGTCCCGATTGAAGGATTTGAGAGTCTGCTCACAGGTGTTGGGTCAGCAAGGCCGAATCTCAGCTTATCCTAGGGGGAGCGATGGAATCCGGACGTACCGAAGAGAATGCCCGCTTACGGTCTCTCATACGAGCAATGTTATCCTCATCGCCATAGTAGACGTCGGGGTCGGAGAATGGATCGAGAGACGTGTTGCGTCGATGCTGAGCACTTGACGAGCTCATCGTCGGGAGATTGTGAGATTGTGGTATGGAAGATAGAAGAGACGTTCGATGACAGGCCCGGCAAACGAAAGGCTAGAGCGAAAACGGGGGATCCGAGCAGGGGTGGATGGATTTGTTGGGTTAAGGGGTGACACTGCGACACCAATTATTGAAGACGCTAAGCCCGTTCGTGGCGTTGTAACTCTTCTTGGACTCGAGACGGTACCCAAGGAAAAAGAGGTTATGCTCTTCGTACCGCAGACAATCTCGCTAAAGCTGGGGAGGATGGTAGGACAAACAGTAGGGTTTTGGGTAAGAGGGTTGAGACAATGCAAGCACACACGACAAAGAGAATTTCGTGTAAGATGGATTGGCCACCAGCGGCGGTTCAGTTCCCGTGCGATTTTGGGGGGGTACGTCACAACACCCGGTCTTCGGTTTGGCTGGTTCCTTTTGAAGGTTTTGGTTTGTGTGCAATTCGGCGGTGTGTAACTCTCAATATATACTGGTTGAGATGAAAAGCATGAGAGAGAAAAAAAGGAGAAATAGTCTCAGGGTGTTGAATTTGTACTCTTCGCTAACCAGGGGATTTTTCGATTATCTATTATGATTATAATTGTTATTCTTGCCCGGATTGAGCGGCAGCACCCAACGGCATCCCATTGATCTAGAGAATGAAGTTCCCTTGGAGACTATGACGCCACGGGCCCGATGATGTCGCCGCTCCACTCAATAATTCCCCCCTTCGGTATTTCCCCGGCTGCCTCCCGCCGACTTGTGCTGCACTGAATGGATCCTCTGGAGATAAGTTGTTGGCCAATTCCGTAAAACAAACAAAAAGAAGCGTGAAAAAAAAAGGGAAGGAAAAAGGAGTAATCCGGAAAAAGCAAATCCTACCAGATAACGAGTGGTCACGAGGACCAAACCAATAAAGCAAAAATGAAGGAGGTCTGTGGGTCTCCGCGGCATCTGTTGGTCGAGCTCTTGACGTGGCACTCGATAGATATATCTCTAGTATGGAGCACGCAGCAACAATGAGAGTGGGATGATCTTTCAGTCTATGTACATTCTAGATCTTCGTCGGTGTGGGACACCCTGTACACTCCCAAGACTCATTAACCTTTCACCTCCCCCAGCAAAGCAAGAAAGCCTGAAGAGAGTCGCGCCCAAACCCAAAGACAAAGTTTTCCTGCTATCTGGTATGGGCTTTCTTCATCTTCATGTATCTGCTGTCCGTCGGATCCATACTGCGGATGCGTGGCAGGGAGATACTTGGTCGAGTCTCAACTTTGTCATCCTCCACAAGTCGGTTGTTGGGGATGAGGATCGCGCGGTCGAGCTGATATGGCAGTCCACGGTGCCGTCCACGAATCATCATGGCACAGATGACTATCTTGCTGAAGATATCGAACTGAGCACTGAATGAGGTGGAGGCGGTCGGGTATCCTAGACTTAGGCCGACGTTTCCGCTGTGCATACGTTAGGTACATCTACTCGCAGTAACAATGGCGTGGCTATACTCACTAGGCTGAGACGACTTCGAAAAATATCGCGAACACGGAGAATGCCTGTTGTCCAAGTCAGAGCAATGCTCCCTACGGTGAACAAGGGTCACAAACCGGCTTCGTGGGGTCCATTATTTTCCCCGACTCTGCAATGCAGATGCACATGATTCCAAGGAAAATGTACCACAAATCGAAGCTGAGTTGGTTTCGCATGTGCATTAGAACGTATCTCTTGCCATCAGCTTCGTCCATATCGGTTTCTGAGGAAAAGACTCCAATCGATCTTTCTTCATAGATATTGGAAGCTCGTACACTGATAGCGATAGGAAACACCGAAATGTACATCATGACGAGCAAGCTGAATTGAACTGCCGGGTTTACGTCGGCAAGATTGAATGATGCTGTCCCTGTGTGCCGTGAGGATGCTGACTGAAAAATAGCTGCCGCCACACGAGGCCCGGGGGCCAGATCGTTGACCGCAGGATTGTCGAGATCAAGAACCAGGATCAAGAGAACATCAACAAAATTCAACACAAAGATAATTCCGAAAAGAATCCATGTTGGCTTGCTGCGGAAGAGGAGCAAGTAGCACCGACGAGGGTACTTCAACAGGAACTCGAGTGGCTCCTTAAGAGAAGAGCTTTCAGGGGTACACTTGGACATAGCCCAGATAATAAGACGGAGGCAGCAAGGATACAGAGTGTTCCCAGCATAAGCAAGAAAACTCATGACTAGCATAGGGAACACGGCATCGTTGAATGATATCATGGAATCCGGAGTAAGGGTAAGTCCCAGATTGCTGGTCATCGTCTGAGCCGAATAGATCGCCCTATATATATCAGAACATATAGGTTGTTTTTAGGCCTTTCCTTGCCAGAACGTACCACCAAACTTCATTTTGACCGCATTCGTGGAGGTAGTCCCTATACTTACGATTTGAATGCAATATCCAAGGGACAAGACACACCACACCAAAAACATGAAACCCAACAAAGTAACCTTTCAATGACAGATGAGCTTTTACTGATCGCAGAGAAGGGAACGGCGAAGCTGTTTGTACGCACCTATTACGATTTTTAGGAGTAGCCTTAAGCTCCGGTACTCAATGCCGCCCAATCGCTCTCGGTCTGCAGCAGTCAGATTGTGGAACTGCGAATTCCTTCCAAGTGTTGCTTGTACGGAAAGCTCAGGGAGATTTGCGTCTTTGGAGAGAGATATGGCCGGTCGAAGAGATGGCTCTCGAGCTCTGCTAGGTTGTTTCCCAATCACGAACAGAGAAGATGCTACCCGCTCGAATGGTAAACCACCGGTGGCGCTTCTACCATTTTCAGAGAGCTCATCTGTATTTTCAGAGTTTCTCCGCTCTGTTTCGGCGTCCTCATCGTCCTCCTCGATGACTTCCTGGTGTCAGACTAATTTGATTGCAACAGAGCTAGTAGCCAGGCTTACCGTCCTCACCCGGTCCTCGTTGGACTTCTGCTATCGGCACCCCTATTGCCTATAAGCTATTGTCTGGCCGTCAAAAGGGCCATGAAGTCAAAGTACCTCTGTCGCGTTCTCGCGGTGAAGGAATGTAGAGCGCCTTGGTAGTGTCCGCAAAGGAGATACTCCGCGATATACCAGCAGCGTGTGAATCCGAGCTGTTGTTTTCAGGTCGTACATTGCCAGTGCTTCTTGGCCTATATCACGATTAGCAATGCTATTCACAGGAGCTACAAGTATAGGGCCACATTCTCACCTCTCTGGTACCACATGCCCGATTCTCGAGCCGACCAAGCGCTGGCCATCATCGACTTCCTTCTTCTCTGTTGAGTCAACTGGTCCGTTTTCTGACGTAGAAGGCTCACTCAGCGCCCGAGGATGCGCTTCAGGGTCGTAGCGTGCAGCATTGGAGCTCGATGGATTGCTTTTTCGATCAAGGACACCAGGTGCTGTTAGAAAACATTGTATCAGCGAAAGTTCGAACATCACGCAACCTAGCACATGAAACTAGCTACCTATCTCTTTGAGCCGTTTCTCAAACCAGAGCAAGCGGACAACTACCACCAGAATATTGATAAATCCAAGGTTCGAGACGATTGGGACAAAGTAGATGAAGAGTTGCTGGTAAAGCTTCATGTCCTTAACATCGACTCTAAAAATAATATCCACGTCAGACCTTGCTCCTAAAAGCCGAAAACAAGTAAAATGATAAAGTAAACGATCGACTAACGTGTTGAGCCCTGACTCGGTCGAAGAGCTTACGCCGAAGAAGTATGCATCGATGGCGCGGAGATTGCCATAGGGATAGAGGACAACCAATCCCAGAAGACCCAGAAAAAGAATATATGCATCTGTCCCAGTATATGAGTTACTTTTGCCACCAATACCGTAATGATAGGCAACGCACAATGTAGAGTGATGAAATTAGCCTGCAGCTTCCACATACTGCGGCACAGCAGGTATGCTCATAGATCGGAGACGAAACGATTCCGGCGGGTTGGGAAACAAGCCAATCATGAGAATCGAAAGCAATGATTGTAGAGACGAACCTAGAAAAGATTAGTTTACCCAGATCCAGCAGCAATCTCTGACTCTTTACCGGGACTAGGATCTTGGGAGAGCCCGTTGTGAGATCTTTATTCTGTGCCAATAGAGCCCCGCGCTGGTATGATGAGCGATTTGTCCGGACCAATACGCTTCCAGAAAATCACAACCCCACGCGATCGGTCAGCAGAGCTTAGATGAAGGCTGTATAGATGCACCTTTGCGATATAGGAGGGAATTTTCTAAGCCAACGGTTCTAGTTCGCACTAGAAAAGGTGGCTGACGGCGAGCGAAGATCGCCGCAGCAACCTTCGGCGTGGAAGATGCAAAACACCTGGTTGCTTTTTCGAGGTGCGCTGACTGGAGTAGACAAGAAGAGTAGATAATATTGGGATTGTCAGAAGGCAAGGTAGGCAAACGCTAATCATTCGCAATACTTGGAAGGTTTGTTGAGGAAGTGAATCCCTTCAGCCATGCTCCTTCCAATGATGATAGTTATCCGCTCAGCATGACATCCTCCTTTGTCATATGCCACCCCTAGAATGATGTCAAGCTCGTTGTTCAGCCTCCAGTCGTATTGCCTTCTTCATGGTAGGGGAGACAAGATGGGTGGCTTGAACTCAGTTTGAACAATTTCATTGCATGACTTGGGCACGGACTGCCAGGTCTACCTCGGTTCAGAAAGTTTAATGGGAACAAATAACTGGTTAGGTTGGACCTTCTGCATGTAGGCTTAGATCAAATCTACATTGCATACACATACTTCCATTTACCCCAAATATCCATTCCATCTTGCTTACAGCTTACAATTCAGAGCTTCGCTGTGATTGCGCTACCACCATCCAGGGTGATTGTCGCGCCATTCACATACGAGCCGGCGCGGCTGCTCAAGAACAAGCACGCTCCTGCAACATCCTCGGGGGTACCAATACGACCCAAAGGAATACTTCCCTCGATTGTCTCCCGATGTGCTTCCAATGTGGCAGCCATCATCTTGCTCTCAAATGGGCCACAGGCCAGAGAGTTTGATCTGCGGGTAGTGCCGGGTCAGCCCAAGCGCCGGGGATAAGCGACCATATGGGGGTTACACGTACGTGATGTTCCGTCTTCCAAGGTGGTGTGCCAAAACACGACTCAAATGGTGCAATCCAGCTTTACTGGCACTGTATGCAAAGGTTTCCAGAGCTGGAACCCTTATGCCATCGATGCTACCGATGTTGATAATGCGAGCCGGGTCGCCAGATGAACCGGCCTTCTCCAGTAGAGGGGTGAGAAGCTTGGTGAGGTCGAATACCCGATGAAGATTGAGAGTGAGAACTCGTGTCCAAGCAGACGAAGGGTATTCATCGTACGGGGCACCCCAATTGGACCCAGAGTTGTTGACAAGAACATGCAGCTCTGTGGAATGTGTTAATCTAGTGCACTATGCGCCCACCCTCCTCTAAGGAGCAACACTCCAGGGGCTGGACTTACTGCTCTCGCGCTTAGCAATCTCTTCGGCCAATCTTTTGACTTCCTCCTCTTGGTAGAAATTGGCAGGGATAGCATAAGCCTTGCCCGTGCCAAGTGCATTGAGCTCGTTTACAGCTTTATCGCAAGACTTGGCATCTCGCGACGAGATATACACAGTGGCGCCGTTCTTTACGAAGCCTTCTGAGATCATCCGACCGATTCCTTTGGCGCCACCAGTGACCAGCACGACTTTGCCCTAAGCGCATGGTTAGATCTTCAGCTCAGCTGTACAGTCCGAGCCCTCTACTCTGCATCTCCGCAGTACGCACCTTGACGTTGAACAACTGCTGAACGTCCATGGTGATGGTCTGTGTGATAGAGATTGTATTTGGAAGCTAGAGGAGATCAAAGTAGTCAGTTAATAACTGGACAACCGATTGCAAGAAATTCAGTCAGCCGCGCGTGTGAGGTCTGGACAGAGACGCTGATCTACCCCTTATAGATGTACTACCTTACCGCCTAGGTCCGCCCGGGGATGATGGGGATACCCGAACTACCGGGGGTCACTCAACGGTGACACAAAAGATACCGAGGCTGAGCGGAACGGAAGAACGATGATGCAGCATTTCTGGAGTGATTAGTAGTTGCTTGCATGGCATGTCAGTGGCAAAGGCCAGCAGGACTTCGATCAGTAGAGTGCACAGTGCGCAGTAAACATATGGCTGGTGGATACACATGGCTCAGCTTTCATTGTTGCCGATATCTTATCTCCTCTAGACGGTCGTTCAATTTGGCCGAAAAGTCCTGAGACCAGATCTTGATGCCTTAGGTATCAACAACAGAAGCGCCGATCGGGTGATCCAGAAAAAGTCACGAAAGGCTTTGGCGGGGCTGAGCTTCATCCCACCCATGTGCATGTTCAGCATTGAATTGAACTTCCTACCTTGTCACGATACCCTTGTTTATATTCTTGCATAGCTTACCTTCGCGTTCGTCCATCATTTCAATTCTCGACATCCTTCTAGAATCATTTATAGAGTTTCAGTTGGACTAGCGCATCCCACATTTCCCAGGATGGAGGAGCTACAAGCTAAACACCGCAAGGAACAGAAAGATCTACAGGCTCGAATCACTCAGAAGAAGAAGTCTGCCACGAAGAAGACTCGCAAAGGAATCAACGATGATTGCGAGAGGCTCCAGAGAGAGCTCTCTGAGCGGCAACAAGCCGAGATCGCGCAATTAAATGGCGAATCGGACCAGCCTGTGGATGGCATCGAAGACCTCAGTTTGAACGAATCCAGTGAAGGGGACCGAAACGTTGATGAGGCTGGTGACTCACCGGATCAGCAAAATGCAGATAGCCCATCTGAGACAACACCATCGTCGCCCCAGAGCTCTACCCCCGCAACCCCGCAACCCTCCGGCCCCCGTCCTAAGAAGCCCAATCGCCAGAAGGCACGTTTAGCACGTCGTGCAGCGGAACAAGCAGCGCAGTCAGCAATTGCTGCGGAGGAGGCCGCAAACCAAACCGATCATCGTGGGAATGAGAAAGAGGTCATGGAGGGCGTGTTCAAGCGCTTACAGTTGAAGGAGGTTGACATAAACCCGGATGGTCACTGTCTGTTCTCTGCCATCGCATGCCAGTTGGACGAGCAAGGCATTGGTCTGAAACCTGACCCGAAGAGAATGATCCTCCAGCCTCCCACTCAATCCCGCATTGATACCGTGGCTTCGCCCAAACATGACGGGTATCGGGCGGTTAGAGCTGTGGCGGCGGACTTCATTAGCGACCACAAGGACGACTTTGCACCATTCATGGAGGAGCCTTTGGACCAATATACCAGGAAGGTCAAGCTGACAGCCGAATGGGGCGGACAACTTGAATTGCAAGCGATCGCCAGGGCATATGGCGTTGAGATCAATGTCATCCAAGGCGATGGGAGAATCGAAAAGATTGAACCGGGCGAGGTCGATGAACCAGGCGACGAAGAGGGAAGCAAGCGGGTCATCTGGTTGGCTTACTACAGACACACATACGGGCTTGGGGAGCATTACAACGCACTCTCCAAACATACATAGAGAAGCGTATAAAACAAAAACGTCAATCAAAGATTAGGCTATTGACCAATCAAGACAGTGACTCCCATCCCGGCGATACTTTATCTACCGTGGATATGGCCTCACCGGCGGCGCCAGATCGATACCCGATCTTGAACCTCCCCATTGGCATCCTTGCCCACCTCATGCGTCCGGGCAGGCTGCCAATAAGCCACTCGTTCCAGTCCTCGATCACTTGGCTCTCTGAGAGGGTCTCCCCTGCATCGGCCCTGGGCATCATAGGAGACCTGCTCTCCCGGGTGGCTGAGATGCTCCATGTAAGCCTCCGAGGAGAGACCAAACGGAGGGCCCGGGAGCGACGGGTCCTTGTGCCTTGGGTACTCCAAGCAGATCAAGTTCCCATGTGGCGAAGGAGCTAATAGTTGAGTATGCCGGAGCGCCCAGTCAGGTCGCATGGACGGGCTCAGGGCGCAAAAGAACTGCACTCGAAATCAGTAATCATTTCATCTAGAACCACCCGTAAACCTCCGGCGACATCATAAAACTCACCGTATAATCATAAATTAAATCAAAGCAATTCAACCCCAACCCCAACTCCTCCAACCAATCATCCTTGAAGAAATCCCCCTGCACAAAAATCACCTTTCCCCTACCAACCTCCTCATCCCTAACGGGATACTTAGCACTGGTAGTACTCTCCTTCTCCTCCTGCCTACACGCCTGGACCGCCGCACCACTATACTCTAATCCATACGCATCGTACCCGAAACTCGCCAACAGAAGCACATCCACCCCTCTCCCGCAGCCCGGGACTAGCGCTTTCTTCCGGTACCTGTTCCCCTCTGCGTCCGTGGCGAGGGCATTGCCAATTGTACCTCGCCGCTGCATCAAGGTATCTTCTAATGCTGGGTTCGGGGCGCCTTTATCCCAGGGAGGACTGGGGTTCGCGTTCCAGATCTCGGCCCAGCCGTCGACGTATTTCTCGCCGGGGTATTTGGCGAGCGTGTTGTGGACGGATTGTTGGGCTGCTGTGAGGGTGGATTGGTCGGTCATGGTGGATTGATGGTTTGGAGAGCTGGATACTAGCTACGTATGGAGGTAGGTACTTTGGTAGTAGGAGGTAAGTAGTGGATAGGTGAAGTTGGATGTTGTCAATTCTGGTTGGGTTCGTATTCTGGAACTGTCTATGAGGTTGGCTCTGGCTCGGACGTGGGGCAAGCGACTGAGCCGGCGGGTCGTGCTGGAGCGTATCCACTGGGCTGGATGGAGGGTTTTGTTGTCCATAGCTGTTGCTTGGAGATAGATTTGGATACTGCAGATGTACTATCAATATGGATGGCTACGCTCCTTGTACTGTTCAAGCTGCTCGAGTAACATCATTGCTGCTTGGGGTTTTCCCGGAACAGGGGGTTAACCTAGATCCCATAGTAGTGCCCTTTGACTTGTCCACTTTGTCATCAGAAAAGACGGTTGATAAAGCAATAGTCAGAGCCACGCGAGACTGAAGGGAGTAAGCCATATCTGACTGCAAGGGAGAATGTTCCGAAAGCGATGCGCTGGAATGCTGTCACGGGGTGTTTTTCTTCTCCCGGACACGACGATCAATACCAAATGGAGGATCCTGGGAGCCTCAACGAGCAATTCTGCTCAATCATATCTTCTAATTACCATTTATACTCTCGAGTCTTAGAAGTTGAGCGCCTGTGATATCGTGTACCATGTGCATTCGGAGGTTTAGAGTGTTTCCCTTCCCGTTCCTCGTGCTATGAATCCCCACCACTGAGCGGGACATTAACGTCCGGCTATCTAGCGAGGCTTGACCTCGGCAAAGCACCAATTAGTGCCAAATCAGGGGCGGAAATGACCGCCATCGGATGAGACGGCACCAGTTGGCTGGATTCTGACTGGCTGGCCCTGAATTTGGCTTTGCCCCCTATAGTATGGAGGGAGGGTTAGATGCTGCTTGATTCATGGGCTTAACACACTGACGGAGTACCTGGTCATTAATTATGGAGTAAACTACACAAATGTCAGATAGTATTTTGCAACCAAAAGGGTTTGACTGCGGTATGCATACTGGCGCGCTGCGTGTGTAGCGGTGTGCTACATGCTGCTTGTCAGTTTCAGCTTGATGATATTCTCTGGATTCTCAGGATATTGAATCTCGACTGGAAAAACATTCGTATCTTCGGGATCTTTGTAGTGAAGAGATAAGAAACCCGGATAACTAATCTGCACTGCAGGGTCTATATTCTTTGTAAGCAGGATCGATCTATCAAGGAATCCTGAATTGTTGAGATCCAATGGCAGGTGCAACCAGAAGCAAGTGGGGAAGGCACATACAGTTTCCTGCCCGATTAGGAGGAACCGACCCCTGCTGATACGAACTAACTCACGAGCAAAGACGCAATCCAATCTTCCTCCTCCTCTTTCTTACTCCAATTTCATCTTCTCCAACTATCTTATCTGGACCGACCAGCTCGTCTTCCACTCTCTCTCACCACTACTCACTTCTATACTTACGACTTATTGACAGTATATGATGATCGCCAACTCTTATACCTCGTCATAACAATTTGTCACTGGCCCGCCCGGCACGGTCATTTAGCGCATGCTACTTTCACTTCATCGCATGTATGATAGTCTAGTCTGTCGCGACCCTTTGGTGTGTTCCTTGTGAGAAGCCCTATCGTGCTGCTTGAGCTGTTAGCTCCTTATATGGGAACGTCGTACGGGGAGGAAGATGGCGACAACAACAAAGGGCATTCCTGATGCCGACTTGGTGCAGACTTCCCCTACTGGTCATACTCACCCTGAAGCCCTACGATCTAATGACGAGATGACCGACGAGAAGCGCGATCCTGACTCCATATCTCAAGGCTCCGACGACTCTCCCGTGATAGAAGGGAAAGACGAGGAATCACATGTTCGCACTACATTTTCAGATGAAGAGCCAGAGGGTCCTGTAGTGGTACCAAGATTGAAACGAAGGGGACTTTTTGGTCAGCTCTCGTTGCTGGCCGAAGTTGAGAACCCCAAGGTATATCCGCGGAAGACGAAATGGTTTATCACGTTCGTGGTAGCAGTGGCTGGAGCTGCAGCTCCAATGGGTAGCTCCATCTTCTTTCGTAAGTCGTCCGTGTCATCCAGTCGTGGGCCGATTTGGTCGTATTCTTACGTCAATGCTAGCCTCTCTCTCCCAAGTATCGAAGGAACTGGGAACATCAACAACTATAACAAATTTATCAATCTCCCTATACATGCTTAGTATGTCCATCTTCCCACTGTGGTGGTCGTCTTTCAGCGAAAGACTGGGGCGACGAACAATATACCTCATTTCCTTCAGTCTCTTTGTCGTTTTCAACTCTCTCTGCGCTATCTCCAGTTCAATAGCTATGCTCATTGTGCTGCGAATGTTGAGTGGTGGTGCATCTGCATCAGTTCAGGCTGTCGGTGCAGGGACCATTGCGGATCTTTGGGACCCTCAAGAAAGAGGACGTGCTATGAATATCTTCTATCTCGGTCCACTATGTGGGCCTCTGATAGCCCCGATTGTAGGAGGTGCTTTAGCTGAACGCTGGGGATGGCGAAGTACGCTTTGGTTTCTGGCCGCCTATGGAGGGCTCACCGTGGTTTTCATCTTCTTCGCCCTCCCAGAAACACTGGCAAAAACGAAAATTCAGACACGGGAGACGAATAACGAGCACGAGGAAACGATTAGACGTCAAGTGAGTCGAGTATCCTCTCGACAGGTCGTTCAATTCACCACTAGGTGGTTAAGAGTCCTCAAGATGGTGTTGCTCGACCCTTTGAAGATCATTCTTTACCTGCGCTATCCTCCGGTTCTACTAACTGTATACTACGCAAGTATCACTTTTGGATCTCTTTATGTGCTAAACGTCAGTGTTGAGCATACGTTCAGTGCTAGCCCATATAACTTCAGCACGATTATTGTTGGTCTACTATATATACCCAACTCGCTCGGATATGTTGTTGCTAGCACCTTCGGAGGCCGTTGGATGGATAGCATTATGCAGCGGGAGGCAAAAAAAGCCAAACGATACGACGAGCATGGAAAATTGATCTATCGTCCTGAAGACCGGATGCGTGAGAATGCCTGGCTTGGCGCCATGCTCTACCCTGCTGGACTGATTTGGTATGGATGGTGCGCAGATCGAGGTGTATTCTGGGTAGCACCGGTATGTTCTTAGACGTCTGACAGGAAGGGTGTCACACACCTGATGATGCTTATCCTCTCTGCTTCATGCAATTCATGGCATCCTACTGACAAAGTTTGTGTAGATGATTGCCAATTTCTTCTTTGGCGTTGGATCAATGCTCATTTTCGGCATGGCAACGACTATGCTGACAGAGTTCATGCCCAAGAAGTCCTCTGCAGGTGTCGCACTGAATAACTTCATGCGAAATATCTTCTCCTGCGTGGGCTCAGTAGTCACCGCCCCCATCATCGATGCCATTGGCAATGGATGGCTTTTCACCATCCTTGGACTGGTTGCGTTTGCAAGCAGCTCCGTCCTCTTTGTGATGAAAGTTTACGGGCCACGGTGGAGGAAATCGATGGATGCTCTGAGAACATGACGTCCTTCATGACCATTCTCGGTCATTGGCACGCTACGTTGGGTGCCAAATGCTGATACTTGGGTCTAGAGCCTGTTGGTGACTGTCGTGTTTTGTCATGATCATACTAGACGGTTGCATATAGCATTGCCTTGGCTTCCTGTTTCGGGAAATTTTGCCGGCTTTCTCTTTTCTCGAACGGTTGAGGCTGGTGATCTTAGGAGTCAAGTCCCCGTCAATATGACAGGTGTGGATGGCCTAGCATTCTCCAGCGGACGTTTACGGCTTGAGGATACCCAAAAGCAAGATTGTTTATTTTTAGACTTGATGAAGCCCAAGCGAGGCCAGATGCCTGCTGCTAGGCTGTGACGAACAACAGTCATCGCCTGAATCAATTGACGATAGATGGCGGAGGTCGAGGTCAATAGAATAGCCAAGTCAATAATTGATTGGACGAATTTGGGGGTCGTGTCAGTTCTGAACCTCTGCATTGTTTTAACATAGGTCCCAGTGTCAATGTCACTGCCAGCGGTGGTTACCCAAGCATCTTGCAGACCAAGGCGAGTGTAGCTGATTCTGATAGCTCTCACGCTATCAGTGATCCTATGCCCGGCATTTGACTCGGTGATTGGCAGCCAGAATTTTGACAGCGCAGGCTGACCTGGTAAGCGCTCAAGCACAAAGTACGCGTATGATTTAGACGGCAATTCATCTGAGGGAGCCACTGGTAGGGGATTTGCGGATGGAAGGGACTAGCAATTCGCACCTCCGGGACGAAGCGGAAACATGCATAAGCGGTACCACAAGATGGATGGATTAAACATCAAAGCTTATGGCCAGGGATGGTGGTGAAATCCAGCGGGGAGGCAGCCATTTCCGGCCCGTTGCATGTTCCAGCGTGGGATGACACCGAAAGTAGCGACTAGGGTTTGGCTGGTGGTCAGCAAATGGGTTGCCGGGGACCAGAGAAAAGCCCTCATGATGGCAAAATTGTTGAACTCGCATAGAGAGAATGTCATTCTGTCGGACCTGGCATCTGCAATTGTGTGACCATCATCATCCCTTTGGGCGCCCGCCCGCTACGTAGTCTATACAACTGGATACCTTACTACGTACCTAGGTCGGATCAGCGCCATAATCGGCGATCTCGACCTGAACCTGACAGATTCGCTGTGCTGGCAATAGAAAGATCTAGTAGTCAATGACACGCACAGAAACGATCTCGGGTATCTGGCTGAGTATCTGAGATGATGGGTAAGGCAGTTGCGATGGCAATAGATAGATTGGGAGACGCGGAGGGTGGTTGACGTGGAGGGTGTTTGTGCCAGAGGAAGAAGGCATTGGTGCTGGCTGATTGGGGTTGGGGTCTGTATAGACCCGAGCGGGGAGCCCGTCAGAACACAACACTGTATGCGAGCTGCAATGCTGGGCAGCTTGCCTGATGGGCAGGTAGCCAAGAGAAAAATGAAGAGGGCTTCGGAGGAATGGGGTTAGTTAGCATCCCGATTAGTGTGCTCCGTAGCTTGGAGCCACTCCATTCATCTCATCACTAATGACGCCGCCTTCAACGGGCCTGGATGGGGGGGGCGTGCAGTGGTAGCCACTCACCGGCTGCCAGAACAGCAATGCGCCTCACTTATCGGTGGATGCGACGAGTCCGGCTTCTTTCTGCCCACCGCCCATGATCTGGGCCCCCCTCGGAATTATTGATCCCTCGATTGTACTCGGAAGCAATTGCGATGCGGATTGTTGGGATGCCAGATCCCCCATCGTGGATCGGGAAATAACATCATCTGGATTGGAGACACGATGGAGGGTTTTTGCCTCCCTCTTTCTTCATGGTGCCTGAGAGGAATTGACCTCTTGTTGTATCATGAATAATGAAGGCACTGGAAAATGATTCAAACTGAAACCCGATCGAAGCCATTCCACTATTCCTGGTTGGGCGGTCCAGTGATCTGCGGCTGCTGAATTGTCCGGTGGAGTTTCGAATCCGGCTTCAGTTTCCCTCCCTCTCGTTCCCTTTTCCCCTTTCCTCGCTGTTTCGCCAGGCGTTTGTTTCTCCATTGACCCTTCTGGCTTGCTTCGTTTTTGCTTCGACGGTTCTTCATCAGTACCAGAAGTACGGAATAACCAGTTTTCTGGAGATCTTCATCGCCCCCTCTCGATCAGCTTTCCCTTCCCCCCCCCCTGTCATCTTCGGTGATGGGAAGTGATGCTGTCGTCGATGATTGATCGCCTTTACCCACCGAACGGTGCACAGTCACAACAGTAATCCTTACCCATGGCCATAACATTCGCACCCTAGTTACACCCAACCACCCCTAGCTTTGTCTTCCCTGACCAGGGACCCAGTCTCGCTACTCACGGACCATGCGTCTAATTTACTACTTTTGCTGCAACAGCCGTTGGGCATGAATGATTATGATATTGGTGATCCGGCTATGTTGATGAGGTACACTCTACAGGTCGGAGTAACCATGGGCAGCGCCCTTTTCACTTTCGATGGCTTTTTTTTACGCCTTTCATTGCCCCAGATGCCGGCATGATTGGCTGTATTAGAATGTTCAATCATTGGGCCTAAGATCAATCATTTGACCTTGCATTCTCAAGGCGCAGGTCTTTATCGACCATCCATTGCTTTTTCTCCCACTGGGTTTACGACCCCGTACGAAGTACTTGCAGGGCATTGGCTAACAACGATACTTTTGAACTATCTATGCAATACTTCTGCCCGCAAGAGGCCAAATAAACAAAAAGGAAATTGACGCCAGATGGAGAAAAAAAAATTAATTACGGAAGCACCTCTGATGGACCTGTGGCACCACCCCCACCACACTAATGACACACCCTACGGAGCACCCAATTCCCTGTGGTGTAGCTATCCTATCTGGACCACAATTGCCCATCCACTCCCCGCCGCCACCTGCTTGCTAGTTGCGACTGCATGCTTCTGCTGCAGATGGTGCTCCGCCGGTTATTCCCTTGCCCCAGTGATGCTTCCGGAAGAAGACCCTCTTTCTATGTCCGTCCGGGAGGGCCATGGGGCCCGTGAGACGTGGCCCAATGATACGAGATGCCGTCGGGCAGTTCGTTCATGACGTCCCCAGCCCCAAGCCCGAGCCATTCCTGGACAGTGACCCATTGCACTGGATAGCGAATGCACTACCATACGTCGCCTCGTCTTCGTCCTCAAAAAAGGAACCACAATGTTGTTGGCGGACCATCGGGCCTATGCCCTTTCTGCCCTTTGCGCTTCCAACCTCTCATACCCCAGCGTTTGCTTAACCCAGCAATTACACAGCACCCCTCGTTTCGCGTTCCTTTTTGCTTGCGTTGCCCCTATTTTTGGGTTTTCTTCATTCGCCTTCCCCCCTGTCTTCTGCGCCTTGTCTAGAATTCGACAGGCATATGTCATATTCCCTTCAATAGATTTATATCCGCTTGTCACTCCCGTTCCACAAAGAGGTCATCAGAGACCCAAGAAACGCCACTGATCCGATGCCATGGGTAAAAAACATAACAACAAGAAAAAGAAGAACAACAACAACAATAATAATAAGCAAAGGCTCCCCGTAAACGACAATCAACTCTCCAAAGAGCAAACCCCTTCTCTTGACCCTACCCCGGAGGCACCGGTCGATGTCGGAGAGAATGGAGCAACGCCCGGTCCAGTATGCACAACTTCCCAAGTTTGAGTACCAGACTTTCGAGCGTCACTATCAGACCTTCGACCGTCAAACCTTTAGCTTTTCATATTACCCTGTCAATACTGCATCTACGGATCATCTGACGCCGCCTAAGGATCAGGACAATAACAACAACCCCGTCGAACCAGATACTGCCCCGGCCGCCGAGACTACCCCTACAGAAGGATCCGATAGTGCCCCTGCTGATGGCTCAACGTCTCCCGAGTCTGAAGGTATGTTGTACCTGCCTTTTGATACTACACCCTTCTGGCCTGCAACAGTTGCTATTATGTCCTCTCACATGGATGTTTATCATCCTTGACTTCCTTGTACTAAACCTCATCAGGTGCCACCGAAGCAACAACGCCACCACCAGAGGTTGAAGAAACCTCCAACGATACAACTACTGAAGCAAAAGAGGAAGGCGAAAGTCCCGCCCCAGAAGCAGAGGAGTCCACTCCACCGCCGGAAGATAGTCCTCCCAGTGATCCGCCTGCTGAGGATGCGCCAAAGGACATAGAAGCGGACCAAGCCCAAGCAGACGATGCACCGACGAATGTANATGATACACCCCCCGAGGAGAACAATGAAGCCCCTGACAATGGTATGCCTAACATTGATATCAGTTCCCAAAGTCAGCTGACCTTACACATAGAGGATAACTTCCCAGGTTGTGATCCTTCTGCAGAACATGACAATGTCGACGCCGACAACAAAGAAGCCGAGGATCAAGCAGCCGAAGACGCTAATGTCGAAGATGAAACGCCAGCGGATGCAACCACGGCCGACTTGATCGACGTTGATATCGACAAGGACGCGGAGAATGCAACAGAACAGCCACCTGCAGAAAGTCAAGAAGAGGGCGAAGCTGCGCCCTCGAGCAATGACGATGCCCCCGAAGCCGACGGCGTTGGCGGGGACGGTGGTGGCGATGCATCGCCTGAAGAACCGGCTGCGGACTCGAAGGAAGAGGCTCAAGAGCAGGAGACCGAAGCACAACCTGAGCCTGCGCCAGAATCCACGGAAACCCCTGTCGCCCCGGAAGGGCCGGAGGATCAAAATCCAGAGGAACAACCTAATCCTGACACCAGCGAAACCGTGGATGAAGCACCAACAAACGAGGGGACGCCAGAGCCTACAGAAGATTTAGCGGCGGACAAAGCCGACGTCGAACCTGAAGCAGAGCCAGCGACTGCAACTGAAGAGGCACCGGAAGAATCGGCTGCTGCTACCGAAGAGTCACCTGAAGAGGCCGCACAGCCTGAAACAACTGATGAGGCCTCAACAGAAGTTGAACCAGGCGACAAGCCCTCCGAAGAGGCCCCCGAACCGCCTACCGCTGACGGAGAGTCTGCCGAGATACCTGCTGAGACGCCCGCCGAGACACCTGTTGAGGAAGCCGCTGTTGTGGAAGAACCTGCCGGAGAGGATGTTACAGAACAACCTCCGGCTGAAGAGCCCACCGCGGATGACACAGCAGATGTACCAGCCGAAGAAACTACAGAATCAGCGGAACCCGCAGCAGAACCTCCAGCGGAAGAGGCAGAAACTGAGGAGGTATCTCCCGAGGAAGCCACAAATTCAGAGTCAGTCGAAGGTCCCACCGATGAAACTCCAGCGACGGCGGACACCACCCCGGAAGCAGCAAGCTCGGATGAACCAACAGATTCTCAAGAGCCATCTGACGAAAAGCCGACCGAGGAAGTAGTTGCAGGGGAGCCTCCCGCGGAGGCTGCGGCAGAGGAAGCCCCGGCCACAGAGGCCGCAATCGAAGCGACCCCCAAGGAAGACGCCGACGCGGTACCGGAACCAGAAGAGCCTCCTGCAGACACCGCCACTGAGGAGGCGCCAGCTGAGGAGCCAGTTCATGTCGAAGAATCCGAGCAAGTAACAGAAGAGGCAGCTCCTGAAGAGGCCCCATCGACTGAGGAAGTACCTGTAGAAGAGGGTGTCCGTGAAGTTCCTGAAGAAGCTCTTGCCGAAGAGCCAGCCACTGAAGCGGCGCCCGAAGAGCCCGCTCCTGCAGAAGAACATATCGCTGAAGAACCTGCAGCCGAAGAGCCCCCAGCCCCCGATGAGACACCTCCTGAACCTGCGCCTGAAGAGACTGCTCCAGCTGAAGAGCCTGCTCCAGTAGAGGAGGCTGCTGCTGAAGAAGAGGTTGCTGAAGAGCCTATCGTCGACGAGCCTGCTGCTCCTGAAGAGCCCGCGATTGAGGAACCTGCTGCTGTCGACGAACCTGAAGCTGAGGCTGCCATTGAAGAGTCAGTACCAGCCGAGGATCCTGCACCTGTCGAAGAAGCTGTTGAGGTACCCACCATTGAGGAACCTGTCGCCGCTGAAGAGCCCGCTGCCGAAGAACCCGCTGCTGAAGAGCCAACCCCTACCGAGGAGCCCGCTCCGGTTGAAGAGCCCGCTCCGGTTGAAGAGCCCGCTCCGGTTGAAGAGCCCGCTCCGGTTGAAGAGCCCGCTCCGGTTGAAGAGCCCGCTCCGGTTGAAGAGCCCGCTCCGGTTGAAGAGCCCGCTCCGGTTGAAGAGCCCGCTCCGGTTGAAGAGCCCGCTCCGGTTGAAGAGCCCGCTCCGGTTGAAGAGCCCGCTCCGGTTGAAGAGCCCGCTCCGGTTGAAGAGCCCGCTCCGGTTGAAGAGCCCGCTCCGGTTGAAGAGCCCGCTCCGGTTGAAGAGCCCGCTCCGGTTGAAGAGCCCGCTCCGGTTGAAGAGCCCGCTCCGGTTGAAGAGCCTGCCCCGGTTGAGAAAGCTGTCGAGATTCCCGCCACCGAGGAACCTACCACCACTGAGGAACCTGCCGCCTCTGAGGCGCCCGTCGCCGAAGAGCCTGTCACCGAAGAACCGGCTCCGGTCGAAGAACCTGCTCCCGAGGAGCACGCTGCCGCTGAAGAACAACCGCCAGTAGAAGAGTCTTCGTCTGTTGAAGAGGTTCCCACTGAACAAGCTGTTGACGACCCTGCACCAGTGGAAGAACCTGCTCCGGTGGAAGAGGCTACCCCTGCTGCAGAAGAACCTGCCCCGGCGGAGGAGCCTGCTGCTGACGAGCAAACAACCGCGGAAGAATCAGTCCCAGTAGAAGAAATCACCGTCGAAGAGCCTGTTGCAGCAGAAGAACCTGCTCCGGTAGAAGAACCTACTGCAGCGGAAGAGCCCGTTGCGGCGGAAGAACCTGCCGAGGTGGAAGAGCCCGTTGCGGTGGAACCTGCTGCTGAGGAGCCTGCTCCGGAAGCAGCTGCCCCGGCTGAAGAACCCGCCGCTGTGGAAGAACCCGCTGCTGTGGAAGAACCTGCTGCTGTGGAAGAACCTGCTGCTGTGGAAGAACCTGCTGCTGTGGAAGAACCTGCTGCTGTTGTGGAAGAGGCCATTCCGGTAGAAGAGGCCGTTCCTGCTGAAGAGCAGGCTGCCGTTGAAGACCCTGCACCTGTTGACGAACCCGGTTCAGTCGATCAACCAGAACCGGCAGAAGATATAGCCCCTGCTGAGAGATCCGTTCCTATCGACCCGTCAGAAGTCGCTGCGCCGCTATCGGAAGAACATGGCGAAAGCGAAGGATATGAAGCAGATCCGAGCTCAGAGCCGTCAGAGGAAACCGAGGCTATTGATTCTTCAAGAGGTGAAATCCTAGCTGGAGCCGCCGCCGGGGCCGCTGCTGCTGCCGCCGCCGCATCAGTCCACCGAAAAGACTCACGAAGGAAGCACAGAAGATCACCCGACGCCGACTATGATCGGAAGGAGTCTAGGAGCTCTTCTGATGGCCATCGATCCCAACGGCAAAAAGGTGAGCGTGTTGGTATTGTGGGTCGATGGGCACAAGCTTTACAAGAGTCCAAGAGACTTCACGAAGAGAAGCAGAAGCAAAAGATTCAGGTCATCGAGAAAGAGCGCCGCTCTTTGGACCGTGGAAGAGAGAGAGAAAAGGATAAGCAGCGAGAGCGTGACCGGGATCGCGACGAGCGGAGACGGGAACGGGAACGGGAACGAGAGTACGAACGCCAACGCGAGCTCGAGCGTGAGCGCGAGCGCGAGCAAAGACGACAAGAACGCGCGTGCAGACAACAAGAAAAAGAGCGTATACAACGAGAACAAGAGCGTATACAACGAGAGCAGGAGCGTATACGAGAGCAGGAGCGTATACAACAAGAGCAAGAGCGCAGACAACAAGAGCGTGAGCGCAGACAACTACGAGAGCGCGAACGCGAACAACGTGAACAACGTGAACAACTTGAACGGGAGCAGGAGCGGGAACGCGCAAAGCGCTCTGAGCGAAGCGCAAGATCAAGGAACTTGGAACAATCCGAACGTTCGTTGAGCGGGAAAGAGAGCGCACCTGCCAGGTCACACCCACGCTCAGATCACTCCGGAAGCCAGGACCGCGAGCGCAAGAGCAGCTCTTCATCTCGCCACACCCAGTCCACAGAACCCAAGCCCCGCTTCTTCCTGAAGTATATGGAGGGTCAGTCGGACACCAACGGCCCGCTCCTGAAGATCAATGCTGCCAAGGCCTCCGCCAACGTCTACAAAGATCGTGAGAGAAGGTCATCCTCCCACCAGAGTCAACGTCAGTCGCAAGAAGGCAAGAGCAGCAGTGAGCGCTCCGGTCGATCACGTCCCGAGGACGACGAAGAAGCTCGAGCTCGGCGTGAAGCTCGCAGAGAGCGCAAGAGGATGGAAATGGAGCAGGAAGCAAGGGCAAGGGAGGAGGAACCCGAGCAACGTCGCCATCACCGCAGTAGCGGAGAGCATCGCCATCGCCATCACAGGCATCGTCGCGAGCCGTCTCCTCCACCCAGTGGGCCTTCCAAGCTGAAGACCCTCTTGGGAGCGATTGCTGCTCACTGATGATAGCTTGCCGGGGAATTAACAAACCCAATCACCCTTGTGGTAATCCTGTCCTTCCCTTCCGTTCTTCCCGTCAGTTCGATGTATTTATTTATTCATTGTTTTGCTTTGTTTCACTTTGCATTTATCGCAGCAGGTTCACAGCATGCATGCATCAGCGGGAATAGCATATGGTTCGGGGTGCTTGTGGCTTTTTCATATGAAGCATTTTAGCCTATTTCGGTTCTATTCTCATGTACCTTACGTTTGATGTATGCTGCATGCAATTGATTATTTTCACGAATGATATGACTTGTTTTCTATATGAGGCTTATATTTACTTCTAATGTTTTCTTTTCTTCTTGAAAAGTGCTGTCTACGGTGAAGCGTGTGGAAACTAGCGGGATTTCTTTTACTTCAGTCCTTACGTTTATGGGTTTCTAAGCGCGCTGTGGGACATGAATGAATCAACTTATTTGGGCTGCATTGGCACATTCTAGGATACGTATCGTCTAAGCTCGTCATAATGAGGTTTTAAAATCCCCGGGGTAAAACTTCACAGGGCTGGAATTGCCATTCCATCACCTCTCAAGTCGCTACCAGCGCTGTACACCAGCTTCCCATCATCATAATGACAACGGATAATCTGACCACGGCCAAACATGCCCCTCTTCCATCCAGTCAGAACCTCGACTTGATGGCCCAGCTGCTTCAGGCCCTCAACAGCAGCATCGCTGACACCTTCCTCGACATAAACTGTTCTGTCGATGGGCTTTTCGCCATCGGCGTTCCCAGCGGCGATACAGATTCGAGGACTATCGAGCGCAGCTTGAGGGTGGTAGTTGAATGCAAGCATATTGAGCAGGACCTGTACGTGACCCTGTGGTTGCATGAAGCCGCCCATCACACCATATACTGAATGAAGAGAACCGTCAGAGACGTTAGTGATCAATGCCGGAATGATGGTATGATAGGGTCTCTTGCGCGGGGCCAGAACGTTCGGATGCCCAGGGGTCAGCGAGAAGTTGGCACCCCGGTTTTGTAGTGTGAACCCGCATCCCTTTGGTATGATACACGTTCCGAAACCACCATAGTTGCTGTTGATGAAAGAGATACCGTTGCCCTCTTTGTCTGTCACTGCAAAGTATACCGTATCACAATGGTTGTGAGCTGGACTGCCATGATCAATGATATCAGAAGCCTTATCAGGATTGAACAGCTTGGCACGCTCCGCGAGATACTCGCGGGATATAAGTTCCTTGCTTGGGACCTTCTCCACGTCGGGATCGGTGACCCACCAGGACGCATCGGCAAATGCAATGCGAAGGCTCTCGATGACTGCGTGTAGATATTCGGCGGAGTTGTGCTGTGCCTCAGTGAACTTTGGGATCTTTCCTGTGCGTTCTAATTCCTCGAGGATACCCAAGGCCATAAGAGCCACGATACCCTGCCCGTTCGGTGGATGCTCCCATATTTCCACTCCCTGGTTAGCCTCGCCGGTCGTACCGGCGGTCTGCTTCTCCACAATATCCTGACCGGTAAACTTAAGTGAGATGGCTTCTGTTTCCTGGCTTCCTGTTTCGGCGTGGAACTTAAGGTCTTCCAGGGTTATATAGCCTCCCAGGTCCTGGACGACTTTGACAAGTTCTTCTGCAACACGTCCTTCATAGAAACCCTTCTTTCCTTCTGCGGCAAGCGCTCGGAATGTTTGGGCTAGTGTGGGATTTCTCAGGATTTCTCCGGGTAGAGGGCTCCGAACACCATTTTCAGCGTTAGGGTCAGATTTGAGCATCTCGTGGTAGTTTGGCGATGCTGCACGAATCAGATGCTCGCTTTCGTGCCACTGTAAGAAGTCAGCTTTCCGTATGGGTTGAACGAAGCGAACAATATGCTTACAAAGAAAGATGCCAGCTCCGAGACAGGAAAGCCTTCCTCACCGAGTTCAATGGCAGGACGCAAGATCTGCTCCAAGGACAGATTTCCACTACCGAACTTTTCCACAGTATCAACCCAGCCTGCCGCGGCACCTGGAGTAGACACGGCGAGGACGCTGGTCATTGGTATTTTCCCAGAATCATCCGGGCCAAGGTTCAGATCCTTCCTGACCTTTTCGAGAGTCGCATTGGCAGGATAGCGACCAGAGCCGTTCAGTGAGTGGACTTTCTTCGTTTTGGCATCATAGAAGAGACAAAACATGTCTCCACCGATGCCTGTGGATGAGGGCTCCGTGATATTCAATGCCGCAGCTAGTAGACACGTTTCTCTTAGTTTCATCTTCTCTCTAAACACACTTGTTCTACTGACCGACAGCTACAGCAGCATCCTTTTCCCGCGAAGTTAGCATTACATCTAAGCAGAGGGCAGGTTTCTTCTAAGACGTACTGCGGCATTGCCTCCTTCACTCAGGATTCTGTGACCTGCGGCGGCCGCCAATGGCTGAGTACAGGTTACGATTCCTTTCGTGCTATGCACAGTACTCCTCCGACTCGCAAAAGGGGCAAAGTCGGGGTTTAGACGAGAATAGACAGCTTTGGAGTTCAATGGCATCTTAATGGCGTGATCAGGCGGTGTTTGCAATGGGGAAGAGGGTCTCGCGGAGGAGGATCTAAGGGAGTCAAGTGGCAGAGAAGAGGAGAAATATCAAGCAAGAAGTAGATTCTCGCTGGAGGTTTGGGATCGGGCGATACGAAAGAGAGGTGGTCACTTATCCTCGGGAAATGCCCCGACTTCCCCGATAAGATACTAGAAATGACTCCAACTGCGTGGTGGGGTAAGATGAGTCTCACCCCTCCTTTTGGCCGCTCGAAACCATTTTTACTAGGCGTAGATGTACCAACTACACCCAATTGATATGAAATAACACAGGAAGATAGAATAGAATTCTCCCAGCATGGCAGTCATACCAGCATTTATTTCTCCCTCAGTTTAATAACCAAACTTAAAGTAAGTAGAAGAAGATCAAGCGAAGAGGGAAGCAGAGCAAATGCGGAGGAGCGGAGAGAGGGAGATGTACCTTCCCAAAGAGGAAAGGCGTGGCACCTGACGGGCAGCCGACGCGTGACCCCAACGGAGAAATGACGTTGGGAGAAGAAAGCTGCCGGCAAGTTATCCTCCACGAGGCGCCTTGGATATGACTCGTCTGCCTCGAATATAATAAGGGCCGCCCTGAAGGTTTCGGTTCCACGTTGGGATTCCCCATCTGACCCAGCCAAATCGCCCACGGGCTCTCGATCGCCCGAGACGAACCACTGCTGTTGATCTTCAGGACCCGCGCCGAAGACGGAGCGGAGCTGGATGTTTCCCTGCCGTATCATCCCACTGCAGCCACTCAACAGGCATCCTGTGCTTCCTTGAACGTGTTATAATCCTATTATGGCCCAGCCAGAGTGATTTGGCTCGTCTGCCTCGCTTCTAGTGCTCAATTCTCGTTGCTCGTTCATCCAGGCTGCTGCCGGCTAGCAAGCCTCTACGGAACCTGTGGATCTCTTTCCCCTCCGCCTGTGTGATAATTACTTCCCTCTAAACAGGATGGTGGTTTTCATTGACTTCGAAGACGATGCGCTTAGCCCGCATAGCATCTCGGGTCCCTCCAATTCCTTCCTACATCCCTACATCGAACCCAAAAAGCCTGGGTTATCCGAACTATTGCCCGTCAGGCCGGACGAGCCGCCGCATCATGCAGCGGATCCATCCGCGGACAGTGATCGCTCCCCAGACCCGTTACACAGCATTTCTCCCATCCCTAAAGCGCCACAACAAAATCCAAATCGGAATGCTTTCTCAGCTGCTCTGAGCTGCTATCCGTATGAGACACTTTGAACCAGGCCGCTCCAGTGTCTGGTTCGGTATGGTGTGCTGACTGCGGATACAGAATCATCAAGGAAATTGCTCGCTCGGTGGACCTGAATACTCTGCACGCCCTCTCGCGAACATGCCGTCAATTCCACGCCAATTTGTCTCCCTATCGCCAGCAGCTGGTGAAGCAGACTTTGCGTTGTGAGAATGAGTATATCGAGACACTGTCGGACATGTTGGATAGCGGAGCTTGCATTCCCGACAGCGTCAAGTCGGTTATGCGCTTGCTCAGCCAGAACGCCAGAAGTTCCGGACGCCTGACCAGTGGTAAGATCTCCAAATGCGCCCGAGATATGGTGGCCGAATGCCGTCGATGTTCCAAGGTTGTGTGCCGGGTGAGTCCGTTCCGCCAAGCTCTGTGTCTTCATGGCAATATTGATACCTTTGTCACCTAGAACTGCGTTATCAAACCTCCATCCAGCCACATGCTCAGGCACCGCATTCGTCGTCTCTGCACCACTTGTCGTACGGCCCCGCTGAATGAGCTTATCGAGCCACCCTACGAGCATGCTCATCCACACAATATCTACGCAAATTCGCCTTCTCAGACTCCACGGTCCATCATTTCGGCATTCCAGCGTACACCTTGCTCCTGCGATGATGCTATATGGCTTTGTCACCAGTGCGGACACCAAGTACGCAGCAGCGATACAACCTACCGACGGGTATGGACATGGCGCACCCGTTATAGTACCTACCTTGGCGGTCTCGGCACTGGTATCGGTGAAGGCTGCCAGGGCGTGAAATGCGGTCGAGGAGAGGACTGCCTTGCCGCCCAGGAAATCGAGCTAGAAGTAGAATGCGAAGCGGACGAAGCCTCAGGGAGCCCCCCTGACTACGGCCGCTACTACGAACACCGCCACAGCCAGAGTCCTCCACGACACCATAACCATGCCCATGACGGCTGGGAACACCGTGAGGAAGAAGAGCCCGGCTACTTCCGACAGGAAATCATAGGCATCGGAGGCCGCGTCAAACACAAGGCGAAGAAACGAGTCACAGTGGGTGCTTGCGTAGTAGAGCATGAAGATGAGCGTGAAACAGGCGAGTATCTTACTAGAGAGGAGCGGGGACAACATCGAAGCTGGTGTGGATGGTGTTGGAGAGTCATCCCAGCCAGAGATGAGCTGAGGAACGTTTGATGATTTACGAATATTAGCTAGGTGGAGTAATTGCCAGGTGCCTAGATAGCTATTTGTCTGGTAGACGAGGATAGGATATAAATGGCGACTTGGTATCCTGGATATTTCTAGACTCTAGGCTGGAATTGAGTCTCATCTAGCGAGATGAACTCAGATATCATCATGGCATGAGAAACATATCTAGCAGCAGTCACTAATGGATACATAGTCCTGGTATCATGATTGCCAACATCGTCTGGATCGTTCTCAACGGACTACTACTAGTATTTGTGCCATAATTCTCGTCAGATCCTCATGGATTCCACAGTACAAGACTCATTAGCTATTCAAAAATTAAGAGACACCAATGTTTATTCTCGAAGTCAATATATAAACATTGTAAAATATTCGAAATATTATCAGAGGATTTATCAAAAACAATATCAGAAGAAGTGAAGTGTTAAAATGACCTGTTTTGCAGCAAGAAGCGTAGTCTATACTAGTATACAAAATGTTTTCTATAAGAAAAAGCAAAGCATTGTACAAGGTTGCATAGAGGAAAAGAAAAGAGAAAACATCATTGGCTCAGATAAGGCATCAAGACACACAATAAAAAGGAAAGTAAGAAAACCATCAAGCTAGCATAACTCAATATAACATGACATATGGACAATCAGTGCACGTTGCAAAATAAGAAAGCCACACAACATGGGTATATAATCAATTCATAAAGATCCAAAATGGACGCCATCCCACAGCCGGGTAGCCATTCGCAAACCAAGCTTTTTCTCCAGAACAAAGGAAATATGTGCAGACAGACAAAGGAAATGACAAGAAGGAAAGATAGTAGACAGATGGATTATGGGATCAGGCCACTTTTTCTTTGGTGGCCTTTTCCCAGAGCCTCGTGGACCCGGCGATGCCAACGTCAGTGCATGACGGCATTAATGTCGTATTAGGATTCGATTGAATGGTGCGAGACCGGCTTGACGGTGATGCTGCGTAGTTCTCTTCTTCTCGTATGGTCGCATTATTCCCGGCCCGCACGAATTAGGAGTACCAGAGATATTAAGATTTATCACTGCGTTTCATCCAGAGGGAGGCGAGTAATAGCGTATCAGTCGTATGGGAGCGTGGCTCATAAGCCCTGATTAGGCACCGGCCTGTCGTCGGTGGTAAAGAAATGAAAGTTATCACCGCCTGTTGGCTTGGTTGCCGCTCATATCGCCCACGACTTCCAGTTCATTGCGGGCGGGTATGAGGCGGGGGGAAGGGCATGTTCCTCGTAGGTCAGGCTTGGGCTCGCTGACCAGCTGGGCGATGGATAATGGCAGTGGATAGACTGCAATGGTAGGTTAGCGATGATTATATTATCGTGGATGTTCTGTCTGATTGACATACCGGATGAAGGAGGCTTTCGGTGAGAGGAAGAGGCATCATGCTTAGGGACGGGAGGCTGGTGTCTGGCTGTTCCCAGCAGCGCATATTCGACTGCATGGACATTGGCGAGGAAGTCAGGTCGGGTTCCATGAGGCTCTCGGGATACGGTTCAGCGACCGTAACCGGTGTGGAGACGACAGACGAACGGGAGTGAGAGTGAACTGAGAGGGAAGTGCCATCCGAGATAGGGGACGGGCACGTTTCCGGGGTAGCGTAGTACCGACTGTCTTCTACGGACTCGTGGATCTGATGGGGGCCTTGGTACAAAGGAGTCTGGTGTCCAGATGTAATTTCGACACTATTCCACATCAAGCCGCAGTCATTGGAGAGGTCTGGGTGGATGGCAGGCGCCACGAGGGCCCCAACCGACATGGCATTGTGCGGTTGGGTGACAGCCAGGTATGGTGTTTGAGTTGCGGGCATAGACGTGGTGGCAGGGACATAAGGCTCAGAGATGATGGGAGTACGGCTCTGCTGGTGCCATTGGGCAGTCCTATCCATCTGTGCTTCCAATTCGCTGAGGGTAATCGTCAGTAAAAGAGTCAAGCAAGCCGTAGTGGCAGGAAGTACTTACTGTCTTTCCATGTGGCGGGCGAGAAGGTCAGGGCGGTGGAATGCCTTTTTGCAGTGGCTGTGGGTACACCGGAATAGGGCTTCAGGGTTGTGGTTCAGCTCATGGCGTCTGTAAGATTGAGTTAGCATACCGATCAGGCAAGATTATTGCGGCACAAGCGCAGTGGCTTACCTTCGGTGCTCGGCTCTTGTGAAGACCTGAATTGAAGGGTCAGCTTGTTGCCAAGTCTGTGCGACAGCATTCTCATGGTACTAACCTTGTTGCAGCCCGGGTACTCGCAAGCATGCACACGCTTTCCCTTCTTCGCTTTGCTGATGCGATGCGTAGTTGGGGTGTAGGTGATAGGGAGAGGGATCTCCGATTGAGTAGTGCTTCGACGCATTGTTAAAGTTTCGTCTTCCTGCTTGGTGTGATTGATGGTGTTTTAAAAGGTATTGGTGGTGGTGGTGGTTGTAGCAGGAGTAGGATTGGTAGTAGTTGAAGTTGTTTGAAGTTTGAGTTGTTGGAGTTCGAAGGATGAAGAGGCAGGAAGATGCTTTGATCTTATAGAGTGGGTTGTGATGGAGTGAGGATAGACAGGATTTAGATTGGCGAGTGAGCGGAAGATATAGGATTTGGTTCCTGGAGGAGGCTATCCCCTGATCATTCTGTAACAGACCCAGAACTTGTCAGGAACGGGATAGACATGTGGTAGTGTGGAGATTGGGGGTTAAAGTGGGAGGTGGGCTGTGATGCAGCTATACTAGCAGAATTGGGGAACAGACCAGGGTGAGATCAGAACGGATGAGGCAGGAAAAATGCCTCGCATCTGCAGGCCGGATTGGGGCAGTGAGATTAAGATGGGGAAAAAAGAAGAAGAAGAAGTAAAGTGACGATCTGAAACGGGCGGAATGGTGGCGGAGAGGCTGTCAGGGTGGGTAGTCTGGAGTGAGCGAAGAAAAAGTGATATAGAAAGCACCACTCGATGAGGCTAGACCTGGGTGAACCACTACTACTACCACCCAGTTACTCTATCTAGTTGGTATTTCTTAGTCCTTCCCGAGCGATCGCCGGGGAAAGCGAAGGTGGGAAATGATTTGGAAGCATAGTAACCAAATAGTAAATACAAAAAATTAAATTAAATTAAAATCACAATGTATTGTTATGGTAATAAGGAAAATAAAAAATCATGAAAATAACCGTGAGACTAATAATAATAAGAATAATAATAATCCGAGATAAAAATAAATACGACACTGCAATTATCGTCCAATCTCCTTCAGGCTCAGCACCAAGGGAGAGAAATGTACCTAAGGCAGGTAAGCGAGAGCCAGTGCACTGCAGTTTGATGATCAGTTTGTAGGGTGATCACAGCAAGCAACCACTCAGGACTAGCACTGCTACCATGGCTATGTTAGACTTGAACTACTTTTACTACCACCAGGTCAGATGGAGACGGAACAGTGAATCCGCTCTCCCCAGCGAGGCTAACCGATGTATCCAGTCTACTTACAAGAAAAGTGGGCATTGAAAGTGGAATCCTGTCATCTCTTTCCCGATCAGGATTATTTACGGATCAATTTAATTGATCCAGTAAGGAAGGTAAAAAAAAAATAAAATAGAATAAACAGTCAGACAAGACCAAATGGGAAAAAAATGAAGAACGTAAAAAAAAAAAGAAAAAGAAAAAGAAAAAGACGGCAGGGCGTTTTTGTCATACTCACTTGGCAGGAACGATGGGTTTCCCTCTTTTGGCTTGGTCTAATCCATCGTTATTGTGGGCCTCGTTGGTCGAACGGGCAAATGACAGGCGCCATGGGGCCAACATCCCTTCAAGTTCCCTCTTCAAGCAACACCGTGCTACCAGCAGTCCAGGTGGTGTTGCGGCTGAGGCGCACTGCAGATGGAGTGAAGAAGAACCCGTCCTCTACCCATCGAGTTTTTTTACGGCAGGAAATTAGGATAAAAAAAATAACAATACTGAAAAACTAAAAGCAAGAGAAAAATTACAACATCTGACCTACCTCGTTCGTATAATTCCAGTTTGACTGACTGATCGAATAATCATACTTCAACGGCTCCGTTTGTTGTTGGTTTTCTACAAGACTCCACTGCATAGTAAGCTGAGCCATGGTTTTCCAGATCTCCAGTCCCGGCCGGCACGAGAGAATCAGAAAAGGGAAGGTTAGGCTTTTCGGGTAACCCAGCCAGAAGCACATACTCTCATTAAAAGAAAAAAAAAAAAAAATCAAATTAATTAGCGGAACCAGACTCTTCATACTCCTCGTGCGAAGGAGGAAGGTGACGGACGGGATCACGGAGACCGAATATGGAGAAAAAAGAGGGGGGAAGAAAGGGGTACCCCACTTCTGGGCAACAATACCCTGTGCACATGGCTCAGGATTCGATCCCAGTCGATCCCGTTAGCTATGAAGATACGAGTCATACACTACGGAGTGTGCTGATGGGTTCGGGTGATGGCCGTTGTGGTCCGTAGCAGCCCAGTGTAGGTGTAGAATGTGGTGGCTACCTTTCTCCCACCTATACTATCTACTACTATACTGCCCAAACTGATGGCATCATCAGGTTGGCAGGCCAAGACCGCCAACCACATGGCTTCCCCTTCCCCTTGACTATGTTCACCCCTGCTGCAGTGCTACTATTACTAGTCTTATATTAATTTGCTGGCATGGTGGAGGTGAGATGACAGGATTGTGCAGGGGTGTCTGTCTATCAGAGACCAAGGATAGTAAGTACTATGGGGTAGATGATCCTGGGTGTGGATATTGTTGATAAGGAGAAAACATCATGCAGAGCCTGAAGGTCGAACACCATTACTGCACAAAATTGGGGAACTTGTTGGCTGTCTGAGCCTCATGATTGGGGGGCTCGTCTATGCCAATGGAGGACGAATGCATTCTGGCCAGGTCTGTTGCCCTCTAATTTTCGAACCAACTCCAGACTTAAGCAGGCTAAAGTAGTGGGCAGAGATTTGACTGACCAGGATAGCCCACCCAGCCAACCCCGGTGTCGCTCCTCAGGCTTTCATCAAAGCCTCAAGCACTCCCCATTTCGGTGGTCCACTTTTGGAGACGGGCTGCCAAACTCAGGGAGCTAGGCAAGGTCCTTAAGCTAAAGAGGAAAAGGCTTATAAGATCGGGCTATTCCGTACTCCACGGGCCACACTGGCCAAAGTTCCATTCAAGCTAAACGTGGACCAAGTGGGGCGACCCACTGTGAGCCATTTGAAATTGTCAATTGACATCCGGGCGAGAGCAATAGGGTTCATTCAGTCGGTGGTACTGCGGCACACACCACCACACGGTTTCCAGGATATTTGCTTGCTTGCCCGATAGATAACCGCCCGGGCCACTTGTCGACAAATGCAATGTCAGAATAAGAAATTCGGCTGTATCAAGATTCCAACTGCAGGAAACCATATGTGAAGCACGAGTGCCTAATAATAACTCATCTGCAGCATCAGTCAATCTTACTATTGGTCCAATATTCTGCGAACTGACGCGACCCTGTGTATTCGAGTAAGATCATTTATTGTGGTTAGCCTTGTTCATTTCCTCGACCGTCTGGCGAGCAGCAAAGCCTCTTAACGGCGCCCCGCTAGCCTGAGATGGTCTATACTGTTTCCTTAACGGGAGTGACTCCCCTCAAGCGACCCCGTCAAGTGTCCACTGTCATAGCATGGACAATCGATCGAGCCTCTTCTAGCGCTGTGGAGAGAGAGAGAGAGAGAGAGAGAGAGAGAGAGAGAGAGTTGTTCGTCTTATCTGTATGGGGCCAGATGGCTTTCCGGTATCTGCTGACTTTTTCAATTTTTTTTTTTCCGCTACTATTCCAAACGAGGTGTTGCAAATTGCAATCTACCAGTAGTCTAGTAGTGACGTGCGCGCTATTCCATGGTCTCACATAGCGCCCGGTCCTCAGTAGTACAAAGTAGTAAGAATTGTTTTATTACCCACGTGCGATGGCAGGGTTGTTGCTGTATTAGGTAGTCTTAAGGCTACCCCCCCTCCGTTGGCGATCGTCAAGTCTGCCGGGTTTTAGCCGGTCAGTCCGAGTCTGCCTGCCAAGTAATGTTTCATGGATACTGATAGTCTGTAAAGTGCATTACCCTGAATTCACGTGACCGAGCATCGGTCTTGCTCAGGATCCCTGGATTCTCTGCAGACAACGGAAGGAAGCCTTAGCACCAGCAGATGAAGAAGACGACGACGGAGTATCTAGAGAAAGGAGGATGAAAGGAATAGCCGAGATAAGCACTCTACATCCTTACCATGACCACCATCAGGAACCAGCTTTTTCAGGGGCAAACTCTTACTACTCAGGCAAGACACGAACAATCAGAGGCCTGGAGCAATGTTGGAAAGCTGTGTTGGTCGTTAACTAGGTTCAAGGAGCAGGCAATTTGTCGTGGTAGCGATGTGATGAACGGAGCTGAGTGGTGCTGTAGATGAAATGGCCTAACTGGGAAATCAGTGTGTTGGAGACCCACTCCTGTAACAAACACGGGTCATTCCCCTTACACAAAGGTATTGGTTAGATGCTTAGGCCGTCCATAGCGCTGCTATCACAGAAGCATTCCGTAGCGGCTCTACCGAGCAAGGGAGCCTTGGGATGATGCTACCTCAGGCCTCCTTACTGAAAATCCAAACACGGTTAGTCTATGCTAGGTACACAAATGCCCAGGCCCTGTGGAACAAGAATGTTTTCGCTTCGTGCATCCTTCCAGGAGGTAGAGGTCCCAGAAAACATGGGGGCCATGGTCATTCTGACTTCACATGGGCTTCTAGCTTGTTTCAGGTCGTGGATCAATGTGCTTCGAACTGCAGTCTGCCTTACACTTCGAGGGGCAGAAAAGTGCATAAGCATTAAGTTGTTCTAGTTCAAGTTTCGAAATGGTGATCTCATCAGCGAGGCAGATACCCTTTTTGGTATAGAAAGCGAAGCGGCGAATGCAGTAAACCCTGCGATAAAGAATCCAGCCCACAGACGACTAACATATGTAATACACACCTGGGTCACTCATTCTCGTCCCCATCGGAGACGAAGGTTGCGGACTCGCGGCACTCCCGTTCCGTCAATGGAGTTGTGGCTGGGTCTCCGTTAAGAGTAGGTGCGACTCGATTCGGCATAGAGGCAGATCCATGCCGAAATTACCCGTCACAATTTAGCAGCCATTCCTGTTAATAATAACACCGATTATTAGAGGGTGTTTAATATGAATGACAGATGGCAGGCCTGATATTAAGCCACGGACTATCCTGGTGGCCATGTGTCAGGGATCGACAGCATGGTCTGATTCTCATTATAGGAGAAGCTCGCTCCCTTGATAAGCGGGTTTCTTCGGGAAACTACCCTCAGCAGGGGTGGCATACTTCCCCGACAGACTCCAACTGGGTGATACATGACAACACAATTCAACGAACTTCAACAGAAGCGGGTCGTATACTTTAGCATGTTCAAGTCATCTCCGAGTCAGTATACTGTTGAAATAAATACAAATTAAACGATATCGTACAAAATTTAGAGAGCTCACCGCTTGTCATAGGCATGGGAACAGTGAGGGCATACTATGAAGCTGAGACCCCTCGATTCTGATGGAGGGGCTGCAACGTGCCAAATCGGAGAAACTTGCTAGTGGTCCTGTATAGGAGAGCGGGTCCCGTGGATATTCGTCAAGCAACTAATAGTAGCAACTAATTAAAATGCAGGAGGCGGCTTAGCTACTGCAGACTTTATGGCCAACCTGTGCCTCAGGCCTAGACACCAAGTCCATCATGCATCGCCATGACACCAAGGCCGCCCGCAGCCCATATTGGCTCTCGGGCCTTCACGTGGCGGGGCCCCCATGCTAGGATTGTGATCCCTCACAGAATGATGACGAGCCGGGCAAAAGCAGCAACCATTCGGGATCTGTACAGGGTGATCAATTCTCCCACCTCTTCTCACTAGGACAAGACCATGTTTGTGTATGTCCATTGGAGTGCCAGCCATGATAATCGGCTTGGCTTCATTGGCTCTCATTGCACCTAAGAATCTTTGCCCGAATTCTTTTCTGAAATATTCTCTGCTGATACTCGAGACAGCTAGCTCATGGAGTAGTACGTATGAAAAAAAGATTCTCTGGTCACAGTGTCACGAAGACTAGGAAAGGCAATTTCTGCCTCATCTATGCCGTCGGATACGCCTGTGTATACGGTATACAAATTGATGGGACGCGATCGAGACAAATGATGATAGCAAGGATACGAAGTCTAGCACGGAATACGCCGTCCCTGATGGCATGGCCCGACCTCTCATGCCACGAGGGTAAGCTAGGAGTCGACAACGTGGTCGAGTTGTGGGGAAGGAAGGAGGAACCACTGGGTTAGCAGCCCTGGACTGGCCCCCTGCCCACCGGCGGCTTGTGCTACCATGAAGGCTCGAGGCGGCAGAACAGGGTCAATAACGACTGGTACGTTAGGAGATGGACTGAATGACTTGACGGTACTACAGAGTACCCACCCACAGATCTACTATACGAACAGACCAATGGTGATGCAGAAGGCCTCCAGTCTTGTTATGTTATAGTAGTGCATGCGTACCACTTTGTGGTTATACTGACAACATACTCAATCTAGTAGCCTACGTGATTCTTGATCGGTACTAGACGATCGAGAGCTGTCATGTGCCAATTGCCTCCTCCTCCACCACCCCCTCCAAACCGACATATGAACTAGCCTGTAACGGAACATGATCAACATCCTAACCGTCAGTCCAGGAATTTATTGGCCAACTGGTCATCTAAGGAGCCCGCTACGAGATGCAACCCTGGAGCAGAGAAGCAAGCATCGAAGACCTAAGGTCTGTCTAAGTGGTAAAGTACAATGTCTAGCGCAACACCGGGCGCTGCGGTCATCTCGCGAGGAATGCCGTGTGAAGTATGTTCGATGCCAGACTGCACTAACCATGCAGAGTGACGATAGCTTCTGCAGTCATCATTGCGTCGTCGGAAAAAAACTGCCCTTGTTGCTGATGATTCTGAAACGCTTCCATGACAACCCACAGGTTCACAGCCCGTTGCTTATCCATATCCCTTGCCCGAACGAGTTACTATACTGATCAGGTAAAGTTCGTCGGACGCTCGGCAAAAAGTGGAATCCGTCGGTGGATTATGGCCGCCGGAGCCAGAATCTGCCCCGGTCCGGCTCGAGGACAGCAGAATCTGGATCGTCTTTGGAATGAGGGGACACTGCACTCCGGTCTCCGGAGGCTAGTCATAGTCCGAACCCCCCTCCAGACTCCCGGAGGATGTAGATAGCAACTAGCAAGATTTCATGGAAGGTAAAGGCCATCTGGAGGATTTACAGTTTGGAGCCACAAAAGCGGGAACGTGATCCCGCAGTCTAAAGTTTCCTTCGCAAAGCCTTAGAATACAGGAAGCTCATGAGAGGATCGACTGAAAACACAAAGGTATCGATGACATCGAGGTAGGATCTGATGATCCGCACCCCGAGGGTTTGGTGAACTCTGTACCACGCGAGATGGTCATCACTTTCATCTATTCGAAACCTCTTACCCTCCCCTAAGATATGGGAGCTAGGGGGGGAAAAGGGTGGCATGACAAACATGATCAGCTTACCTCATCTCGACTCGCAAAACCTGTGGAAAGGCCTGTTGTGTGCCTAGCACATGAAACATGCACTGTGATTGCTGTGAACTTCAAGAAGATCATCGATGATTATTCCATTCTTGGGTTTAGACTTTGCCTGCGCCATCATCAAAATTATCAGTAGGTGATAGATCAGGTGTCGAATTCGAATCCGAACCCGAATCAGCCTTGCCTGAGGCTGGCAAGAGTCAAGACACCTGCCTTAGGTAATCCCATCCAACTTTGGACCCGCTCGAACAAACAGGGAAATTTGGTCTTCACAACCTTCAGTATCCCCGTCGGACGATCTGAGCCCGAGCGCAGTTCCGGTCCGGTCCAGTGTGGACAGTTTAGTCTGTTCAACTGTGCCCGAGACATAAGTCTGCATACCTCCTTGCAGATAATCTCTTTTTCTACTAAAAGGGGTAATCGATGACGGCTGCAGGCTTCCCATTTGCGGTATACTGTCGGATGGCTTCCACGCCTTTAGCCTCCAGAAAGACACTGTGATATGCAACAAAATCTTCGACCAGATTACACACCTACGACAACAAATCACAATACCATAACTCCGCCACCTCCCTGATTCGTCGAAGTGGAGAGCTTGCCTATGACCCAATCTTGAACAGCCCACACTTGGGGTATGTTATTGTGGGCACTGGGCGGGTTCTTGTCGAGAGTTGGACGGAATCATCCCGCTGCTCGAGCGTGTTATCATCAGATAAGACCGGCGCGCTCACTAACCTTCGAAGCGCTGCAACTAACCTCCTAGGAAGCTAGCAACAGCAAATTGGAGCACGCTGTACGTTGCACTAAATAAGTCGCTTGAGCCCGTTCTCTGAGGCTAAGCTTGAGGGACCAGGGGACGGCTCCCTAGCCAGCCAAGACACTACGGCGCTACGCATGTTGTAGCCACTAAGATTTCCTTGACTAATTAGCATTAGATGAGTAGACGGGCTACGCCGCGACGGAATACCCGCCATATTATTCGCGTCCTAACAAGAGATTTTAAGAGGCTGTCCACAACCCACCGCCAAGCAGTGTTTACGAGTTCGTCTATCTAAGTGGGCTTGGTTGTCCACCCCCATAGACCTCACCCTCCGCTACACGGACAGGCGAATCAGCCTCATCAGTTCCACATCGAAGGTGCTGAGGACCGGAAAACCCGACAGGGCACGTAGGCCGAAGATGTCTGCGATCGACACCGCACTCGCCGTATGTGTTGGCCAGAAGAACTTAGGCCAGTTGGGCTTGTCAAAGAGCGGAACGGCCCTTCCGGTGTCTGTTCCACACAAGCAGCCACAATTGCACGAGCATCAATATCAAGTCCTAATCTATTCTTGATCGAAGAAAGTTCACTGGTCAGATTAGTTATTCGGATTCTTCCAGTGTGTAACCAATATATTGTTTGTGTACTTTTCCGTGTGTTCCATTATTTCCAGAGCATTTCGCTGATAACGTATAATAGACACAAGCTAATCCCAATACCGGAAAATAACGTCTCCCTGTCATAGTAGCCCCTGTCAGCATGGCCCCCTGCTAGCACGAGCCCTAGTAGCGAATGATGATCGACGCTGAGCTCGACACGGTGTAATCTAGTCACCTGAAGACCAGGAAAGTGTGATCGGCCGTCCAACCCTTCTAGCGGCTATTGGTGAAGATGCAGTTTCCGTGCTGCGTCGAACATTCCACACGTCAGCCTACGGTTTACGTTGGATACTACTTTGGGAGAGGTACATCTTCATGCAGCTTCTAGTTTGCAACCTACTGCAACCTAGTCTGTACTATTGTTACAGGTAACAGAGCCACGAGGCCTGTTACTTCGCGCCTTGACAGGGGTGCCATGCGCTCTGAAATGGTTGATAGATATCCACATGGTCTGATCTCACTCCTGCCACATCCGGCCTACTGCGGATCGCTATAGTATCCTAAAGTGTCAATGGGTTTGCGAGCCGCGACTTGCAGGGCTTGCATGTCTTCGAGCAGTTGGGAATGACCCTGGCGCGTCAGCTTGAACCATCGTGCCCAGGGTCCCCAGATACCCCTGCTCCCTCTGTACCATCAAGGGCCTGATCCGACAACCAGCCTGTGAAGAGTCACCTTACCAGACCAAGCTAGCAGAATCGTCCCTCCCCAGCAGCTCTGCACCGCCCTTTTCCATCACGGACTAAACCTCGAAGGAACGAATACCCTGCTAGCGAGGGAGCACTAGTTCAAAGGATCTAAGGAATCCTTCAGACAATGGCTTTTATCCGACGACTAATGATGTGCGCAGAACAAATTAATTACGCCCGGACAAATATGCCGGGCGTCCCGACATGGATCCAGTCTTCTGCATGGCACTCAGGAGTGTTTCATCCATCCACACGTGTGCTGGCTGCGGAGCACCACCCCTTGGTGAGCACGACGGCGATCATGCAGTACTTCGATACCGGCAGGGATCGCAAGATAGCGGGGTCACTTGCCACGAGGCATCCTTGCCCCTAGAAGATTCCAGATAATCTCTTTGACGCGAAAAGAAGAGCTCTGTTCAAACTAGTACGGTGACTCCCGCATGTGTATCAATGCCCTCATTCGACAGTAACATGCCAGTATGGTCCCTAACCTTTTTACTTCTGCTGAGATACCGATACTCCTCCACATGGATTACCTGTATTCCTCCACTTTGCAACCAAGTTCTATGCAGGCAACGTAGCAGGAACAGCCACCAACAGGCACCAACCGGAACCAACATGTTGGGTTGGCGTTTGCCGCTGACTCGTTCACAGATCCTGCAATCGCAATTTAAGCATGACACTATCAACAGGGCAGAAATGTCAGCTGTGCAGAGTAAGATGCACTAAGCAAGACCTTCTGTCACGGTTGTCTCAGTACCTCTGCACCCTACCATCTGCTCACTAAAATAATGGCAGAGTTGTGCGCATACCATGTATGAGACGAAACAGCATACTGCAATCCTGTTACATTCAGCTGCAGGTCATCGATGAGTGGATTCCAACAGATCTTGCCCCTGACGAGTCTAATCCTGGAACTCTTTCCATTTGACCATCCTGACTCTCATGTCGACTTCCTTTCCGTCAACCACAAACCGGCCATCTCCGCGGTGGTGAGCCATCTTCATTTCCCTCTTCCTTCGTTTGCCACCACCAACACGATCGTCATCATCTGCTGGGTCTCTGCTTCCCTGGCCATACTCTAGATCCATGTCTTTATTGATCCATGCTCCAGTCACCTTCAGCACCCATAGATTGTACTTTGCCACCAACGCTCGGTCCTCAACCATACATTGAATGTTGGCAATAACATCCTTCCCTCCAACCAAAGGCGCCCGTGCTCTCGCTTTCTCTCCCCCTTTTCTACCCCAAGACTCATCTGCAGATGCAGGATCAGGAGCTGGGACGGGGTTTATTCCAAAAGACACCCACTTATTGACATCTTCTCCACTGCAGTTGCCGATATCAACGGTCTGCTCCAACATCTCCACCGCAGGAATGGCGAGCACGCATTCGCCCGTCTTCTTCAGATTATCATAGCTCTTATCCCAAGGCCCAATGCAAGCACCGACAAGTGTTGGTCCTTCGTGCTGGATCATCATATGAAAGCCCATTGTCATTATGTTGTGCGTCTTGTTGGCTAAGGAGCCGGTCGCCACAAGCAGGATGGGCCCAGGCTCCAGGAGTCGGTTGACCTTGTGGATAGGATAGGCCATGAACTGGTCCAGACCATTTCGCTTATCACCGCCATCGTTGGAGCTGAAATCTAGTCTCGATTTCTTCGGTGCCCGGTCCGGCTCCGACTCCGACTCGTTCAGGGGTTGCTGCAGAGCGACATCGACATCCCCTTTCGTGTTCAGGTCCTTCCTGCGAGACATGTCTGCCGTAGACCTTACCCGTCTCCTTTCGATATACGTATGTGCAGATGAAAGTATAGAGACAAAGAATATACACACACCACGTGCGGTGTCGCTTGTCAAGAGACCATGCGCAGGTCTTCGAGGTAAATTGCAGTGAAGAAGTAGTTGCTGAGTCCAAGAGCAAACAGACAAAGAAATGCTACCAAACTTGGTTGCGGAACTTGACTGCCTCTCTCCGCATTCCAAGAACTCGGGACCGCGCACTCCTGTTGGTCGGCTCTTTGTTCCCCCTCTAGTGAGTGACGTACCCAACCATTGTTCTCCACAAGCAGTGCTTAATATCTTTTGTGTGTTGAAAAGACACCATGCCTCGTGGACAAGAATGCATGTTACATACTCCCTACCTATCTACTACATGATTTGAAATTCATCGCTTGTTCCTGTTCTTCTCTCTTTCAATATCAGTCTTTCCCTGTCAGCCTCCAGCGTAGATAATACAACGTAGTACTCATCAGCTCATCATACATCATGCTCCTATCGAGGACTTTTAGCCATTATCCAGTCCTTTTCACTCCCCTCCAGAATAATATGTCCATTCGGGTGTCAGAACCCCCATGATAGTAGTGTTAGTTGACTGGGAGATGTCAATATTTCCAACCATAAAGATATATAAATACTCTACTCACAAGTCGTCCCAATCAGCAATGCTAGTAGTATATACCCCGACATATATATAAAGTCACTCTATAAACAAAAGAGTCACACCTCTAAATAAGAAACTGAATTCACCAACAATAACCAAAAGCTGCTCTCTATAATTCCACTCTAATCCCAATCTCCCAAAAAAACACTAGTAAACGAAAAATCAACGATAATACTTATATTGAAAACAAACTGACCGGCGTTAGATATACTACAAATATATCTATCCCATATGAATATCCTACAATAGACAGTGAACCAAGGCGACTTCAGAAAGAAGATTAATATATGATCACGATATGTTGTTAGTGACTGCTTGTCTTACTTAGTTGCTAGTCGGATATCTTGTATTTCTATCCTGGTGGTATAATACTAGTAGAGATCTGCGATGAACTTTGAATCTATCGGTCGTGGCTTGGAAATTTATATATTTCTTACCGGTTAGTATATATTAGTTGGTAGATCGAGAGAATTTCTAGCTGAATGGTACTTAGATGGTACTATGTACCATTTGAGCACTCGATTGTAGCTGGGAGTAGCATAAGGAGACTACTAGTATGAATTACTAATACTAGATCAATTCGTGTTGCGTCGATTCACAGATGCTAAGGGTGGTGGAATAGTATGATAGTTGTCTGGATGGTTGTTAAAGATTGACTTGTTTGGCCAATTTTGAGCGCCTGTGCGTGATTTAGGGATTCGGATTCAATTTTTGTGGTGAGTAGTGCACTAACTACTACTCTGGTGGAGGTGCATATATATATATATATATATATATATTGTCATGTAGTAAGTAGTGCTCGGATAGTGATTCGTTATAAGGACATATCACTCCCGATATTACAAAACGTACTACTAGTAGTATACGATTGGCGAGGTTATAAATATAAATATATCTAAGCAAATATGCTTATATCCATCTTCGTTGGAAAATAACACCTCTGTTCATCATCTTGATGTTCAAAATCTGGATGTACTGCATCAAGACATGTGGGTCGATGCTTAAAAAAGATCCATACACAGCTACAAGATGATTGACTTGCTCAAAACATCAAGAAGCACATGGTATACATTCATCCTCACATTAGCTACAGGGCTGTCCGTCACATTACTTACAATCTTCCAGCCAAGGCTACTCTATGTAGTACCCATGGCAAGCACGCGCGGCCAACCGCCATAGAAACAAACATCGCATAAATAGAACAGTTGGGGGGTTCTCGGCTCAATAACAAAAAATTTGGGAGAATAAATGCTGTCCACGAGGGTAATCGACTAAAATACAGCCCACTTCAAACGCCTTATCAAATAATATGAGATCCTGGACTGATACACCTCAGCCCGACTCGTAGAGTCTTGACCTTGAGAAGCCCTTGTGATGAAAAAGAGAACACTTGGTCGGTGATGTAACCATCAATGGCGACAGTGACTTGGGGGTTTTCCTGAGGAGCCCCAAGTCTCCACCAAAGTAAGAGTCACGGTCGGCTCTCTCAATAACAACGATCCTGGAAGGTTGCTATCCGCCACGGGCGGCATCATACCACACCTATGGAACGGACGTGCTTTTCATAGCCAGTGGCTGAAGGGGTCATCATATCCTATCTGCAGACATGCACTGATATTGCAAGGTCGCCGAATAGTCCAGCAGGAATAAAGAAAAAGAGAGCAAGGATAGCTGTCGTGAAGGGTGAATTTATGGTGACAAGCGAAGGTTGTGTAGGGTAGGAAGTAAATATGTGGCAGGGCATGGCTCTATCGTTAAAAGACATGCACAGATAGGATGTTGGTCCACAAACGGCACTGTCCATGGGAAGCTGGCGATCGCATTCCTTCTAGCGTCGATCGGGGTTGGTCACCTAGTACTTCGTTAGCTCAAGTCCTCTATCCTCATTCATCGTTCAGCTAAGCTCACCTGCAGGATGCGACGCGAGAAGTCTTGATCGTCATCGATGCTGCCATTGCTCTGACGGCGCTGGGCCATAAAGTCCCCATCGAAACGGGAATCCGACATGGAGTGCTGGGACATCGGGTTGCCATAGTTGTCCACACCAACACTACGACGGTATTGCGACTTGCGGTTCTTGAAGCGCCACAGGAAGAAGCCAGCGCCAGCAAGAGCACAGGCTCCCACTACACCCACGACGACGCCCGCCGCAATGGCAGCAGTGTTGGCACTCGAGCTCTTCTTCTGTGACGCTTCAGTAGCACCCTCGGCGGTTGCAGACGCGCTCGCTTCGGTTCCGGACGTTGCATACACGGTTTGCGTGGTGCCAGAGCTAGTGACGACATGGGCTTCTTGGGTTGATGATGTAGACGTTTCGCTGTCGGTGGTCGAGGTACTTGTGCTCGAGGCCGAATAATGGTCAACGTCGTTCTCAATGCCCGTAAGATAGACGGAATAAGTATTGCTGCCACCACCTATGTTGTCACCGTCAGCAAACGCGCCACAGAAGATTCATACCAGGAGAACATACATTCCACAGAAGGCCAGCCGGCACATGCGACATTACACTTGCTGTCATCAACCTTTGCTGACGAGGCAGGTAGCAGGTTACCACAGGAGACAGTCCTGTCCGTTATGCAGGGCAAAGACTGAGTAGTTGTCCTTCAAACACAGCTTTTGACAGTACCCATCACTCTGATATGTATATGTTCCCTGATCTTTCAGTGGTGTCGAGTCGGAGTAACAGCCATTGTATTCCTCGGTATAGGCATGTGTTGCAGGCAGACTGATGGACAGGAGAAGGGCTGAGGCAGCGAGAGCCGACCGCATCGTGAATGATTTCGTGGTATGGAACATGGTCGACGTAAGAAATGATCCCAAGGGGTAAGGTTTGGTTGGTTGAGTTTGGCGAGAAGTGACCTCAAAGAAACAGCCAGGGAGGTTGATTGAAGAATAAGGGACGACCTGCGTAACCCTTTGAACCTCTCAGAGCCACTTGAAAATTGATAGTCCTGGTCGTCTTTCTCTCTCCTAGGTCCTCGAGCTGGACGTGTCGCGACGGTCCTCCGGGAAGTGAAGAGCACGAATGGGTTGCAAGGGCCGACGCTGAGGATAAGTGACGTAGATGGGACCAGGCCTTGACGTGGAGATCAGGTCGGGTATAGACCGACAGCAGAGGGTCAGAGGATGGTGGTAGGTGAAGATTAGAGTGAAGATAGCGATGAAAGAGCGTGGTGTCTGCCCTGGGGGTAGGCGGTCCCTAGCGGGGAAGGGCCCTTTGGACCGGTCGTTTCAAGCACCCCTTTCTGTCGGAAAGAGTTTAATGAGCGAGCCTGAGCGGACGGTTCAGGAAGGGAAATCAGCCAAGGTTAAAATCGCACCCGCAGCAACAGGGGGGGCCAGAGAGAGAGAGAGAGGAAAGTAATAACGAGGAAGTAGCAGTTTCTATTATGGCCCTTGAGAGTGAGAGAGAGAGATCGGGATTCCAGATAATAGAAGCTCGATCTGGGCCAAAACAGTTCTGAAAAAGCGAGAGTATGAAGAGTTGGAAAAATGAAAATCCAAATGAAAATAGGAATAAAAATTCACAAAAACAATAATGTCCTAAAAGAAGGCCAAAAAGAGCGACTGAGTTGAAGCAGGAGGGAGAAAAGAGGGTCAGGGAAGGGGAAAGCGACAGAACGATTGACAGACTCCTTCCTGGGACACACAGGGTGACTACTGCATAGGCGGAGAACTGGACTGGGAAGGCATTAAGCGACGCACTGACGGGAGACTAGCCCAGGCAGGAGAGGAGGAGGAGGAGGAGGCGTAGTTACTAGTACTACTGTGTAGTAGTAGGGGGAGGTCAGAGACAAGAGGGAGGAGAAGGGAGGGGAGGGGGTGGTGGTTGTGTGTGAGGAAAGCGCCCTGTGTGCCTGTCTGTCTGTCTGTCTGTCTGTTCTGCAGCAGCAGCGGCAGCTCGTTAGTTACTGAGTGTGCTAAGTTCGCCCGTACTAAAGTTTCCCCTACTGGACGGCCGAAAAAAAAGGGACAAACAAAAGCGTGAGGGAGGAGCATCATTCCCATCATTCCCTGCCTTCTCCCCCAATAGCAGTGCGTGATTCCAGACGCGGTTCTCTTGTTGGTGGTTCCCCGACGGGACCTGACCCTGGATGCGCAGGGCGGTAATTTACCACGTCCCGCGTACCTGTCGCTGTGATCCAATCATTTTTCTTATATCATATTACATCAGCAGACCCGTCCAGGGGCAGGGCTCATCCCTTTCCTTTTCGGGCCACACGGGGCGGCACAATAACAATTGGAGCTGCTGCTGGCATGCACTAAAATCATCCCCATCCACTCGGTCATGGGGTGGGCGGGCGTGATGACTGTTGGCGGCGCTGTATATTTCTCCCATACAAAGAGGGGAATGGGCGGAAAAGGCACATGCTCAGGCGTTTTTGGGGGGAACTCGCCCTTCTCTGCTCCATAACATACTTTATTCCTTCCGTCTGATGCCGCGGTCGGAACTCGAAAGGCATGAAATGTGCGATTCATAGGCACATACCAGCATCTTCTGATCTAGTTGGCGAGAATATTCTCCTTCGCCCTCATGTAAACTCCATATGGCTACTTCTACATTCCATGCAAGTTCCCTAATGGAATTATGTCTGTCCCTTACCATCATTATTCGGCACCACCGGCAAGACAAGTACGTACCCAACTCAAAAACATAAAGAAACCGAAAACGACCAGAATTGGAAGAAGCAAATCGAATTTTGCCCGGAAAGAGGTTTATAAATAGTAAAGATCCTCGGTACGAACTCGGGCACTGATGCCCTCTTCTGTACGAGGAGAACACAAGCCTCGCGCAAATTCGCCCGTCTACCCTCACCAGTAACAATGCTGCTGCTCGGGTGCTGGCACCAGCCATTGAATGTCGATAGAAACAGCTGCTCCACGATGGACTTTTTCAAATCCGACTGACTAATGATGATGAGTTGTACCAGGTCTTATTCGTACCAGTCCTGGCATGACTGCATGACGGGCAGCGCAAAGTTTCCCTGCCCACTTGTAAGGAGATTTCCGGACCCAACCTTTAGGCAATGGAATTGGTTCTGGCGTCAATAATGCTTTTGGTCTCTAATTCGTTGCATCATCCATATCGAGACCTAAGAGCGTAAACCAACTACGTATCTAGTAGCATCAAACACCCGTCAGTAGTCTTCCCCCAAACTTTTGAGCCGGCACACATTGAGGACGAACGGCGGAGGATGTCACTGGTCAGGGGAGTCAATTAACCGCCCAAACTCCGGGGCCATCGCAATTCCAACAGACGCTGAGAGAATCCAAACTAATCCTTTTTGATCCTTGATCCGCATGGTCTGCCCAATGGGATGTTGATGCTTAGGGGGAGCTATGCACGCCGTCACGGACTCGAGTGCTCCAGTTTGTTAGTTAGTTGGTAGTTAGCGACCGGCGGGCCCTCTCCTCTTTCGAGTCAGAAAAGAGTTCGACTTTCCTCGTGCTTGGCTTTACCGTTGAAGCAGTCACTAGTGGGTAGCGATTCAACTTCTGCCAGACTAACTTACTATACGTATCAGAGCTTCATTTGCCACATCACTGTTTCGGTCGAGGGAGATCCTCTTGCATCATTGCCAAACCTGCGACAGGAATGGTTCCGATGGTTCAAGACGGTCGGGTCGATTCCGGGGTGCGGTGGGCGGCGCTGCTTAGGCAGATTGTGGGACCTTGGAACCCCTGCAGAAGTGCAGCCTGCGCCCCGTAAAAAGGTTCTGTATGTAGAAGTGTGTATGTGTGTGTAAACACCACCTTTCTACGCAAGGATTCTCCGCTCCCCCCTTCTTGACGCGTAAATCTGCAGATTCTGTGCAGGAAATAGAATCACGGCGCTTCTCGACAACCAGAATTTTAGGTGCTACTAAATTGTCATGGGCTGATTCCAGTCGCAGGAGGTTGATTGATAGGCAATGGGAAGTGCGACTGATGACGACTCCTCGGTCGGGAACTATGTTCAATAGGAAACAACCGGCGACTTTTTGCCGCCCATTCTACAGGAGGTAGACACATGTCCGTTACATCGTGCATGTTGCGTTTACTTTTACTTCTTTGGAGCGCGCGTGTGGAGGAAGATGCTGGATCATCGCCACCAATTACATACCCACAAGTTGTATTAGAAGATGGAACAAACATGCACGATTAACTGTTCCGTTCCGCAGCCCATGGAAGGAATTCTAGAAGTAGGTATGGAGCACTCCCTTCACATGCCGAATAAGCTTATTATCCGTTTTCATCATCATGCCAGGCCTGGTAGCGGATGTCCGAAATTTAGCATTCTCTGGGGTGTCTATCGTGGTTTTGTCTATGCTGCGATGGCTGTAGGATTTCGTGCTCTGGCTTGCACTGGCAAAGCTCGACCTAGAACACCATCCACCTATGTCAGAATTCCCAAAATAGTACGGATGAACCGGCAAAGGATAAAGGTAAGAGCTGAGAAAAGGAACAAAAAAAAAAAAAGCAAGGAAAACAAAGACCAATTCCCACCTACTAGTAGTAAATGACCAAGAGAATATTGTTGTAGAAATTGAAACTATCAACACCACAACCCCATCCATCCACAGGGCAAAGGGAAGATCACCGGCACTGCCGGGAATCCACTACACAGACACATACGCACACACACACTTAACGCTTTTCTCGGCCTGTCCGGATACCTACTCCGGCAAGTCTTCGCGGCTGTTCCCCATGATCGCGCAAATTAGAATCTGTCGAGTGGCTGACCACCTGACCAAGACAGTACTAGTCATCTAGACAGAGACGGTGAGCCAGCGAGCGAGCGAGCAAGCAAGTGAGTCAAGCAGCCCAGTAGTAAAAGTAGAAGAGAAGAAATGAGACCCAAACTCAAAGTGAAACCCTGGACGAGGGTCTAGAACGTGTCACCAGATCCACGATGTCTCTCCCAGGGTTTCCATTTTTAAAAACTCCGTCAACGATAGACCAGTCGTGAACGCGCAAGAGACAATAGCGCAGGATTTTCTATTGCTTTGCCAAGGAAGAGAATTTCGGCTCTACACGGTAGATATTTACTGGTCGGGCTGGCTGAGGGACACGAAGATGGATCATTGGGACTGGAACTGACCTGACCTGGTAACAATAACCTCAGGGTCTCACTCGGTCTTGTGTGTGTGTGTGTGTGACCATAACTGACTCGGGGGATGGCGTGGGGTTGGTCTTGGTGACTCACTCCGATCTCTTTTCTTTTTTCGCTTTCTTTTATGTTCGGTGGAATAATTGGAAGGAGATGTTGATGATCATATATCTAGCTAGTCATTGAGAGAATAGGGAATTCTAAGACATCCTGTTCTGTAATATTAGTAGTTCGAAATCGGTAGAGTAACTCAGAAGGCTAGAATCTCCATAGAGGGATTGAGTGGCCATCGGCTCCATCGTCTAGTCCCTGATCTGCTTATCGACACGAGAGGGACTGTTCCTCATGATTTTGGACTCGGCGTGCATTGGTCTTCGCTCCGTTTAAGGTAGGTCATGTGGCATGATTGAGTCAATGATATGACACATCGATTATATGAAAATCGGATGTGGATGATCAGTTCGTTTGGGTTCAATTTCCTACTTACGAGCTTATTGCAAGCTGGACCGTTATATTCCCCCTGTGGACGACGTCTACGGATGTACTTGTGACGTCTCCTGCACGAATCTGAATATCGCCTTGGTTCGAAGGCGGACGTCCAATGTCACCTGTTGCTCTTGATAGTGCCTTCAATTCCAGCCTAAAATATTACGTAGATTATTTAACACCTAGCTTTTCAGGCTGATTCTTGAATATGCTCGCTATTGAGAACCTGAGCACGAAGTATTGCGTAGGTGCTGCACAATGACATAACAAGGATCGCCATAATATAAAGCCTTATGATATCATCATTGCAATAAACTGAAAAATAATCTCCTCCTGTAAGCAATACCAATCCCGATACTTGCTGAAGATGAAGTGCAAGACACTATGCAACATATGCAGCATATGCAAATTATTTTCATTTCTGTGACAACTGCGTTATCTTCCACAGATACATCGCACCATACTATTTTTGCTTTCCCTGTTTTCTGGTCTCCCTTGGTGTATATTGCTCGTAAAAAAACATCTCTATCACATATGGGAATCCTGATCCGGACAAGTGCCTAATTGTCCATTCGGCTTTCCATGCACTTAAGGCTTAGGGATATGCAGCGTTTTGCTGACCATGAGGCATCCGTGCAAGACAAACAACAGTACCAGCGGGTGGAACTCGAACGCTGTGCCCTGGGCTACAAGGCCGAGGGGTAGATCGTCCAGCACCCAGTCTTGAGAGACGCAGTAGGCCAGGAAAAAGGTGATTGACAAGGTCGTTGGGATGGGCGTGCCCTCGAAGTACTTCGACTTTCCAGACTTGTCTTTCGGCAGAACAGCAACAGTCACGTTGAACCGTGCCAAGCGTGTCAGGCCGCACAGAACAAAGAAGGAGAGGAGCAAATGGTCGAGGCTGGTGCGCATTCCGAGCGCAAAAGCTGCGGCAGCGGGTGCCATTCCGAAGGAAATCTAAAGCACGGAAAGCGAACAATGAGTGAAAAGAATATTGTGACAAGTGGAGTGGGAGACCGTACCAAATCGGCCAGTGAATCAAGCTCTTGTCCCATGAGCGACGACTTTTTCCTCCACCTAGCAATCCGTCCATCCATGAAATCGAAAAACAGCCCGAAGGGCATGAAGATCAGAGCCGCCCAAATTGCACCAAAATCACGAGGGTCACCAAGACAGTAACGCATCGAAGAAAAAACGGACATCACTGTGTATGAGCGGTTAGTTCCGGGTCGTCGGGCTCGAAGGAAGGAGAAAATTTGTGCTTGCCTCCACAGAATCCTATAATGGGTGTTAGTTGATGCCTTTGATTCGGGCTGTAGACGGATCTGAGGAAGGATCTAGTTTATTACCATTGAGTTCAGTTACTAGATCAGCAAGATGCAGAGCCCTGATGTGCGTAAATGTGTAAGTGCAACGGTTCGGTTGAATTCCTAGCAAAGGACTCTCAATGGCTAACCTGATCATGCTAAAATGACCTGTTTCGGAAGAGAGAAGCATCTTTTGCTTTTCTTGACCTGCTATCACTTAGCTTCCCAGACTCTGAGGATATTGTTGCAGGGATGCAGGCTCACCACCGTCACCCGCAGGTGGGACACCGCTAGTCGTGGAAGTATTTGACGGCATGGCAGAAACCCTGCGAGACATGCTCAGGTGTATTTGACGGAAAGAAGATCCTCGCAGGACAAACAGTCGAAGTAGTGGTGTACGTTGGATATAATCGAAGACAGGTCGCGAGGATAGGAAAGAAATGATGCAATGGTACTAGGCAGCTGTCTTCAGAAGTGTTGACAGGCGCACAGATTCTACGGCACAAGCGTGGCCAGACGTCATTGCAAGGCGGTGTTGCCATGCGCCACACTCGGTCACAAGCCACTCTAGACCATCGCTGAAAAAGTTACTGCGCCACATTTGCCATCCAGTCATATAAGCATTTTACGGCTTCTTCGAAGACCTGGAACAAATAATGAAAGAACAATATTTCGCATAATCGATCGTAGCAATACATGAATTGGATGGCTGAGATTCACGACAGCCTCTGCGTACAGAGAACCAGCAAATTTTTCCTAGGATGCACAAGAATATAGAGACAAATAAATTCCTGTAAAAGCTCCCGTTTCCCATAACGCCGTAAGAAGACAGTACTACCAGGCAAGACAGAGACTGTCTACCGTCCTCGGAAGCCTCCACCACGAGGTCCTCCTCTGCCACCACCCCTCGAGAAACCACCGCCGAAACCACCACCGCCACCACCACGGAAGCCACCACCGCGGGGGCCACCGCGTCCTCTGGGAGCGCCGCCGCGACCACCACGCATGGGGCCACCACGGCCACCACCACGGCCACCGCGCATGGGACCGCCTCGGGCACCACCACCAGCTCTCTTGGGCTTGGCAGCACCTGTATTCTGGTTAGGATCAAGCACATTGGATTGTTGCGCGAAGCGAGTGAAATCATACCGGGAGCGGGCTTGGGCTTGGGAAGGAACCTAGTTTTGCAAAGTTAGACAAGTTTCCATCATGATCAAGAACAACTCGCAACATACTTCTCCAAGGGAAGGAGCTTGTCGCCACCAATGTAGACCTTGTCACCAGGCTTGAAGGAGGTCGCGACAATTCCTTCCTGGGGCTTGATGGTGAAGTAGACCTGGTTGATAGGGCCCAGGACTTCATCGACCTTGCCGATAGGGGTCTATTAAAGAATTGCGTTAGCGCATCGCGAGTTTGCGGAGAGTAGCTAGGTCGAGCATACCTTGTTCTCGAGGTAGATGGGGGCGTTGAAGTAAGGAATCTTGGGGTTGATCGATTCGCAAACCATCTCGCCTTCGCAAGAATGCATGACAGTTCCCATCTCTAGTTATTCCGCGTTAGTCCCAATCACTCTAGTCGCATTTTGGCGTATAATTACCCAGAACTTGGGCAGGGGGACCGAGAGGTTGCTGGAAACCTCCGCGACCTATCCGACGAAATTTTCGTTAGCTCATACCCAGCGTTGCGATCAACCTCTTATGTTGCTAGAGCTCACCTCCACGGCCACCGAAACCGCCACGGCCTCCACGGAAAGACATCTTTAATTGCTGTTGTTGCGGTCGACCTGGATCTCGGAGTCCGGAGAAGTTTTCAAATGGTGGGAAGCTCGAAACGGTAAAGTGTCGCTAGCCGCAAGGGCAGTTTTCTGTCACGTGCTTCACCGCCTTCGGGCCCTCACTGTCGATTTGCGTTTCATGATCGTCCGATTCCGTAGATATAGTGAGTCAGACATCGTTGCTGGCCCTTCCCCTCTTCTCAGGTCTAAAACTCCCAGGTCGTTCTTCAGACGTTTCTGGATACAAAATGTCTTCTGAAGGCGCAAAGGACCTTCCCGTCCGGCCGGCGGCCGACGCCAAACCTGCTGGTGAGCCACTGCCTGCCCCGCCATAACGCTCTCAAAACCCCTCTTTTAACCTTCGAATGCGCCAGGTGACGGTCTCCCCGATTTCATTGTCGAACGTAACAACTTCTTCGAGGAACTCTGGCAGCAATATCTCGAGGAACTCAAGAACAAGCCCCACCCCGAAATCAAGGTCACGATTGAGCTTGGCGACGGAAACTCCATCGATGTCACCGCAAACGCCTGGGAGACCACCCCCGCACAGCTTCTGAAGAACGTGCCCAAAGAGTTGAGCGCCAATGTTGTCCTCGCGAGGGTTGGAAAGGAACTGTGGGATCTGAGCCGTCCGCTCGAGGGAGAATGCACCGTTTCTTATGTTCCCTTCGATCACCCCGAGGGTAGGGAAGTTTTCTGGCACTCTAGCGCCCACTGTCTGGGTGAGGCTTGTGAATGCGAATATGGATGTCTTCTGTCCCACGGTCCTCCTACCCCCCAGGGTTTCTTCTATGACATGGCCATGCCAGACAAGTAAGTGTGGGTGAGATAATGCCAAAGAACTATACTGATAGTGAAACAGCCGCGTCGTCAGGGAGACCGATTGGCCGTCATTGGACCGCCACGCCAACCGCATCTTCAAGGAAAAGCAGAGTTTCGATAGACTGGAGGTTACGAAGGAGAACCTCAAGAAGATGTTCGCCTACAGCAAGTACAAGCTGCACTACATTGACAAGCTCGTCACCGGAGAGAAGAGCACTGTCTACCGGTGTGGTTCCCTGGTCGACCTGTGCAGAGGTCCTCATATCCAGAGCACCGGCAAGGTCAAGACCTTCAAGATCATGCAGGTGTGTATAATCATGAGTCTATGCCTCGAAGATGTATGACTGACACTTCAAAGAACTCTTCCGCCTACTTCCTCGGTGACCAATCCAACGACTCTCTGCAGCGTATCCGCGGTGTTGCTTTCCCCGATAAGAAGCAGATGCAAGAGCACCTGAAGTTCTTGGAGGAGGCCGAGAAGCGCAACCACGTTAAGCTGGGCAAGGAGCAAGAGCTGTTCTTCTTCGACGAGGTTTCTCCAGGATGCCCCTTCCTTCTGCCCAACGGTACCAAGATCTTCAACGCCCTCCAATCCCTTTTGCGCTCGGAGTACCGCAAGCGCGGCTACCAGGAGGTTCAGACTCCCAACATGTATGATGTCGGCATCTGGAAGACGTCTGGCCACTGGGCCCACTACAAGGATGACATGTTCAAGCTTGACGTTGAGAAGAGGGAGTGGGCTCTCAAGCCTATGAACTGCCCCGGTCACTTTGTGCTCTTCGGCCACCGTGAGAGAAGTTACAGAGAGCTTCCCCTGAGAATCGCGGACTTTGGTGTCCTGCACAGAAATGAGGCGTCCGGAGCCCTGAGCGGTCTCACCCGTGTTCGCAAGTTCCAGCAGGATGACACTCACATTTTCTGTACTCAAGACCAGGTGAGTACTGACGATTGGAATTGCATTGTGACAAGTATTTCGAAGCTAACACTGTGAAGATCACTTCTGAAATCGAGGGTCTGTTCGACTTCCTGCAGGCTATCTATGGCCTGTTTGGTTTCACCTTCAAGCTGAAGCTCTCCACCCGGCCCGAGAAGTACCTGGGTGAGCTCGAGACCTGGAACTACGCAGAGGAGCAGCTCAAGGCGGCCATGACCAAGTTCAAGGGCAATGACTGGACCATCGATGAGGGTGATGGTGCCTTCTACGGTCCTAAGATCGATATTACCATCGCTGATGCACTCAAGCGAGAGTTCCAGTGCGCGACTATCCAGCTCGATTACCAGGCTCCTATCAACTTCAAGCTTGAGTACATGAGCAATGAGAAGGCTTCTGCTGATGCCGCTAAGGAGGGTGAGGCCAAGCCCAACGAGCCTGGTCCTGGCCGTGCCCGCCCGGTTGTCATCCACCGTGCTATCATCGGCAGTTTCGAGCGTTTCCTTGGAATTTTGATTGAGCACTTCGGTGGCAAGTGGCCTTTCTGGATCAGCCCTCGTCAGATTCTGATTGTGCCCGTCATGCCTGCTGTCAACGACTACGTCGAGGAGTTGCAGACGATTCTCCGCGGCGATAAGCTGAACGTGGACATCGACCTCAGCGGCAACACCATGCAGAAGAAGATCCGTACTGGACAGCTTCAGCAATATAACTTCATCTTCGGTAAGTTGACATTTGAATCTCTATTGTCTTAGAACCCGCGCTGATAGTATTGAATAGTTGTTGGTGCTTCCGAAAAGGAGAGCCGCACGGTTAACATCCGCAATCGTGATGACCCTGCCACCCAAAAACAGGGCGTGATGATTCCTCTCGACGAGGTCCGCGAGAAGCTCCGGTCTCTGAGGAAGGAGCGGAGACTGGTCAACGCTCTTTAAACGGAACATGCTTTTTCTTGCATCTGATCGTTTGCATCGCGGGTTCTGAATTACGTGCTACGAGATCTACGTGTCAATATACCATGACTTAGATACTAGATCGCATAAGAAGCGATGTGGGCATTGATGAGAGATTAGACCAGAAGACTAAGACGGAGCCAGCGCGTGATGAGGACGTGGTGCTGTGTTTCTTCTACGGTGATTTAGTATCTATATAGCCTTCGGGGTAAAAAGTTCACGTGTATGGCGGCAGAGGATATTGTTTAGAATTGCAAGGGCGTTAGAGCTAGCTGTTGATTGTTAATCGAGCCTCATTCATGATATTATTTCAAGCAATTGATCTCTCAAGGAAGGGGGTGAAGTCTCGCCCCAAATACTGGCCGCCGATTCGTTTCGGATGTCCGACCGTACATTCCCGAAACGCGAGCCAGACTGCTCGGACTTAATGTACCACGTTTTGCTTTTCCCCCTTCCATTTTGCACTCCCTGAGGACAGAATCAAGCCCTTTCTGATTGGGGGTGAGGATGATCCCTGTGTGCACAACAATTTTGTATACGGCAAGGTTCAATCGCATCACCGTCATGACTGATCCATGATGGCTCCGCCGTTGCACCGTCGCTCATGGCGCCAATCAAGGGCGTCGGCACTAATCTTCGCGGCGGCCTTTTTCTCCGCAGGCTTCATACTATTCTTCTACTCCAGACCTAGCTATGTCGCTCCAATTCCCGATCTCGAGACCAGTCCTTCCCTAGCTTCTCCCGATGACACCAATCCTTGCTTTGTGGATCTCGATCTTCTCCGACAGTACTCCAGTACCGCCACGGTACAATATGCGAGGCTCGAGATAGCCGTGACATCTACGGAAAACTTCACGGGTTATACGGATACTCTCAGCACGCGATTCCCAAAGTTCCACACCGTACGCTTAGACACAGAAGCCCCTCGAGAGGACCTGTCGCCGGAAAAATGTACTGCCACCGTGACCATTGAGGGGCCTCAGCCCAGTGCACCCCCGGATGCTTCCCATATCATATTCGGCCTTTCCACATCGACTGATCGTTTAATCGACTCCCTGGACGCGTTTGCGCACTGGGCTGCAGGCACCAATGCCCGGATCTTGGCTGTGGTTGATAGCGGGGGACGAAAGAAGGAGGCTGAGAGACGGGCGCAGGCGCTAGGAATCCGCCTCACCATCCTCCAGGAAGATAACGAGCGCTTGGATCGATACTTCTATCTAGTGCAGTACTTGTACAAGCACAAAGATAAGTCCACTCAGTGGGTGGTTATGATGGATGATGATACGTTCTTTCCGTCAATGACGCGGCTGGTGGATCGGTTGGCCACCTACGATGCCTCAATGCCCCAGTATGTCGGTGCTGTGACGGAGGATTTGCAGCAGATGTACAGTAGTGGCTACATGGCATATGGTGGTGCAGGGATCTTCCTAACTATACCGCTTCTCGAGCAGCTCCAGCCTTGGTTCGATGAATGTTACGTGTTTAAAGGGGGTGGTGACCACATGCTTTCGCAGTGCATCTATAAGCACACCAATACTAAGCTGTCCTGGGAGCGAGATCTTTTCCAGCTGGATCTTCGGGGGGATGCGTCAGGATTTTACGAGGCTGGGCGGGCTCAGCCTCTCTCCGTGCATCATTGGAAATCCTGGTTCCAGGCTGATATGGTGGCTCTCAGTAAAGCATCCAGCATCTGTGGCGAGGAGTGCTTGCTCCACAGGTGGCTACTACAAGACGAGTGGTACCTTGTCAACGGATTCTCCGTGATCAAGTATTCGACCGTGTCAGACGATCCCTTGGCCATGGAGCAGACCTGGAATGCTAGCCAGTATACCGGTCCAAACCCGTTTACCTACAGCTTGGGGCCATTACGCCGCAAGGATGAAAAGAAGATCTCTTTTCGGATGCGAGACGTAGTGCAAGAGAAGGAGCGAGTTAGGCAGATCTATGTGCATGAAGTGACACCTGAAGAGCTGGAGGTGTTGGAGGTGGTTTGGAATCATGCTGCGTGAGATGACTGTTTCGATTAGATAGACATAGACGTAGGAAGAAGCAGGAAAATATGTAAAATTACCTTCCACATCTTCCTCTCCCCGTGGTATGTGCCGAAGACCACAATGTGGTGGCCTTTTCGAAGTGGAAAATGCGGATTGCCTTAGGCACAAGACCATCGCACCTGATCGCGCCTGGCCAGGCGAGGAGTGTAAACCTGCCCACCTGTCTTGTAGAGGTTCCTGCTTTTGCATCCTCAAGACGCGCCGTTATGGAGACAAATTTCTCGCTAATTAGTTGCATTGCCTTCCTATGGGCTGCAACGCCTCCTCCTGCATCTCCGACTATGAACGGTTCCCCTCAATTGCTGCAAGTTGCGCGCTTCGCAGGGTCCAATCAGAAACCGATGTGAGTTGCCCGTCACACCTCATCACTTCACGAACTCATCTCTCAGATTCTTTTAATTTCTCCTCTCGGTGGTTTTCAGTCCCTCGTTTTCTGTTTCTTCCTGCCCGTTGAGTCTTCGAGCTTGTCTTGCCGTGTCTCTGCTGATCCCGCAATTCCAGCTTCTCCTGTTTCAGAGTAAATCCAGACCCTCCCGGACATTGGCGGGGCGCTGACCCAGAACGACGGCCTGACAGACGCCATTCCTCGTGAATTGACTGGTTCTGTACCTTCAACCCGCCGAGCTTGTCTGGAGAGAAGTGACAAAGAGAAAATAAAAAGGGAGAAAAAGCAACCTCAGCCGGAGCGAATTTCCTCTGTGTGAGAAGCCTGAATCCGCCAGGGAAAAGAAAGAGTCTCAATCCACCGCCGGGCCAGCCCAGCGGCTACTTTGCTACTATTAACTCACTTAACTCACTACCCCACCTGGTGCCATCCATCGGAACAACTCTCTCCCTACCTCATCGATTCTCCCAATCGGCCTCATAACTTCCCCTTTACCTCCCCCGCCTTACCTCGTCTCGCTTCTTTCTACCATCTTTCTTGTTTTCTTCTTTGTACGAGTGTTTATCATGGCCGACTTGCAGGGTCGCAAGATCTTCAAGGTCTTCAACCAGGACTTTATCGTCGATGAGCGCTACAATGTCACCAAGGAGCTGGGCCAGGGCGCATACGGCATTGTCTGGTAGGTTTGACATTCTCCGACAGAGTCGCTCATCGTGGAGGATGCAATATCGGTTTAATGGATCTTATTTTTCTAACAATTTCAGCGCCGCGACAAATGCTCACACTGGTGAGGGTGTCGCCATCAAGAAGGTCACCAACGTCTTCAGCAAGAAGATCCTAGCCAAACGCGCCCTGAGAGAGATCAAGCTGCTCCAGCACTTCAGAGGTCACCGTAACGTGCGTTATTATTATACCCATTCCGATTATTGCTCCGAGCCTCGAGTCTGACGTGAAAATGGCTTAGATCACTTGCTTGTATGACATGGACATTCCCCGCCCGGACAACTTCAACGAAACGTACCTGTACGAGGGTGAGGCTTCCTTCGGTACCCGCGGGCTACTAGTTCCTGATGCTAACACCATCCTTCATTAGAATTGATGGAATGCGATTTGGCCGCTATTATTCGCTCCGGACAGCCCCTAACCGATGCCCATTTCCAATCCTTCATTTACCAAATCCTCTGCGGTCTCAAATACATCCATTCGGCCAACGTTCTGCACCGTGATTTGAAGCCTGGAAACCTTCTCGTCAATGCGGACTGCGAGCTGAAGATTTGCGATTTCGGTCTGGCCCGTGGTTTCTCTATCGACCCGGAGGAGAATGCAGGATACATGACGGAATATGTCGCCACAAGATGGTACCGTGCGCCGGAGATCATGCTGAGCTTCCAGAGCTACACGAAAGCCAGTATGTGTCTCTCATCCTCCCCTGCCCCGGCGCTATTGCTAATATATACCCAGTCGATGTTTGGTCCGTGGGTTGCATTTTGGCCGAGCTGCTAGGTGGTCGGCCCTTCTTCAAGGGCCGTGACTATGTCGACCAGCTTAACCAGATCCTCCACTATCTGGGTACTCCTAACGAGGAGACTCTGAGCCGCATTGGCTCACCTCGTGCCCAGGAGTACGTTCGCAACTTGCCCTTCATGCCTAAGATTCCCTTCCAGCGCCTGTTCCCCAATGCCAATCCCGATGCCCTCGATCTGCTCGATCGCATGCTTGCATTCGACCCGACATCGCGTATCTCGGTTGAGGAGGCCCTTGAGCATCCTTACTTGCACATCTGGCACGACGCCTCGGATGAGCCCACCTGCCCGACGACCTTCGACTTCCACTTCGAGGTGGTCGAGGACGTGCAGGAGATGCGCCACATGATTTACGACGAGGTAGTGCGCTTCCGGGCTCTGGTCCGGCAGCAGTCGCAGGCGCAGGCCGCCGCGCAGCAGCAGCAGATTGCCCAGCAGACCAATGTGCCCATCCCCGACAACCAACAAGGTGGATGGAAGACGGAGGAACCTAAGCCCCAGGAAGCGCTCGCCGCAGGCGGTGGCCACCACAACGATCTGGAATCGTCGCTGCAGCGGGGCATGGATGTGCAGTAGGCCACTACTAGTTCCAGCCTGCCGCTGCCTTCTTCAAATACAGTGTACATGTGTTCAGATTAAGACAATGGTGGGGAGGAGAGGCCTGACTATTTGAGACGGATTATAATCATTATCGTTCCGGAAGTCGCGGGCGTTTCCTGGACTACCTACCGCTGTTATACGATATCATCCATATCGCTATCTATCCGTTATGCTGTCCTGTGTTATGCCCTTACTCCCTGTCTGCTGGGATTATGAATTCTTGAAATGCAAACGTACGCTCTTGGTCGGCTGCTGTCCTCTCATTGGATGAGGTTTTGTCATTGATTTTCCCCCATGAAAGAAAGAACTGGTTTTACTCGCATCCCGGAAGTGTCTTTGGAGACATATCTCGCCGGGAAACTGCTGCCTTGCAATTGAGCGCTGATTCGAACACGGTCTGCCTTGGTTGAATGCCTGATTCAATAGATAGAGTAGTCTGATAAATAGCATTTCTGCTTCTCATTCGACGAATGCGACCGCCCCTAGCATTATCTCCAAGTACTGCAGGCCATGTATCAGCCATAAACACGACCAGTCATCATCGGAATCCAGCATGCATGCTATGATAAATCGATGCAAGCATCACTAGCTAATGGCAGAAATCTAGTATCTACTTACTCATTACAAAGCAAATAACTAAGTTAACGTTAGCTTGGTAGTGCGATTATGTGATCATGCACAATCTTCAACCGGAACCTCCGCCCACGCGATCCCGCACCGGAGGATCCGCTTCCATCCGTAAAGGATGAACTCTTACACTGCAGTCCCCACGAAATATGGACTACTATCTTACATAGACTTCGACCACAACTATAATCAACTAAACAATAATAGAACTATAGTAGTATAGACTACCGAACAGCTACCCAAACCCCGTAGTAAAATCCCTCAACAGCGAATCCCACTGAATATCATCCAGGGGAAACATATCCTCCATATCGCCGTAGATACTATTACCTGGCATCCAGTCCTGAGACATCTCACCCTCAACACCCATACTACTATCCTGCTGTTGGCCTGCAGTCATCACGACAGATGCTGACGAGGTCGCACTATTCTCCTGCCTTATATCTCGTCCCACAACACCCGTAATTTGATATGGGTAACAACGCGCCAACAACCGCATCTTCGAACAGAGACTTCCTACAACATCCATCTCTTTGTCTTGGGCGGACATCCGTATTCCCTTTTCTTGCAATTTCGTTTCCAGTGCGGTGGCTAGCTTGGTGACGAGATTTGGGTAGTCTGCTGTGTCGATGATGGATTGGATTTGTGCTTGGTGGTCTTGGTTTGTTGTTGGGGAGGTGCTAGTTATGAGATTAAGAAGTGTCAATACGGCTGTGGGGATGTATCCCACTGCGGCGCAGATACGGGCATTAGTTATTATTGTCAACTGGGGAATCTCCGATACGGGGAGGCTCGTAATGATTTGTATGAGTTCCTTGCTTCGTTGGATGAGGGTCATTAGCATGTTGGTTCGGATGGCGTTGATGGGGTCTGCTGTCCATAGATCTTCGCGGAGAGACGGTTCCTCGAGACGCATTTCTGCGTACTTGAGTTCGGTGGATATTGCGGTTGCTGGATGGGTTGGTTGGTGGTCAGTTATGATTATGTGGGAGACTGTGGGTGATGTACCTGTTGATGGAGGGCAGCTTGGGAGATCTTTTGCTATACATGTCTGTATGCTATCGAATTGTCGCTGTAAAGAGCCGCGCGTGATTTGCACGAGGGCACTTCCGCCGGTTGCTTGCATCGAAGCGTATATTTCATCCATTGTTGCCATGAATGATTGTAGGTTGAGCAATGGTGCGATCCAGCGATCTGATGCGTATCCGGTGGTAGTGGATGATGCTAGACATTCAACAGCCTCTTTTATTCGATCATCGTGCTTCATAGTAATCGGCCTGCCGAGTGTGCCACAGAACCTACCAGCACGCATATATAATCAGCTCAAAGCCGCATGTACCAGCGAAGAGAAAGACAACATCAACTCACCCAACAGACAACCAATACGTCCCCAGCAGCGCGCGCTGCTCATCCGCACCCAGCCTATTCCTCTTATGCAGTCCCAAATCATACAAAATCGAGGTACAAAGCTGAACCAACAGCAAAAGCCTCGGATGATACTTCTCGGCAGGATACGAGTACCACGCACAATGAACCAACAATCCACGAAGCAACTCAAGACTCCTCTCCGATCGTGCCACGATCCTCGACGTAACATGGGTCATGACCTCCTCAGCGACAGTCCTGCGCAGAGGATGCGCACTGCCCACCGTCGCTGCCACGATGCACAGAAACAGAAACGGCTCTCGAACTCTGAGTCGAGCGGCTGTCTCTCCATGCGGAATCAAGACAAAGGGGAACTTGCGCACAAAGTCAGCTTTGAAGGTTGTGAGCATACGCTCGGTTTCAGCTGGACTCAAGAGGCCCCGATCTACGAGTGATGGCCGGTCCTCGAGAACAGAGCTGGTCGGCGGATCGGGGCCGTGGGACGGGTCTTTGGCTGCGTCTAGCAGCGCGGCTATATCTGTGTCTGTTGGGTTCTCTAGTGTAGAGGCTTCATGGGAAGATGAGTGCAATTCTCTATTGGTGTTCATGGGTGGGCTGTCATTCGTAGAGGTGGCGGGCGATACTAATGGCTGCCCGTTCTGTTGCTGGGTCAGGGTCGCCAGCTGCGACATGAGCTGGTCGACTTTCTTCTCTAGAAGCTCTACACGGCTATATTCATACTAGTTAGCATTGTAAGTGCTATTTGTCCTTGATAGAGGAGATTACCTCGGTGCGGCGTTCTGCCTCTGCTTACGCTTTGTCTGCGGAAGGTCAAGGTACGTGCATGACTTGCCTAGACGAGCGCATCGCTGGCACAGGTTGGCAGCCTGTGGCGTACACTTCGCCTTGGCGGTGGTGCATGCCACACATGCTCTCCTCTTGACTGCAGAGATGGGGGAGCTCATTCTGTCGCATAGTGAGGAGTCGGGGACGGGGGAAACGGAGCGGCCGGTTGATGAGGATGCTGACTACCGCTTCCTGAGAAGGAGTAGTAAGATCGGGGGATCGGATCGTCCGGTCGGGAGGGTTGGTAATCCGCCGAATGTATATAAATTTCCACGAGTATAGCGACAGAAATTGGAAATAGCATCAGACAGAATCAACTCAATTTGTTAACATTAAGATATACTTAATATCTACCCCCTTTATTCAGAATCCGAGAATGTCTTCATACGCGATCACTGGCGCCTCCAAAGGCATCGGCCGCGAATTCGTGCGCCAACTCGCCGCCGACTCAGCCAACACAGTCCTGGCAGTCGTGCGAGACCCCGAATCAGCCGAAATATCAGATCTCGCATCCAAGCACTCCAATGTACACATCATCAAAGGCGATGTCACGGACCCAAAATCCATTCTAGAGGCGGCCACAACCGCAGCCGCCATTACTGACGGCAAGCTCGACGTGCTCATTCACAATTCCAACGCCGTTGATACGGCTAGCATGGCCTCTACCCCAAGCCAACTACCATTCGACTCTCGAGAAATTCAAGAAATATTCAACCCGTCGCTCAACACAGCTATCTACGGCGGTCTATGGGCGACGAACGCTTTCCTACCCTTGATCGAGAAGGGAGTGCAAAAGAAGATCGTGCACATCTCTAGCGGCATGGCAGATGTAGAGCTTATCAATAAGGCTGGTATCAGTAACGCCGTTGCGTATTCTATTGCAAAAGCGGGAATGAATGTTGTGGTTGCAAAATATGCGGCGGAGCTTGCGCCTAAAGGGATCAAGGTTTTGGCTTTGAGCCCCGGGTGGGTTGATACATGGGAGGGTAAGTCAATTCCACTGCCCTTGACTTATTCTTTTATTGGTCTGTAGAACAGGGATGCTAATATAGTCGGTACAACAGGTGAGAAACCCGCTGGTGTAGTATACGCAAATGAGCTCTTGCTGAAAAAGTTCCAGTTGGTTGAGCCTGAGCTCAAGGAGCAGATCCAGCCCGAAGAGAGTGTTAAGAAGTGTCTCCAGGTGATTGAGCGCTTGGATGCTAAGTCTAGCGGGTTGTTTTTGAGTCATAATGGGGATAAGTCAAGGTGGTTTTGAGTGTGTGGATATTGCATGAGTTGTCTGGGCTGAAGTAAACGCGCGGTGACGTACATAGGCTCGGGGAGTAGTATTAAACCTAATAGTTCAGAGCCTTAACTATTCCGAAATCGAGCATATCCGGCTTTCCCTAGATATCCTTTGCGGTAACTCGGCCTGAGAGACGGCCGTAGATCGAGTGTGTGGGACCAGCGAGGCAGTCCTATCCCCTGCGGCCCTGGCCTACGTGATCGACAGTCTGCGTCTGTAATCCCGCATTTTCTCGGTCATGACCTCTTTAGCTTGAGTTGCTTGTTGATCTTCATAGCCAGTGCATGCGCTAGACTATGGAGACCCCAGAATTGGGCACAAAAAGGTTAAGCCAGGAAAGCAGACGTGGTTGCTGTCAATAGGACGCGATTGGGAAATCGATTCGCCCATAAAGCCCACCTGAATTTCCCTCGTGACCAAGCGTATGAATCTCCCCCTCCCCAAGTAAGATGAGCGGCGGCGAATATTTCTCTTCTCTTTCTGCCCTCTTGCGCAATCACTCAAGCCGATGCACAAAGCGAGGGAGGCGCCGAGCACACAGCCAAGGGTCGAAGTTTCAGAAGAGCCGGTGGCACCTCATCAAATTCCGAGTTCGGGAATAACTGTGGCACCTGCCTTCCATCTGATAACTTTATTGGAGACTGATTGGAAGAGAAACGAGGAGGGGCAGTCAGAGGTGCGAAAGTAGGCGAGCGGCGCTACTCCAGACTAGGAAAGAATAGCGGCAGGTGTGTCAATCTGGAATGCAGAGGCGGATCAGATAACTTTTTTGTTTTCCGACTCGGGGATGCCAGCCCAAGGAAGACGAGCCACCTTTTTACATCACTCGTGTATGTGCAGATGAAGAGATAATGTCAAAGGTCATTGTGTAAGCCTACCGCGTTCTCTGTATGACTCTCAAAGCTCAAAATATAATTTTTGGGGTTTCCTGGACCACTTACTCACAAATGCTGTGTTCCGATCTCGCTGGCGTTCCATCTGATAAGATGACCCCCTGTGGAGAGCGGCCCCTATTGGTCACCAAGGACCCATTTCTGGCAGTGCCCGGAATCACACGATCCGGTGTCGAATATTCCACGTCCTCCGGATCACCCTGTATTACGGGTCTCGCTGGAGATATACCCAATGAACTACCTGAATCGCAGGCAAACTGCGGGAATTGCTACTCCGTAAACTTCCAGGCATCTTCTTTCCCAACGGTGGAGTATCGAGCAGCAGAAACGGCATATACGTCAGTCCGTACCGGATTTTCGGTTCATTCGGCGATAGAAATAGAAGCAATCAATTTCTCTGCCCCTTCCCAGAGCAGATACTGACCAATATCACTCGGCTCCACCGTTACTGAGCCGGTCCCTCGGTCTCGGCTCCTGTGGCCTCCTCTTTCGCCGGAGTTATTGCGGTCTCCGTGCTTAAAAGCAGCTCTGCTCCCGGCCTTCGTTCCCTTCATTTTAGTTTCTGTTGGCTTCTCACATTTTGCGTGATCTCCCCTTACTTCTCTTTAATCTCCGCTCTTGTAATACCTGCGCCAAGCGTTCCATAATGCCGTCTGCTACAAGCATCGCTTCTTTCACGCGACAGTTCCGCGTCTTGGTCGTCGGGGGCTCATACGGTGGCTTGACTGCCGCGCTGACATTGCTTGACCTATCTCGCGGCCGAGTATGCCGTTTCAATTCGGCTCCAGATGCGCAGCCGCCGCAGAGACAGCTTCCAATTCAAATAACCGTCGTGGACGAACGTGACGGGTTCTGTAAGGCTCATCACTCATCTGACCTTCCCAGAGTCTTTGCGGTCCACGTCGCTAATGCGTACTCCTTGTTGTAGATCACTTAATTGGATCTCCCAGAGCTTTGGCATGTGACAACTATGCATCGAAGACCTGGACAAAGTTCGAGGACATTCCAGCTTTGAAGTCTCCGGATATTCGATTTCTGCGCGGCAGTGTGAATTCCGTGGACTGCCAAAGCAAAGTGGCCCGCATCCTTGACGCCCACACCAAGGAAACACGAAAGGAGAAATATGACTTTCTGATTGCTAGTTCAGGACTTCGACGTGTCTTTCCAACCGTCCCTCAGTCTCTTCGCAGAGACGAGTTTGTGGAGGAAGCCAAGAAGCACGTAGATGACATCCGCAATGCCCAGGATGGAATTGTGGTTATCGGAGGAGGTATGTAGCTTGCCCTTCATCAGGCACTCGGGATATCATATGACTGACCGAGCATAAACTTAGGTGCTGTTGGTGTTGAAATGGCAACTGAGCTCAGACTTCTTCATCCCAACCGGAATATCACGTTGATTCACTCTCGTGATCGTGTACTCTCAGCAGAACCTTTGCCGGCTGAGTTCCAGGAGCGTGTGGGATCCATTCTGCGTGAAGCAGGCGTGAAGATCATTTTCGGACAACGAGTGCTCGACATTACGGCTATTGAGACAGAGGGAGAGCGACGGCTGTGGAAACTTGAGCTGGCTGATGGGAGAAACATCTATGCAGGCCATGTCATGAATGCCATTTCCAAATCTGTTCCCACAACGTCGTACCTCCCAGAAGAGGCCTTAACTGAGGAGGGTTATGTCAAGATCCGAGCATCGTATGTCCCTCAAAGGATAATCACTCTAACGGGGCTAACCTTAAACCAGTACACAATTCCCCAAGAATATCCCGAACGCCGATTCCCATTTTGCCGTCGGTGATATGGTATCCTGGTCAGGAATCAAACGCTGCGGAGCTGCAATGCATATGGGCTATCATGCAGCCGTCAATGCTCATCAGCTCATGCTGTCGGAGGAATCAAACTACAAGCCTGAGTTTATCAATCTTCAGGAGGTACCTCCGGTAATGGCACTATCCATGGGCAAGACAGCAGTCACATATACCCCGGATTCGGGGACGAAGGATGGTGAAGATGTCCATGACGTTATGTTCGGCGAGGATATGGGTTATAGCAGTGAGTGACTCTGGATGGTCCATTTAAGATTAGTATCTAACATGATGCAGTTTGCTGGAACTATATGAGAATGTCTGAGCCTTGTCAGGCATAAAACACCCACACATGAATTTTTCACTTCTATTCGACAGATCGGGTATCTGTCACCTTTATGCCATTGGGAGTCTAATTAGACCTTTCGTCGCTATTTCTATGCTGTTGGGCATACACAGCTTGCTGGTTGAGTGGCACTGCCTAATCGACGGTTATCGTGTGGACCGAGCTAACTGGCGTTTGGACTTTCCTTCTTTGGATTTAAATGGGATTGTCTGACAAGACTCGTACTATAATTCGATGTGGGCATTCTTGTTCATAATATAACTGTATATGAGATATTAAGGAAGATGTTGTATTCGTGGTGTGATGAAGATTTGTAGGTTGGTTGCAGACAAGAGATGTAAGACAGGCAGAAGACCACAACGGGAAGGAGGGGGTCAGATGATCGACAGATCCAGCCAACAATAGTGATTTTATAGTTGTAGAGCTTGTTTGCACCGAGCCATCCCCTTCAAAGAGCGCCTAATTTAACGAGCACTAAATTACTAGTCATACGGTTCAAGGAGATACCATCGTAAACGACAACATCCATGGTATCGAGTTTCGTTAATTGAAATCCACCCCACGATTCGAAGCCAGTCAGAGAAAGAAACAGAAGATTCATTACTACATAGCTTGTGGTACCCGCCACTTGAAGAGAATCTAAACTCCTATAATACCAGTATCCCAAGCTTAAGCTTGAGCCTCTGCCAACGCCTGCTTCCTGGATTTGGACTGGAGGTCCAAGTAAGGAGCTTCACCCAGACTGCAGACCCGGTCACCAGCCCGGGCTTCAGCGTAGTCATAAGTGGCGCAGTGCCAGGTGGATCTGTTATCCCAGATGGCCATATCATTCTTGTTCCACCTGAAGCGAACCTGCGCGTCGTGGTTTTGTGTGACGAGCTGTCGAATGTCAGTTTGACTAAATGTTGGCAAATAGGTTGTTTCTGGCTCACATTGAAGAGATACTGCAGCAGCATATCGGACTCGTCCTTGGTTACCCCATTGATTCGCTTGGTGAATCCCTTGTTCACATAAACGGACTTCCAACCGGTAACAGCTATAACAACATTAGCACTGTCACTTAGATTGGAAATGAAGGTTGATGCGTACGGTTAGTACGAACGACAGGATGAACCGCCTTAAGGTCTTCACCCTGATTCAGTGGCGATCCTCGGATTCCCTTGCGTAGGGGATTTCCCAGCCTGCGTGCTTCGTCATGGAAGAAGCTAGCATCGTGCGTGGCTGTCAGACCCTCAAGGAAGGCAGCCATCTCAGGAGACAGGCGGTCATAGATCTCGTAGCCCGAGGCCCAGAGCGTGTCTCCGCCGGTTTCGGGCAGAGTGTGGATCTTGAGCATGGCGTAGTCGGAGGGTACGCGCTCGAAGCTGATATCGGTATGCCATCCTACGGAGGCGAAGCGACTCGTATCGCTGAGTTGGTGGGTAAGACCGCCTCCTTTCTTCTGCTTCTCGCTGCTGATGACGCTGATTTGGTCACCAAGTTCGCTGCCTTCTTCCGTCAAAGGGTGAACGTGGAGGCCAGATGATTCGGGCTTTAGAGGCAAATGTGAGCTGTCTATCTATTGACCATACCAGAGATCGCCAGGACCACTTACGCAACCAGCCAGAACAGTCAGCTTCTCGCCGAATTCTCTCATTTGCTGGGGGGTGACATCCTGGTCACGAAGGAAAACAACGCCTCTCTTCGAAACTGTCAATTGTCAGTATATGATATATTCTAAGAACATTTAGATAAGCGCAGAACATACTTGTCACCGCGAGGTCTTTGATAATCTGGTCGGAGTTTTCCGCTTTGAGTATGTCGGCCACCTGGAGTCCTCTGTACTCTCTACCAATGACTGGTGTCAAGTCTTGGTGAGAATACGAGTCCAACAATCCAGAGTATTGCAGGGGCTCTGAGATCCGCGGACGGGACTCCTCGTGTCCTCCGCGGATTGTCGAAGCTGAAGCACTCTCAACGGCTGACGGCATGGTGATTGCTTAATCAATGGTAATTATTGTGTGTCCCAACTAAAAGTACTATCTTGTGAAAATTAGGAGCAATCACTTCCGCGGCCTCCGACGGATTTACGAGCGATTATATACCGGGAAGTATACAGACCACACGAGGTTGCTGCGTGAATTACGACTGCTGCCGATGAACAATCTCCACTTTCGATAAGTGACGAGTATTGGGAACGCGACAGAAGCATAGAATATGGAAGTCGATCGTTCCACCTCTACCCGACTGGCACACGAGTAGAATGATGCTATCTACAGCTTTTGTCATTTGTCGCAAGTTCCAAACTGTTCTGCGACAACCTGACCCGGATTCTTAGCCGTCTGGTGACATGAATCGTTCCCCCGCATCCAGCACGATGAAAGGGTCTCGTTCTTCGCCCTGAGCGCCAGTCACAAGTCGACGGTGCTGTTATCGGCGGGGCATCGGCGAAATTCTCGGAGGAGGGCTTGCATCCTGCCAGCCTGTGTCACTTTAGCGCCGGCCGCTAAAATCGCCCTCTTGACGAATGAACAGTGTCTTCGTGGGCGGGCTTGCCAGTACGCTGCCCAGCTTCCCTGCGCATAGGCAAAACTGCTCTATAGTAGCAATCATCAAAATGCCAAACCTGGGGAAACGCGTAGGCTGTCCGTAAAAGGAATAGTTCATCTCATCGCTCCAAGCTGCAGCAAGCAGAAAAGAAACATCCGGGGAAGCGTATCGAGATCTTCAGCAATTTTCTACATGAACAAGATGGAAATGAAGACCTTAACCGGACCCATCTTATTCGAGGCGATTCTCCGAAGTGTCTAAAGGGTTATTGGCTATAAAAATTCAGGGTGCCGCTGGTGATATGACCAGGTTGCGCACACCAGGGCGCTCTAGGCGATGATGTGCTCGGTGATCCGTCTTGTGCAATCCGGTTAGTCTCTTTCTGGCTTGAAGGCTTGATTCATTCGTACAAACGGCCCAGACATGGTTGGTTGAAAGAATAACCACATTGTCTTCCGCCATCGCGAATCGTATTGGCGCTGCAGCCATCTCCGTAGTATGTATACTCCATAACAACATGTCATGCCTTTTAAGGCATACAACATGAAATAAGTATTTAAGTAGTCATGGAAGTTTCTCCCACGCTTCGGCTCTAGCATTACTCGTGTCTCCCCTCTCTGCTCTTCTCCACATCCCCATTATCCACGTCTAGTGGTAAACAGTAAGAGCGAGCAACCATGCCCGACGACATCGAGCAGGGCTACAACAAGGGCACCATCAAAGCCCACGATGTCCTCGAAGACTCCCAATCATCCAAAGCCTCAATCGAAGTAGGACAAGAACATCTAGCAGGCGTCACCCCTCCCCACGAATCATTCGAAGGATACCATCGTTTCGATCCAACAGCAACATGGACACCCCAAGAAGAAAGAAAGCTCGTCTTCAAAACAGACCTGATGCTCCTAACATGGATTTGTTTCATGGTACCTCCTCCCATACCCATCTATGCAAATCAAAATCACAATCTAACCAAGCTGAAAACCAGTTCTTCGGCCTCCAGCTCGACCGCGGCAACCTCTCCAACGCACTGACAGATCATTTCCTAGCAGATCTAAACATGACCACAGATGACTACAACAACGTACGAAACCCCCTTTCACACCCATCCACCATCCCATCAACTAACCCTCTCGAAATAACACAGGGATCAACGATCCAACTCGTCTGCTTCCTCGCCGCAGAATTCCCCGTCCAGCTTCTCATCAAGAGATTTGGCTTCAAGCGCGTCCTCCCTGTCATGATGCTCGCTTGGAGTCTAGTTTCCTGGACGCAGGCGTGGATGACCAGTCGGGCCTCGTTCTATGTGACTAGGGCGCTTATTGGTGCTTTCGAGGGAGGGTTTATCCCAGGTACAATTCTCTTTGCGACGTACTTTTATAAGACGAAGGAGTTGTCGGTGCGATTGGCGTTTTTCTGGTCGACGTTGAATGTGAGTATCCTCCACTGGATGGTGATGGAGATGGGGATGAGGGATAAGATTGGGCTAATATATGATGATGGGGATGTTCTAGGTTGCTCGCATTGTCTCGTCCCTGCTAGCTGCTGGAATTCTGCAGATGCGTGGCGTTGAGGGAAAGTCAGGCTGGTTCTGGCTTTTCCTGATCGATGGACTGCTCACTTTTGTTATTGGGTTGGTTGTATGTGACTCTTCATCTCCTGTAATAAGAGAACCGTTGCTAACAGCCAAACAGAGTCTCTTCTACCTCCCCAGTTCCCCAACAAACACCAAGAGCGCCCTCTTCCCTCGCCCATGGTATTCCGAGCGTGAAGAGATAATCATGATTAATGTACGTACCTTCAGCCAACATGGAAGACATATATTAACCCCAATAGCGCCTCCTCCGCGACGACCCTTCCAAAGGCCTAACGCACATCAACGAACGCGCCACCCTCCACGACATCTTCGAAGCATGGAAAGACCCCTCGATGTGGGGTCTCTACTTCATCGGCCTAGTAGCCTACATCCCTCAAAGTCCCGTGCAATCCTACCTCTCGCTCACTCTGACTCGTCTCGGCTTCGACACCTTCGACGCAAACATGCTCTCGATTCCGTCCGCCGCGTTACAGATCATTCTGATGCTTGCTGTTTCCAAGAGTAGTGATATCTTTGGCGAGCGGACGTTCCATTGCCTCTTCGGGGAGTTTTGGTCGCTGCCGCTGTTGGCGGCTTTGGTTGCGTTGCCGAATTATGGGTACAATTGGGCGCGATTTGCGGTTTCAACCATGATCTCCGGGTATCCGTACTTTCATCCGATTGTGTCGGCATGGATTTCGGAGAATACGTTTGATGTGAAGAAGAGAGCGATTACGGCGGCGACGTATAATGTTATTGTGCAGATTGGGTCGATTATTTCTTCGCGTGAGTGTTCCAACCCTGGTGATATACATGAAAGCTGGTGGTGGTAGCTGACTGACGGTTGAACAGAGATCTACCGGACGAGTGACTCGCCGTATTATTACACTGGGAATAAGGTGCTCATTGCCCTATGTGTGCTCTCGTTGGTGGTGTTCGTCGCCCAACGTGAGTTCTTGCGGCATCTGAACAGACAGAAAGAGAGGAAATGGCAAGCCATGTCTCCCGAGGAGCGGGTTTTGTACCAGTCTGACAGGGAAGCACGAGAAAAGGAGGGAAATAAGCGGTTAGACTTCCGCTTCAAATACTGATGAGATGAGTGTATTATAATAAAACATGCCGGTAATGGTAATCTGGACGTTATACTTGGTTCTTGGGCATAATGTGACTGAATTCGCTTCATGATGTACCGGTCAAACAGCAAATGGGTATATTTGAAGAATCGTGCTCATGAAAGGGTGGGGAATGCGTTTGCTAGGAAAGCAGAAATCCTTCACCAGACAAGACTGCATCTGAAAAGTCATTGCTTGAAAAGTTGAGCTCAGGTGTGAACTGACCCTCCGGAATTTGCGAGATGAAATCATTTATCAGCATTTCGACAGAGCCAGAGGGTAAAGCAGGTGACAGTGAGGCGAAACTCAAGGGTGTACTCCTTGCACCCTCCAGTGGTAACGAGTATGGCAGCAAATTGCCGAAAGAGGGGTCATAGACGCTCTGAGAAGACTCGAGTTGCGGAGAAATCGTTGACTCCAAAAACTCAGGAAACAGCATGTCTTCCAGTGGCTGAAGAGCGTTGTACCCACTCTGCGCGTGGTGCTCGAGACTAAGACTATCTTGTATATGCCCTTGGCCCACAGACTGCATTGCAGGGAGCTGAGCCTCAGTGGCAGCAGACCAATTATTGAGCGTGCTGATGTCGTCAGCTATGGGACCTGCAGCTTCCATTGCAGTAGTAGCCCGTTTATGGGCTAGATCCTCTCCACCTGACACAGAAGTAGTGGTCGCAGGTAGCATTTTACTCTTAACTGGTGGATGCGGTTCTCTTATTGGAGGCGTTAATGCAGGACCGCTTCTAGCTTGCGCATCTGCCATCATCTTATACAGTAACTCAGCTAGCTCTTTGTTGCCCCCACCTCTGAAAGTGGAGAGGATGGAGTGTAGTCGGGCTAGAATGCTGCTGGGGCGGCTTTCATTATCCCAAGAAGGCGCCCGTGGCAACATTGCGAGGTCTATTACGGCATCGGCGAGTGAGCTGGCGATCTCATAGAGTTTCAACTCCTGGAAGATCTGATCAGTAGTCATTCCGCTAGGGCTACCGAGACTAACATACCATACCGAGCCCATGGGCTTCGATCGCCGCTCGTGGTAGTTGGGATACTATGTTCAATAGCTCCTTTGCGACCACGATCGGAAAGGATGGAGAAGTGGGCCAATGAACAGACGATCCATGAGCGCTTTTCTTGGACGAGAATTTCCACAAGATCATGCGCATCCAATGTCGGGTAACGCAAAGATCTGCTTTCTGTACGTCTGAAATATGATCCAACAGAGCTGACCCGTCCTGCAAATTATCTTGCAATAGCCTAAGAAAACGGCTGTCTAGGTTAGGGATTTCGCTAGACAGTGGCTCAAAGCCTCCCTGATCATCCTCGATAATGTCGAACATTTTAGACTGCTCGAACAGTCGGAACAGATTAAGCAGTTTCAGGAAGGCCGGCAGAACCTGGGGCTCATCATTCGCATCAAGCTCTGGGGTTGAGATATCTGTCCTCAAGACTACGGGGAGTTTGTGGAGGATGCAGACGCCGCTATGAGATCGTTAGGACAATGACACAAAGCAAGACTGGTTCACTTACCGTTCAGTGACAAACAACAGCCATAGCACACGGCGACGCATTTGTTGCTCTTCCGGGGGAAGGCCAGCGTACGAGACTTCTCGATGCAGACACATCATCTGGGCGAGTGTAATAGCCTCTCTCAAGTATAATAGTGATTCACTGGCGCCCGATTGGTGGTTCTCAAAGTATACATGAAGGAAAAAAGCCGTCCGGACATTATTTAAATTGAGCCTTGATCGGTAATCGCAGGATCTGCGGGCCTTCATGCACTCCGCAGCAAATGTTTCCGCAGTCACCGACTTGTCAGGGAGAGAATTTTGCCCTAGCCTTAATTGAGCGATCGTTGCCGCTGCCACAGCAGTTGCCAATGCATATGTCTCGTGGTCATTCTCCTCAGTATCCTGCTGCAAACTGGACATGACACTTTCGACATCCACGACAGGCCAGACTGGATACATTCGCACGTGGTATATATAAAGCGGGGATGCGAGAACATTGGTGGGTATCCGAGATCTGTGTCGCTCAACGAATTAGACGGTTATAAGCACACTAAAGTGGCAGTTTCAGGGCGACGGAACTCCATATTTTGCACGACGACCCGGGAGATACGAGAATGGTCATTAACGCACCTTTCCGATTTTGCACCGCATTCTCGCTGTACTGGTGTCGAGGCGTGGTCGGTTTCTAGTACCTCCCCGCTCTGAGGGACTGAGGGTAGAGCATCATGTACCTCGATACCGCGTTGAGCTTGGTCTATAAGGTACTTTGTCGTTGCGCGCAGCTTCTGAGGACCACGAGGTTGCTGGACCCGAATGTAGGTACACTTGATGCGTGCATTGAAGCAGGACCGGCATGGCTGGCCACCACCGCAGCGAATCTTCCGAATCTTACATCCGTCGCATGCTTTCTTGGTTATACTTGCTCTGGAGGACATCTTTGCGGTTGTCAAGTCACAGGCGTAGCGCAAACGTCTCTGATTGAATGCATGACAAAAAGAAACAGGAAGGTATTGTGGGAAAAGTTGAACGGCGATGGGCTGTCAGTTGAGCCGAAAATCAGCCAGTAGCGTGACGCTGCATATCCCAAAAGACGCGAGGAGACAGTCAACCCGAGGTTATTGCGGGGCAAAGCCTACGCATTCCCTGAGTGGTGCAGCTTGAAGCGACGCCTGGTGCAAACGTGGCGTATCCGAGTTGATCGATGGAGCAGTTCGGGTGACTTCGTTGCACAAGCTGCTGTATTGCTTGACTTTTGATTTTTTGTCGGAAATGTGTTGCAATGATACGATGAGGGTGTCTAATGATAGCGGGTGATTGCGCCTTCAACTCCACGCGGCACGCCATTATCGAGACCCACCCCGTGTGCCTGGATTGTCCATCGCAGACATCAGGGGACGAGCTCCGTGAAAAGCACTATCTTCTTGGAAACAGAGACATAAAGATTAATATGTAGAGATCATGCACCAGGGAAAGCAGCGAAACAGTTACTGTAACGGTCACAGGAGGGTTAGGCGGCTTGCAGGAGGTTGCATCTAATGCGTCGGCTTCAAACCTCCCATCATAGGCATTTGGTATCCCATAGGGCGGTCGCGAAGCAATTAGTGGTATGAAAGACCATAATTGGGCCATGCTTGCAGAAAAACATAGAAGACATGGTAGAAATGCAAGAGATGAAGAAATTTTTCCCCAAAGGTGAACGGATGTACTTGTAGGAACTCGGTCGCCGCTGGCTGGACTATAAACGGCTGTCTGCCTGCTGTCACCTGACAAGCGTACTATCTATAATGAGATCGATCCCACAGATTGCACTCATTTACTCCAATTATCCCTGCTCAGACCTCTCCTCCACTCTTGTGGCCATTACTATCTTCACATTGCTACACTTCACTTGTAGTGCATGGGAGACGAAGATAGAGCCTGTGCAGCCTTTCTCGGACCCGGCTAAGACCACTAGTGCCCATGCTAAATCATCCAGGCTAAAGCAGAGCCAGACCCTCCGAGTATTCCTCCGACGCCTCTGCTGGCCTCCGCATTTGCCCCTCTTTAACTTGTTGCTCGTATGATTGGCCTTTACAAAGCACGAGGACCCGGGAATCTTGTCACGAACAGCTCTCATTCGAGTCCAGTACAATGGCCGCCTCTGCCTGACCAATCGCTGCCAGGTCGCGATGGAAGCTCCCCCGGCGCGACGCAATGGCTGTCGCTACCAGATAAATTGGTTCCATGACCCCTCACGAATTGCAATCAATACGCTCTGTCTTTCCCCCCGAATCCCCTTTTACGAACCACTGGCTCTCAAAGGATATTTTTACTCATAATCATGGCCTGGCCAAACAAGAACAAGGATATGCTCTACCGGCGGGTGGGGAATTCTGGTCTACATGTGTCTGCACTTGGACTGGGAGGTTGGTTGACGTGAGTATTCTGCCTCATTCCAGGGATAAATGGGCACATGGTCAACTCTATCGTCTAATAGATTTGGCGGTCATGTCGACAACGGTAGGTACCACTGTAGCCACCCCAAGGTACACCAACAGCTAATTCCTTGCCCTAGAAATCACGTTCAACTGCATGAAGCAAGCCTACGACTTGGGAATCAACTTCTTCGACACAGCTGAGAGCTATGCGGGCGGACAATCAGAAATTGTCATGGGTCAAGCCATCAAGAAGTTTGGCTGGAAGCGCAGCGATCTCGTCATTAGCACCAAGGTACGTGCCATTCTTTATACAACCAAGGTAGCCATAGGCTTAAATCATCAACAGCTCAATTGGGGTCTGGCAAACGGCGAAATCTTGATCAACAACCACGGCTTGTCGCGCAAGCACATCGTCGAAGGCACACGAGCATCTCTCGAACGTCTACAGCTCGAATATGTCGACATCATATACGCCCACCGCCCCGATCGCCTAACACCCATGGAAGAGACGGTTCGAGCCTTCAACCATGTCATTGAGAAAGGCTGGGCATTTTACTGGGGTACATCGGAATGGTCTGCGGACGAGATCAGCGAAGCGTGCGGCATTGCCAGGGCTCTGGGACTGATTGCGCCCATCGTCGAACAACCTTTGTACAACATGTTGGATCGGCAGAAGGTGGAAGGGCAGTTCCAGCGACTGTACTCCCGCTGCGGCATTGGGTTGACCACCTTTTCGCCCTTGAAGATGGGTCTCCTCAGTGGCAAGTACAACGATGCGACGACACAGCCTCCACCAGGATCTCGCTTCGCTGAGAGCAACGACAAGTTCGCAAGCAGCGTACGCAAGGACTGGGAGAACGAGCAATGGGCTGGGAACATCAAGAAGATCGTGGGACTGAAGGTATGTTACTGCCGTCGATCAACCAAAGCATATCGCTGACAGGATTCTAGGAAATCGCGGACAAGATGGGAGTCAAGCTGTCGCAATTGGCCCTGGCATGGTGCCTAAAGAATGAGAATGTCTCCGCCGTGATCACCGGTGCCTCTCGGCCAGAGCAGGTTGTTGACAATGTCGAGAGTCTGAAGTTGCTCCCTCGCCTGACACCAGAGATTATGGCCGAGATCGACGAGTATTTGCAGAACAAGCCAGAGCAGGACCCAGCCAGACAGGACTAATAGCAACCAGCAATAATGTAGACATGACAAAAGCATAAAATGAAAGCAATCATACAAATCCCAGTTGACCCAACTCCTTACATAGAACCCACAAGCACGTGTCCGCACCCCCTTCTCACCTATTACATCACCCCCGCATTTCCCTCCCTCCACCTTTCCCCTCTCCCCCATACTCCACCAACCATCTTTCCTTCACTACTAACAACAACAACAACAACAATGACCATACTTCATGAATCCACTCCCCCCACAAACCACCCCCAACCCACCATCCACCCAACACCATTCTAATAATCAAAACACCCCCCAGAGCGAAGCAAAGAAACCTCCCCTCCTCGCCCTCCCCCCCGAACTCCACCTTCAAATCACCTCCCACCTCCCCCTCCTCCCGGACATCTACTCCCTCCAAGCAACATGCACGTACTTCTACACCCTCCTCCCACAACCCACGCACTCCGCCCTCCTCGCAGCCGAAACCACCGACTACGCCGTCGCCCACAACCTTTACGCTTGCCGATACTGTCTCCGACTGCGCCCCGGCTCCTTCTTCGCGGACCGGATGCTCCGGCGCGGAAGAGGTCGGTATGGGCGGGACAGGGCGAAGAGGTTCTGTGTTGATTGTGGGGTTATGCCAAGGGGGGAGGGCGAGGGCGAGGAGGCGAGGTATGGGGCTGGGGCGTTGGTGAGGGTGGAGGGCGAGCTGAGGGTGTTTTGTGGTGGCTGTGGCGGGTTGAGGAGGGTGGGGATGGTGTTGGGGGTTGCGGGTGGTGTTGGTGGTGGGGGGAAGAGGGAGAGGGTCGTTTGTGAGGGGTGTTGGAGGGTGTCGGGGTGGATTTGATGGTTTTATGGGGGTGGTGTATTGTGTGATACCCATTTGATGTTTATGGTTTGTTCTGTGTTGGAAGGGATGAGATGGGGATGGGGATGGGGAAGAGGTAAGTAAGTGGAGGATGTGCTTTTAGTTAAATTGGCTGAACAGGAATACCAACACCAGTTGACAGGACATAAAATCCAACGCTATAGAAACCATTTTAGCGAGCCGTTGATCTCAATGCCCTCTTCCTCCTCGTCGTCATCATTGTCATCATCGCTCCGTGCATCAAAGTCGAAGTAGAAGTCCGCGTGCTCGTCAGAAATATCACACTCGGTCAATATCAATGTACTGGTCTGGTCCAAACATGTCCACGATCTACCAATCCCCTTCGCTATGGCTTGCTGATCCTGCGGGTTCACCTCCGCTAAGTACCGAATGCCGTAGGAGACTTTGTATCCTTCTTGAACATCATCCGAAGACTCAGCAGGGCTGGCGAGAGCGACCATATCATCTTCGGGGGCAGATCGCTGGACAACGATCCCACATCTATAGTGAGTCACATATACATCGTGAACGGTTCCGGTGGTGGGTGCCTTCAATCCCTTAATAAGGTACTTTTCCAGCACTCCCGAGTCGCTAGTACTCTGCTTCTGAGAAGTCCACATTCTCTGAACCTTAGCATAGCGAATACTACTCTTCTTCAATGCACTGATCATCAAGTCCCGAAGAGTCGCCTCGCGCCGCTCTTTCACAGGCGTAGTAGAGCTATCAACGTAATCTTCCGCTGCTGCAAATAGAACAGTGAGAATACACGCCATCAGGACCGCCAGTCCATAGCGGCTGCCAACCTGTAGAATGTTGCAGATGCATTCGGTCAGGACAGCTGTGGCCATTATGTATGTGAGCCTGCACAGACGGATCAGTTAACTGTTCGATATGAAGCACCGGGGATCCTAATAACTTATTATGACTGTGTCCCATGGCACGAATAACCCTACCCATTATCTTGGAGAGATGATCTTCTTCGCACTCATCATGCGCCAGCGAGTTCTCGTACCGCTTCAAATCACGAGCGAGTTCGAAATCGTGCCCCCAGGCATGCACTGCTATTTCTCCATTTAAAACTCCTCCGTCTGTGGTGATTGAGTATACCTGGGCTGCTTCGTGGGATGCGAGCAAAAGGAGTATAGGTCTGAGCATTCTGGTGGCTGTTTCATAGTCCAGAATATTTCCTGACTGGGATGTGCTGGAAAGTGGACTTATGTTAGCAGTGCACAACTAAGCAATTAGTCAAATTATGACATACTACCTGAAGTCACGATATTTCGAGTACACAAAGCACACAAGCAAGCAGGTGACGTTCAGAATACCTCCAACAATTCTATTCAGACAACCGAGGATCATGGCGGCGGTATTTGACTGCTTGTTGAAAATGCTACGCGCAGTTTCGCGAGGCACGCGAGCATCATAATTTGATAGCAGGGCTGTGACCTGAGGAGCGAATTCCGTGAAGTATGCGCCACTGATGAGTTTATTCACGATTAAGGGGCTTGAGCGGTAGTCGGTGAAGTCACGAGGATATGCTCCGGGTATTTTGATTATGGAATCCATGATTGCGGTTTGGTCGTAGGGGTGAAGGGGTGAAGGAGGAGGATAGTTTGTGCTACGCATTATGGGAGAGGAGGTATTTGGTGTTGTATAGTATGTTTGATTGTGGGTTTGAATTTGGGTTGCCGTGCCAATCTCTAGAGGTTGGTAAGTAGTGAATGGCAGGGTGAGGCTGTTTAGTTATAGTTCTCAGGCTTTGGAAACAGAGCCTCATGGTATTGGTGATACAGAAACAACTTGTGTATACTCTATTTAGGAATGAGATGAGCGGTACTTCTGTTAGAGATCGTTCTCTAGTAGAACTCAGGAATACTGTATTAGTGGCATTCTTTAGTAAACCAAGAAGAAATCGGAGTCAATGCATGCTAATCACAACCCAGACCGAGCAGAAACAGCTAGGAAGATAGAATATTCTCCGATAGCATGCGTGCAAAGTCAATGCTGCCTATGAGCCCTCGTGTCATATACTAGTCCATGGCACAATTCTCGACCTGATTTGACGCACCATGCCAGAAATCTAGATACAACCAGCAGGAAATGCACCATTCAAGGAATAGTCAACCAAGAACTGCCGTCCAGATTAGATGACTAGCCCAGGGGCCGGAATCAAGATCCAGCAACCTTAAGCGCGGATATGCCAATCAGACCGGATCTCCCACACTTAGCTCTAATGACGCCATATAGTAAACATATCACCAAACATGAACTCTAAAGTAGATATCAACATAGTACCTAAATAACTATACTACATACTCGGTGAATTCCATTGTCAACAAAGCAAATTCCAATAATCCACCCTTGCTTACCCCGCCAGCCAATCCGAAAATCTCCTGCAAAAGCAAGCCACTCGGGATTTACCAATCCTGCTGACAGCACCAATCGAGTCTTCCCAGACGTCAGTAATTTAATCCACGAGCAAGAAGCAAAACACTATAGAACACAGTAAGCATCAGGGTTGAACAACATACTTCAAACATCAGATCAGACCACAAGAATCATTACTGATTCCATCACTTTCCATCAGGGTGTATGATCGTCCACCGCCATTCCGCTGATTTGTCATCTCAGCTTCACGTTTAGGAATCAACCCCTCTTCACTCTCCGCCTTTATCCGTTCTATACAATATTTAACCCAAGGACTGTCCTCTTCTTGATTGATTCATCCAGATCCAAATCCAATCCAAACTCTACCTTTACATCACAATCCAGATACAAACCTCATAACAACCGTCAAAATGTCCTTCGGAACCATCTACACCTACCCCAACAACCCCCGGGTCATGAAGGTACTCACCACCCCTCCCTTCACTCATCACCACCAATTAACCAACCCCTAAACATAGACCCAAGCGGCTGCCAACTTCAACAACCTCACCCTGACCGTTGCGGACTTCAAAATGGGCGAAACCAACCGCGACCCTGTCTTCCTCAGCAAATTCCCCTTGGGCAAGGTCCCCGCCTTCGAAGGCGCCGACGGCACTTGCCTCGTCGAATCCGACGCCATCACACAATATGTGGCCGAGAGCGGTCCCGCGGCAGGTCAATTGGTCGGCAGCACTCCCGCTGAACGTGCTCTGATCCGTCAATGGATCTGCTTTGCGGACGGGGAGGTGCTGGGCGCGGTGACTTCGATGGTGCTGTGGCGGATCGGGTACAAGGCGTACGATGAGGCGACAGAGAAGAGTGGACTGGAGAAATTGACTCGCGCGCTGGGGGCCTTGGAGAACAGGCTTAAGGAGAGGACGTGGGTGGCAACAGAGAAGTTGAGCTTGGCGGATATTAGTGTTGCCGCGGCGCTGTATTGGGGGTTCTCGATGGCCATTGATGCGGAGATGAGGAAGGAGTATCCTGGTGTGGTGGCTTGGTATGAGCGCGTTATTGAGAGTGAGCATGTCAAGGAGGCATTTGGTCCTAAGGTCTTCGTGGAGAAGAGGAAGGAGCCTGAGAACTAAGGGAAGGAATGGATTGGGGCAGGTCCGCAATCATGACTTATGATTTGACTTAATTAGGAAATAGCAATGCAAGTTGACTGTGATCAAATGAACTAACAATGTATTGGTTCTCTGCTAGCGATACATACCATTATGGGTCCAGCCACAACCAGCAGCCCTGCTATGAATGTGTCTGGTACAGATGTATGAACAGAACAACAGGTAGGGCTTGCTGCACGAGCAGAAGGATGCAAGCAACGTATACCTTTTGGCAATTACAGACGAGCATGGAAGTTCTGATCGCCCCTCCGCATTGATCGGGCCAAGTTTCGACTGGCTCGGTCGGCAATGGCCATGTTGGTGATCATGGGGTTGACGCCACTGGCGCTGGGGAAGACGGACGCATCAACCACATACAGACCCCGGGTGCCCCAGACTTGACAGTCCGAATCCACCACACTGGTTCTCGGCGACTTGCCCATTCGACACGTCCCCATCTGATGCGCGCTAGCAAACATGGTTCGCTCCGGATCAGCGGGTTTCTTGCGACGCACTTCCGCGATCCAAGCTTGAAGGGCTGCATTGTTGGCGCCCTCTGCATCCTCCGTGTCGGAATCGGTAGGGCGGATGAACGGGGGCACTTCGCGCCAGGAAGTGTGAAACTCCTTTGCACCCGAAACGTATGCCATCTTTGCACTAGCGATTAGACCTTCGACAATGTGCTTACGGTCCATAGGTGAAACAGTATAGTCAATGCGAATTCGTCCATCACCTGGGTCGGGATAAACACGACCGGAGCCTTGATCGCGAGCGAGCATGATAAGACCAGCCATGCGGGGCAATTTCTGCACCCAGAGCTTATAGTCGAGACCATTCCTCCAGGGGAACAGAGGGAGAAAAGCTGCGGGCACCATTGACAAGGCCTCGATCTTAACCCCATGTCCTTGGTTATCTAGGTTCTCGAACTCATTGACAACGGTTGTCAGGGCAGCACCTTCCCAAGGGCGAAATTCCTCTTCCAGCACTGCACCCGCAATGATAACTGTGAAAACCATTAGCACGTGCACCATTTCCCGAATGGACGCATCTTACCAGGGTGGAGGTGGAGGTTCCGGCCAATGTGGGGATTCTTCAATCCACTGCGCAGGAGCAGCAAAGGACTTTGCAGAGTGCCGCAAGAGACCACAACACGTTTCGCTTTGATGGTGACATTTCGCTTTACTGCAGTTGCACCTGCACGGCCTAGGTATGCATCCCGGGATGTCCACACCCCCTCGACCCCCGACGCTACCTGGCCATCTTTAGTGTCCGTGAATATGATTTTGTTTGCACGAAAGCCTTCAATGAAGGTTGCGCCGGCTGTCGCGGCATCTGCCAGGAAAGTTTCCGTGGGGCCCTTCTTCCCTGTCGAGTGGCAGCCGAGCGTACAGTAGCCACAATAATGCTCACCATGGCCCGTATTCTGAGGCACCGTCTTGGCAGAGTAGCCCATCCTCCGGGCCCCTTCGAGAATGAAGCGATTGGTCTTGTTATGCTTTATATGCTCAACGTCGACCCCCATCCGGTCCGAAACACGATCCATACAATTCTGGAACTCCATCGAGGTAAAGAAAGGCAGGCCGTTCTTCGCCCATTCCTCGCGTACAAAACTCTGCGTCTGCAGGGCAGCGGACCAATTGACGGTGCCACCGCCACCCCAGGTTGAACCAGCCAGCACAGCCATCGAGCCATCATCCGTCACGACGGCACCTCCTGACTCGAACATGCTAGTGAAAGCCTCGTTGAAGTTCATGGGAAAGTGATTTGACGTGTAGTGATAGGATTTGTCCAAGACCAAGACTTTATGGCCTGCTTCAGCCAAGTTCTTCGCAGCCACGCTACCACCACAACCACTACCAACGATGACGACGTCGGTCTCAATGGTCTCCGGCTCATCAGCCGGGGGGAATTGGAGGAAGGTGTGCTTGAAACCATCGGCAGGCTTGCCGTGCACTGGCACCCTTGGGAACCCAAGTACAGGAGCAAGAGTCGGGCTGAACTTGACCCAGGTTTGCTTGAACATCCCAGTGCAAGCCCTATATACACCTCGCAACGGGCTCAGCCGAGAAGTCTCCCATCCTCGGAAGATCTCTTCCCGAACGTGCAACGGTTGTTCATGGATCGGGGTAACGGATCCTGTCAGGAGAAGTGATCCCGCCCGGGTACTATTCTCATGTTAGCTTTGGCTGTTGTGTCTAAGACTGGGTGCGCACTTGAGAGCATTGAGGATAAACCCCAGGCCATTTCTCCCTTCGTCGTGCACATATTGGGAGAAGAGGCGCTGCAAGCCTTCCCGGAACAGAGGATTCGACGACGCGTCTTCCTCTAGGTACTGTGCCGCAATGGTGCCAGCGTCCGGGGAGCGAATGCTTTGAGTCAATGTTGCCAGAGATCTGTTCAGTTCGGAGTGCGGTATGACCTTAGTGGAGGGTGATTTGTATGCGGTGGGACTCCGGATAGAAGGAATGACCGTGTCCGCCAACGACAGCAGAGTGGTCCATTGCTGCTCTGTGAAGATCTTGGTGGATGGGACTGGAGGCAGTGGCACGTCCAGAGGAACGTAGTGAGAGGCTGTTTCAGCCATAGTGTGTGCGTGGTTCACCTGCTAGGATAGCGATATATGTATAGACGGTATCTATAAGATCAATGAGGGAATTGAAGATGACCAGCAACCATGTTCAACAGGAACCCGAGTGGAGCAGAGATGGCCCACGGCTGCTAATGGATTCGGCCCCTTCAAATAGCGGAGAAAGACGAGCCGTGTGAGCAGCCCAACCCAGGCGTAGGTAAATCCCAGAGAAGTAATGCTTGCGAAAGGAGGGGAGGCCAAGTGGCTAAGCCAGTCGTGCTGCCAGTCGGAAAGTGCGATCGATGAGAGCTAAATGCGCCAGGCACCCCGGAACCGTTTGTCCCAAACCCGGCGAACACGGGGTGCTCCCCATATTTTTGGCGATTGTGGGCGTTGTGATGATCAGCGCACGGCACCCGAGGCACATCAGAAAAGGAGAGCTGAGATGGGGAGCAGTGGGCCCATCCGAAAGTCTATATGGAGTAGAATTAGGAGCCATCAGCAGATGTTGAGGCTGTAAGTTCTGCTGGTTGGCTGAGGGGATGTTGCAAATCCACCGAGGTGAAAGAAGGAGCCTTTTTTGGGGGGTGCGGGGAATGGCACTCGTCGGCAAGGCAGTTGGCAGCTTGCAGTCACCATTGCCATGTGAATCGCGCATGCCAGTTCCGAGCTTGATTGACCTTAATATTATGCTCGACTAAGTACTTTGTACGCTTCCCTCCCCAGCAACTCTTTTAAGTATTCTCGTCACCATGTCGTGAGGGGGTGCGAGTCCTCGACGCGGTTCGGGATGGCATCTTCCGCGGTACATCCACGGGTGGCTTGCGAGGACAAGGCGCTGCACTCCATCATGATTGCTCCAGCCTTCCTGCTGCTCTGATATCCGCTGAATCAAACTCCAATATATCCCTGGTCCAACAACCTGCCCTCACAGCGAGCAGACAGAAGCCAAAGTTAACCGCTGTGCGTGACAATCCCATCCCGGAATGCGCGCGCCGAACCTCCGAGCGCGTAACTCTGGCTGATTCCGCTGCCAGACATCCAGGCTGTTGTTGGATCACGATGTGATTCAACTGGTGCTCTCGCCAGCTCACGGCTGAGATTTTTGCATATAACTGTCGTCTTTGTCCTCCTGAGCTGGACTGAAATCATCAATATCTCTTGTCCAGAACTGATCCAAATGGGAGCAGTCGACCGTGTGCACAACATCTCCAAATTGTGACTTTGTGGTTCCATTTCCTTATAGATTTTACTTTATATCTTTTGAGAAGCGAGACAGTTGTATTACAGACCTCCTGGAGAGGCCACCCGTATTTCCGACCGTGCATCGTGGATAGAGGAACCCCCTGCAGGCCCGGTCATACGTGCCGCACATTCCACGTTGAGCATCCACGCCTGCGTGGGTTGAACACGTCTGATTCAGTCCCAACAAGGCCTCTATCCTCGGAAGATCATCTACACAGTCCACAATGTCGAGTGAGGTTGGCCGACCGACGCTAAGTCAATCTCCCAGCAATGGGCATCCCAAATGCACCCTTCCTCTAGAGAAGGTGTTTTCAATCCAGATAGGAACTGAGCTCTTCCGTCTTTCGGGAGCTTCGATTGCTTCCGATGGTCAGTCGACCCCAATGAGTCGCCCTCATGCTGTTCCTTGCTAAATTTTTCTGGAGCCCCGTCATACTTTTCCCGCTTCTTCGAAGAACAGCTTCGCCTGAACGGAGACAGCAATGTCAGGACCCTGTATATCGACCGTGATCCTACCACGTTTCAGGAGATTGCCAGGCATCTGCAAGGTAGGCAGCACGTCTCGCAAAATTGCAGCGTCTCAACTAACTGTCGGCAACTAGGCTACCATATACAGCCCAAAGATGGGCCGCAGTTCGTCAAGTTCTTCGCGGATGCCCAATTCTATAGCCGTAGGAGATCCACGCCCTTCACATCATTGAGAAAGCAAGTACTGACATTACCAGTTCCTCGATTGATCTCCCAGCTGTTCGAGTCGGAGATCTTCATCCGTATTGGCGGCCACAACTTCCAGATTCCTCGCGATATCTTCTCCAGCCCAGGGGATTCGCCGAATTTCTTTACACTGGGATTCGCCGCCTTCTTCGCCTCGCCACTGGAAGTATTTCCCGGGCTGGACCGTCAAGGCCTCCTACGCCCTCCAGCCATCACCCCACCCAGCGTCCCCAGCCGCTCGGGGGAGGTCTTTGCGCAGCTCCTCCATCTCCTTCGCGGATATCCTCTGGATATTCGAAACGAAGCGCGTCGTGCAGAGCTCCTGCGGGATTGCCGCTACTTCCATCTGCGGGGCCTGGAGCAGCAGCTCATACCACACCATATCAGCTTCAATCCGATCCGCAAACGGGATGAGATTGTCATCCGTCTCGAAGACGTCCGTCGATCGGGCATCGACGTAGACGACATCCCTCTTCCTCCTGGCCACAGTCAGGCTGACGCCATGTCTGCAGCCTTGGTCACTTACTCTCGCCCGTTTGTCGATGATAAGAAGTACGATCTGATCCTCGAGATAGGGGACGAAAGCACCATCCTTGACATCACCAGCAGACGTCCCACCTTTTTGGGCTCCACAAAAGCCCGCGTGAGCAGCCTTCTGCAGGTGATAGCGGGCAAGAAGGGAGACCAGAACCGACCAGCGGGACAAAAGGAGAGTGCACCGGAAGACCGTCTGTGGGCCTCTCTCTCCATGGATACCGACATGACAGTCGATGGGGAAAGGGAGTATTTCCCCGACATTCTCCGGGAGAGCATGTCGGGGTCGGAAAGTTTGTTGGAGGAGCCGTCGAGGAAGCGCAAGCGCGTTGAAGAGGCTTCCATTAATCGTCCATGGATTGTGCGCAACGGACAGTGGCGGCTGTGCATGCAACCGAGGGCCAAGGGAGATGGGATGGATATCGTCATGATTGCAGTGAAGTTGGAGGTGTTTACGTTGCAAAGGACGCGCAATAAGCAGAGGAAGTTCCTTTCGTCTTGATCGTTCTATACCTATACATTACTTTGCTTTTAATGCTGTACATGTCCGTTTACTCTACTTTATGATAGACTCATGACTCTCAATCCGAGAATCCTTCCCACTCGTCCTCCCCATCTTCTTCATCCCCATCCTCATCCGCATCCACCTTCTCATCCTGAATCTCCTTACTCTCCCCATCCTCATCCCCATCTCTCACAAACCCAGCAACAAAGAAACCCCCAGTTCCCTCCTCATCCCCCGGCCAACACCGCAGACATCCCTCCAACTCCTCATCCGACAGCGTCACCTCAGCCCCAACCCCATCAACAGTAGTAGTAGCAGCAGCAGAACCACCACCAACCCCCCTCTCCTCCCTAATCCCCCTATGCACCCACTTCCTCATCCCCACCGGCTGCTCATCCCTCCTCAGAACCCTCCACCCGCGCGTCTTCGCCACCTCCGACGCCAAGATCCTCGAAACCACCGCCTCGTTCTCCAACAAATGGATCGAGCACGTACTATACGTGACTCTCGTCGCGGCAGGGAAACTCAGCGCGTGCTCGACAATCCGCGTCTGCAGATTCGATAGCTTGATGAGGCGCTCCTCAGTCATTCCGGTCACTGGGACGTCGTTTTCGTCTGTTGCCGAGGGGGATTCTGTGGGGGGTTTCTTTCCTCCGTGGGTTTCGTCCTCGTCGTTGGCGCGGCGCTTGCGCTTTTTCCCAGTAGAGGAAGAGGAGGAGGTAGTAGACTCAGGGAGCGTTAGCTTGGGCACGTCGTCCCGACCGATGATCCCACTTCCTGAGCAGCTAGGATCGAGGAGCAAGCCTGAGACGTTCTCGAATCGGGGATCGGTCGGATCCAGAGCGAGGAAGTCCTGCCCCGGGAGGACAGTCACCATGGTGTCTGCGCCGGCGGTGGAGACCATCTTCTGGAGAGTTTTTGCTCGGATGGGCGATTGGTCCATTGAGAAGATGTGGTAAGTCCCATTTGCGGTTTCCCCCTTCTTATTTTTATGAGTATGTTGCTGCTTTGCCAACAACGACGCCATATGCGTCGTCTTGTTCCCCGGCGCAGCACATCCATCCAACAATCCTTTGGAAGTGTCCCACCCCTCATCCTCATCCCCAACAAGGAGATACGCCGGGAAGCAACTCGCCTTATCCTGCAAGATAATCTCCCCATTTTTATACGCCGGCGACGAAGTAAACTCCGCTCCCGGCGCAACGGCAATTAAATCCGGGACATGGGGGTCGAGCACCATCCTCTTCGGGAGAGTCAACTCCGCTAACGACGAGACCTGTTCGTAGCCTGCGAACGTGGTGGAGAGTTGCTTCTCCATTGTCGTGCGAATGTTGTTCACGCGCACCCAGCGCGGATAGATTGCTGTTGATAGGCCTGCTGCGCCCTGTAGTGCGAGCTTCTCCCGCGCGATGGCATCTTTCAGCTCCGGGATCGTGGCGCATCCGCGCCGCACTCGCGCTTTGGTGAATTCGCCGCGTAGTCGGGTCTTGTGCCGCTCGATGGTTTGGCGCAGGGGGTGCGTGGCTTTTGCGGCGAGGCCGGATTTGGCGAGGAGGTGGTCGTGGACGAGGAGGAGGGAGAGGAGGGGTGTTAACTGTGATGTTTGAGGGGCTTGGTTAGTTAGTATTCTCGTGAATGGATGGTGTGGAGCTGGGAGGGATGGGCGGGTGAAGGTATATATGTACCTTCGGTTCAAGTTTAAGGATCCCTGCTGCTTCTATTACTTCCTTGAGGAGAATGTCCCATTTCGAGGCTTCGATGATCAAGGCGTAGATTTGCGCCGGGGCGGATTTGATGTTGCGGGCGTTGTAGATGCGGGATTTGAAGGAGCCGCCGGTGGTGGAAGGGGCCGTGAGGATGGACACGGCGTCGTAGTAGAGGGACATGATGGTGAACAGTTGTGGTTATTGCATGGTAGTATGGTGGAGTTTGTTGCGATGACTTTATTGCGATGCGATGGAAAAGGAAAACTTGATGTTTGCACTGTTTGGTTCGTTGCTATCGGAGGTGATAGATAATACTTGAGGTGATGAACTACACTCATTTTCGAGAACTGAGTACCAAACAAACAATCATTATAAATGCTGAAATTCTATCTATATCACTAAGACTTGATACCACCATCACAATACGGTAAGCATGCCGAACCCTATCGCATCTGACCCCCTCACCCACAACCCGAATCCAACGCAAACTGATATGGAATAGTCTTATC